GGCCATCCACTAAAGCAACCCATCAGAGGCCACACTCTGAGGGAAACTCACTGTCCCTTCCTCAGCAGTAATCAACTGCCATGAACTTCTCTCACATCTATTCTGGAATGTTGGCTGATCTGATCTTGTACAGGTTTCGTGTGAGTAATTAGAGCTCCTGTGAGTTCTTGATCGCAATGGTCCTGTTGTGTCCAGGAAATGCTGTTTCCATAGCACTCTTTCCCAACCTCTGGCTCTTATGATTTTATTTCACTTTTATTTCAATGTTAAAGAAGCTACGGAAATCATGTGGTTAATAACAAATTCATCACACATCACAGAAGAATGGTAAAATTAGATACTTAGAGGAAGAATGGAGACTGCGTGTCATGACAGGGAATATGAGCTCTCAAGTAGCTGGCAGTTCATCCAGAGAGAATAAAAATACACTCAAGCAAGGAGGGAGTTTTGCCAAGTGGTTAGAGAGTTTTGACTTTGAGCTTTCTGTGCTAAACTTAGATCTGTTGGATGATGTCCTTGAACACAGGTCAAATCCATCACCAGAGATAGAGGGGGATGGTGGAACCTAAAAGCAGCATTAATAATTGTTAGCTGTCACATAGATAACATAAGGAGGCAACCTTCATCCCATTAATGCAATTTTATGACTTTCGCTTATAGGGTTAAGAAAGGAGTCAGATGGGTAAGGCTTCACAGAGGAAGCAACGTGACTGTGAGAACACATCAAAGCCAAAGACTTGTTTAAACACCTCAATCCCCTTGAGGATGTCCAGTTATACATTCAAGAGGCCAGTCACTAGAATCACATCCCACCCGTGCAATGAGGTAAGATATCATCAATGGGAGGAGACCTTGGACAAACCCCAACAAGCCTGCTGGCAGAAGAGATTGCAAGGACTCCAGGCCTGTAGCAGTGTAGGAGAACTTTTGAGCTCTACAAATCTTGCCAAGGCTTTGCAAGACCTTACACCTAGAGGCACAGATTCATCTGTTTCAGAGACCCAAGCCAACAACATTGACTTCAGGCCCATAGCCACCCATGAGTCGTCTTCAAATTTGGGGGAAATGATTCCAGAAGCAAGTATGCCACAGATCCTTTGCAATCAATTTCTCGTCACCGATGAAGATATTAGCAACCAAGAAAGGAAAGTGAAAATAGCAAGAGAAAGACTGGCAGGTGCATTGATTGCACACAGGCTAGCTAATGAGGCAGAGAAAATGAGGGAGTCCAGGAAGTCAAACTTCTAAACACAGAGAGGGGAGCTGGGGAGCAGATACTGCAGGTGAAATGCAGAATTGTTTTAACACTTCTTTGCAGTGTCTTTTGTTGCTGCTTTGAGACCTTGAAACTTTAAATTTGACAATACTTCATTAAAATTCTTTGTGTAATGCAAAAAATGCAAATGATTATTTTTTTTCTCTACTCACCTCTTTCTCTGTGTTGAAGATCAATCCCAACTTGCCACTTATACCAGGTAAATGCACTACCATAGAGCCATATTACCCAGCCAGTAATTTTTATTTTTTAAAATTATTTTAGAGGATGGAGAGATGGCTCTGTGATTAATAGCACTGACTGTTCTCCAGAGGACCCAAGTGTAATTCCCACCATCTGCGTATCAGTTGACAACTGTCTGTAATTACAATCCCGAGGGTTTTTAATTTATGTGTTTGTGTACTGCTATGTGCTTATGAGAGCAGGTGCATGAAGTGACCATAAGAGGAGGATATTGTATTCCCTGAAACTGTAGTTATAGGCAGCTGTGAGCTATCATACACTAGTTACAAGAACCAAACTTGGACCCTCTGCGAGAGTTTTAAATACTGAGCCATCTCTCTACCCCCAGTAATTTAGTTTTGAGATGAGGAATTGAGTTTGAGATGAGAAAATATTTTTCTTTTGCTTTTTATAGTACTATATTTATTCACTATTTTATTTTTTAAAATGTTCATATATATGGGTGTTTTACCTGAATGTATATCTGTGAATGGTGTGTGGGTTGGTGATCTTTGGATCCCCTGGAACTGGAATTATGGACAGTTGAGAGCTGTCATACAGCTTCTGGGAAAAAACCTAGGTCCCCCTCAAGAGCAGCAAGTATTCTTTATTTCCAAGCCATCATTTACTAGCTACCTAACATTCTTGTATTTTACTTACAATGTTTTAAAAAGTGTTATTGCCTCTGACATTCCTAGGAAGCACCATTTCACAACAAACTCCCTGGTTTTTATTTTGTTTCCCTTTTACAATCTTTCTACCCCTTAGCAATGATGGGGGAACCTTAGGTTCAGGGGTTATGTTGTATGTGTATCCATTGGGACTGGGCTCCTACAACTGCATTTTGATTCATTGTGGTTTTTTTTGTAACGAAGTCTGTCCATTGAAAAACAAAAGTTTCAAAAAAAAAGTTTCCTTGATGCAGGTGAGGACTATACTTATCTTTGTAAAGGTACATGACACAGTATTTGATTTGCATATGTAACAAGAATAACAATTATCTCATATTACTTTTCTAACCACTAAGGAAAGACATGTCAAAAGCAATTTGAAGAAATGGTTTATTTTGCTTCACAGTTTAAGGGGGTGGTGAGAAGGCTTGATTGGAGGGTTTTGAGGCAACTGCTCAAATTGTATCTGCAGTTAGGAAACAGTGAGACAATGTTGGGGTACTATTCACTTCCCCCTCCATTTTTTCCTTCTTATTCAGTCTGAGACCTCAGACCATTGGATGGTACCAGTCATGTTTAGGGTGGGGCTTCTTTTCAATTAAACTGTGAAAATATATTCACAGACATACCCAGAATTGTATCTTCTAGGTAACTCTAGAGCCAGCCAAGTTGACAATGTGGATAAATACCCTGAGTTAGTTACAATCTCATAGGTAGTAAACACCTAGACTCTGGCTTAGTCAATTTCCATGGCATATCATGGTGTTACTGACTGGAATCCTACACTGCACATTAGAGCTCTGAACATAGTTTTTCTACATAACCAGTTTTGTGCTCTCTAAGCTGCATCTATATCTCCATGCTCATGTTTGCCGATTGTCACAATCATTCTATTGCCTATCTTCATATATCTGTCTTTTTAAAGATTTCATACAGCTGTATTATGAAGTCCACCACCACTGTGTGTAAGTGTGTGTGTGTGTGTGTGTGTGTGTGTGTGTGTGTGTGGTTAATGTGTACCACAGAACATATCAGAAGACAAACTCATGTGTTGATCCTCACTTTTCATCCTCTTAGAGACAGGGTCTCAAGCCCATGAACTTTCATGAATTCCCTGGTTTCTTTCCTGTCTCCTCACAACAGTGCTGGGATTTCAGATACATGCCACTCTGTCCAGAACTCAAATTCCATGTCTGCCCTGCAAGCATTTACCCACTTAGCCATGACCCCAGCTTGTATATTTCTTTTTATATCAAATTTATTTTGCATAAGGGCAACAGTAGTTATTGCATATGTCATGGAATCAGGCAGATCTACTGACATACGTTTTTATAGTCCCAGCAACCGAGGAAGTAGAAGTGTGTATGTTGGGATCAGAGTTGCAAGTACAGACTGCAGAGCTACAGGAAGCATCACAGAATTATGTAGTGCTTTGTCCTTTCTGGTTGTGATGGCTATTCTTGGTTGTCAACTTGATTACATATGGGATTAAATAAAATCCGAATGGCTGGGCACATCTCTCAGTGATTTTTTCTTAACTAGGTCATTCTATTCTGGGTCATTGAGGTGGGAAGATATAGCTTTAATCCAGATCTTTTTGAGGTGGGAATATCAACCTTTAATGTGGGTCACACCTTCATCCTTTGGAAAGGACTTGGAAGAAGGAAGCTTGCTCTCACTTGTCCTTCCTTTCACTATCAAGTCCATTCCTTCACTGGCATTACAACCTATTCAGGATTCTGGTGTATACTGAAGACCAGCTGAGACATCCAGTATTGTGGACTGAACAAGCACTGGATTCTTGGACCTTCCATCGGTAGACAGTCATTGTTGTGCTAAGTAAACCACAGTCTGTAAGCCATTCTAACAAATCCCCTTTCTTCTCCTGCACCCCTCCTCACCTTGTTGCAGCACTTATGGTTTTCAAAATGGGTGAATGTCAGGATAAGAGTGCACACTTACTATTCTTGATGGCTCAAGTTCAATCTTGAGCATCCACATCTGGTTGCTCACAACACATTGTAACTCTACTTCTGGGGGATCCAACAGATGTGGTTCTAATGTAGATTCCTCCTTCTAGTCTCACATATTTAATCATTTGGGCCCTCCAGTTATTGACAGTGGGATGGTTGTGGGAAAGTTATGAAATGGAGCCTTGATGGAAGAAGAGGTTCATAGAGTTATGGGCTCTAAGGTGTTATAACCTGGCCCCACTTTCTGTTCTCTGTTCCTTAACTGCCTCTGTAATATGACCAGCTTGTTGCCTCCTCTGGCTACCACCCTTTTCCCACCATAGTGGACAGTGTCCCCCTGGAACTGTAAGCCAAACTAAACTCTCCTCCTCCTCTTCTTCTTCTTCTTCTTCTTCTTCTTCTTCTTCTTCTTCTTCTTCTTCTTCTTCTTCTTCTTCTTCTTCTTCCTCTTCTCCTCCTCCTCCTCCTCTTCCTCCTTCTCCTTGTCCTCCTCCTCCTTCATTCAAGACAGGGCTTCTCTGTGTAACAGCCCTAGCTATCCTGGAGCCAGCTCGCTAGTCCAGGCTGGCCTTGAACTCACAGAGATCTGCCTGCCTCTGCCTCCCAAGTGCTGGGATTAAAGGTGTGTTCCATCACTACCTGTTTTAAACCATTCTTTAAGATGCTGTTGTCAGATATTTTGTTTTAGCATCAAAAAAGTAACTAATACAACCAGTTTCACAAATTCTTCTGTGCCTGAAGAATGACATGCTATGAGGTCACAGACCATAACTAACAATCTCCATCAGGACTTAAAGAAGGAACATTTTCATCAGGGACCTCCTCAGGGATCAAGTCAAGAAAGTCATAGGTGCGGAGTCTGACCAATGTGATTTATTTATTCTTTGGATCCTGCTAAGGAGAAGGTATCCCTGGTATGTGGAGTCACGGGAACTTCCTCAGGTCTAGGTGAGGCAGGTAATAACCCAGGCGGTGACGTTGAACCTGGTAGTCTCCCTCCTTTTTTCTTCTGCAGATAGTCATCTGTGAAAGTCAGGAGAAGCCATTAGCCAGACACCCTGGTAGAACAGATATCATGAATGAAAGCATGGCCAAAGCCAGAGACCTGATGTTTCTTATATCTCTTTTCTTCCTTTTTCTATTTGGGTTTCTCCCTTAAAATGCCTTCCTCCCTCTCTAGTCTTAATTATTACTCCATCCATATTTCTTTTATCTGAATTAATTTATTAATATTCATAAACACTTAGCTATCAATCATGTACAGAATTCTCTGTCATGTATCATTAATGTAGTCTCTGCTTGTGCCACCAGTTGTATCTGAATTACCTGCCATCTTGCAATCATTTATGATTCTATCATCTATCATGTATTAATAATGTATTGTCTGTTATCTATATAGTTACTATCAGAAATCTGTAGATCCTGTCAATTAGCAACTGTGAAACAATATCCATCATCTCTCTCTATATATATATTTCTAAGTATCTAGCATGTATCTACTTATTTATAATTTTTTCCAATATTCTATTCTCATTTCATTCTCAGCCCAGTTTCTGTGCTTCCTCCCCGCTGTCATTCTTCTAGCTGAAAGGAGAAATAACTGACATTCAATAAAGTGAATACATTTAAAACGAATTACTTAGTGAGGCATAGTTACATGTGTCTCTACTCCTATCAATTAGGAAACTGAGTTAGGAAGATTGTTAATTAAATACCAGCCTGGGCTTTATAGTGAAATACTGTTTCAAGAAGAAATACTTTATGTGATAGGCTTTTATTACAATTCCCTAAGCCACCACTCAGAAAGGGGATGAGAAACACCCATTTATCATTTCTAACTGTGTTCTGCTTCATTATAACTCTTTCTTCCTTGCCATTTGCAAACATAAATTATGATTGCAGAAATCTCAGGGTTGATTTCTGTCTCTACAGATCAACCATTCATTATTTTTTATTATTTATTATTAAATGTTGAGTTCATCTTTCTTTTTTTAAGTTTGGCTAGGACTACAAAGGTATTTTATGTACATTTTTGTACAAGTCTTTTGATAGGTATTCTCTTTTATATTTTTTAAAACATTTTCATATGAAATATTTTGATTGTGTTTTCTCTCCCCCAACTTCTCCTAACCCACCTCCCTAGCCCACTCAACTTCATGCTCTTTCATTCTCTCTTTAAAAAGGAAAGAAAATCAAAACAAAAATGCAATAATACAAAAAATGCCAAAACAAACCAAATAACATCAACCCCCGAAAAACCAATGAAGTTCACTTTGTATTGGCCAACTACGCATAGCCATAGTGCCAGCTCTGGAGTGTGATTGGTATACTAATGTCACTCCATTGAAGAAAAATGATTTTTCCTTTGCCATCACATACCAATTGAAAAGGGCTTCTTTCTGAGGGGTGGAATTTTGTATCTTCCTTCCCCTTTCAGTGCTGGAATTATGTGACTTGAACCTGCATAGGTCTTATAGATAGGTATGTTCATTATCCTTGCATAAATTAATAGGTTTGGGATAGTTGTGTCTTATGCCGAGTATATGAAACCCTCAAAGCAATGACCAACCCGCATTCCACTTGCTCTCAGTAAGAGTTTCTGTTATTTCACATCTTTGCCTGTACTTACTATTATCAACCTTTTACTTATAGTTTTATTCATGTTGTTATTTCACTACATTTCATTAATGACTAAAGTTAGAATTTTAAGGTCCATTGTGGAACATACTGACTACAGTTAATGTACTATATAGTTCAGAAATGCCCAGGGTAAGATTCGTACCACCCAAAATGATATATTTACTTGATTTAGTAATTTCTTAATGCATACCTTGCAACGCATATAAACACACATTATTTGTCAAATAAAAACAAAATATATGCAGAGCATGGTGGCACACTCTTGCCATCCCATTATTTGGGAGGCAGAAACTGGGTGGGGGGGTCTTGAACTCATGATCCTGCTTGGTGACCCAGTGAATTTGAAGCAAGCCTGGCCTAAAAGCAAATAAATTATACACACAAACAAATAAACATCAATAGCAATAAAATTAGAAAAGAGGGATTTGAAAGGTTAGCCACATACAATCTAGAAGAAAATGTTCATAAATATCAGTAGCGAAGGACTTGTATATATTATATATAATAGACAGTCATTTACTGCATAACATTAGGGCCTTATTTTATGACATTATACAAACATTATAGACTGAATTTAAACAAGTGTAGATGGATACAATAGCATTAGGCAGTAACATTTTGGAAAACATTGTCATTTATGTGACATACATGACACATCCTAGGGCCATCCTAGACTGACGAACTGCTGTATGGTGCTTGCCTGTTCAAAAGTTCTTAACAATTCAGTATTGATAATGCAGACCCCCCACACTTCCTTGCTCACCAGGAAACAGCACATCAGGCATGTAATGAGTATCAGTAGTACTGCCAAGCAGATGAGAATGATAGCCCAGAAGGGAAGACCTGGGGAGACAAATACTGGAATGAATCCCCCATTGCCACCTCCTGGCAATCCTTCGTAAACCCTAAGTGGTCTGAGAATGGGTATGAATCTTGTAGAGAGAGCTCAGTGGCTCACTTTCATATGAATCTGCATCCCAATTCTTTCTTTATGGGCTTCCAACAGGATGAAAACCCTAATGTCTGTCTACTCTATCTCATCTGTCCTTGCCATGGTTTGACGCTCTTTTACCATGACCCCCTGCATACAGCACTTGATAATAGAGTTACAGAGAAGAAATTCCCTATGGCACCCCAGACATGAGCCAGTCTGAAACTTACCAGAATTCTTTATCACATCATCACCCCTGCTTGAAGAATACCCTGGAAATAAATGAAACAGAATTCACCTGAGATTGTCTTTTTATTTGAGTTTTTTAAGACAGGGTTTCTCTGTGTAGACCCTAGCTGTCCTTGTACTTGCTCTGTAGGTTAGCCTGGCCTCAAACTCAGAGATCCACCTGCCTCTGCCTCGTGTGTGTTTGGATTAAAGGCATGCTCTATGACATCTGGACAGTCTTCTTTACTATTTGAATCTAGGTGTAAAATCCAAGATCTTGGACGTGGAAGGAGAGTCCTGTACCACTGAGATAACCCTCAGCCATGTTTTATTTTATTTTTTTTAATTTTTGCTCCTTTGATATAGGATCTCATTATATAGCCATAGCTGGCCTTGAATTCACTATTTTTTCTAGGCTGGCCTTCAACTCCAAGAGCTCTACCTGTCTCTGCCGCCATAGAACTTAGACTAAAGACATTCATCATCCTGTCTGTTATTCGCTTAAATAAGACTTAACAGAAATACAGAAAAGTAGACAGAATAGTGTAATAATTCACTGCTTAAATTTAACTATTTGTATTTTATACAATTAAAATAGTATTCACAAATGATTCCCATTTACTATCCTTGCTTCATTTAGCATTTTCATTCAAATTTTAAAATCAATTAGATATCACAAATTTTATTCTGAAAAAAAAATGACATCTAGCAATGGTGTGGGGATTGGGTGGGGGCTGGGGAGCTGGTGGAGGGACAAGGAAGGAGGGGTGAGAGAAGGAAGTGGGATTGACATGTGAAGTATGCATGATTCTAATTTAAAAAGCATATATTGAGAAACAATCTACATCATTCTGTATTTCATTTGTCAATTTGTAGATATCTGTGGAGCCTGGTGTAATTTCCTCTTTGTTAAAATGCATTATTTATTTAATTTTAATTATGAGATTGATGAAGTATACAAATGTAATACCTCCATTTTCTTCTTGTTCAGAAATTGTATCCAATCAAGTTTGTTTTTTAAGTTATTTTTAATAAGGTTTTTTAAAGATTTATTTATTTTTATCACATATACAGTGTTCTGCCTACATGCCAGAAGAGGGCACCAGAATGAATTGTAGATGGTTGTGAGCCACCATGTGGTTGCTGGGAATTGAACTCAGGACCCCTGGAAGAGTAGTCAGTGCTCTTAACCTCTGAGCCATCGCTCCAGCCCCTTTTTAAAGTTATTTGTATGACATGGGCTTCATTAAATAATTCACTTTGGATTCTAGGCTTTTGCCTGATTAAAAGTTAAATCTTTTCACTGTGTATTAATAAAAGAGATATCTAGCTAAGAACCCATGGCTGGGAATGTCATCTTGCCTTCATTGACCAGGGAGCCTTACCATCTACAAGAACACTCTTCCTGTCCAGTGTGAAGTTCAGCAACTGGGTACCATTTTGCGTCATCCGAAGGAATTCCTCATAGATAGCAACTCGGTCCACCCGTCGAGCCAATGGTGAGAAGTTACACAGAGAATCTACTCCTGTATGGTTGCTGTTGGAGACAGACCTGAGAGGGCAAAGAGGATGAACAAGGATGTTTGCTATTCTGCATTTATTATAGATTATCTGTTGCTAATCTCTTTATTGGAGAATTTTGTCCAACATTCTGCACTACACTTTTTGATACAGGTATTAGTTGTATCATGTTGTTACTTTATACTAGAAATGTAACTAGGCCTAAATGAGTATTCTGTATTTTACTCTCCCTTGTGCAATGGTGCCAAAAGATTGTAAGAAGCAGAGGTCATGAAGGAAGGCTGTAAAACAATGCTTTTCAGATATAACTGGACCACTGCATTCATGAACTTACAGGTGCTGTGGTAGCCTACAAATAGCTTACAGAAGATAAATCCAGGCTAAGACCTTGTTACCAAAGGCACCAAACACTTTTTCATAGGACATGGAGAAATTAAGCTGGAACTTACATGGAAGATTCTTCCCTAATGGCCAGCTTTCACAGTACTTGGGGGTGCTATGCAGGACTTTTAGAGAAAAAAGTCACTAGCTGACTTACTCATCTGTGAATCCTGGGAGTTACAATTATGAACAGTCTGGCAAAACTTTCCCATGTGTTCAACAATCACACAAATGGTATAGGGGTAACAAATTGCTCTCCAGCTGAATTTAAGACCTGCTTGATCTACAGGAGGAAATGTGTTTAGTACTGTAAATATGGCCAAGAACTCACAGTTGCGGAGCTCATAGTCCCCCCAAAATTAAGCCACTACTATTATTTTGCTAAATGGACATAGTTAGAAGAGGCAGTCAAAAATGATTCATAATTACATGGGAGTCTACCGTACCACGGGCTCCTAGGTATCTCCTTAGATGAGATTCTGCAGTCCTTTTGAAAACATATTTTTATTTGTGTGTGTGTGTGTGTGTGTGTGTGTGTGTGTGTTTTCACGTGTGCTACATTGCTAATATGGAGGTCAGAGGACAACTTTTATTTGACTCTCTCCTTTCTACAATGTGCATCTTGGGGCTCATACTTATGTCATCATTCTTATTCAGACATCTACTGAGAGACTCTCAAATCTCAAGGACACTTTATTTATCTGTTGAGTAAAGAAAACATTGGAAAAATGATTATTTATTTGAGATTGGGTGTCACTGTGTAGTGCAGGTTAGTCTTGAAACCTGATCTCCTGCCTTGGTCATTAATACTTGGACATTAGCAGGTGTGGAGGCCATAGAAGATGGTCCCCTTCCTCATAATCAGCTTTGGATTCCACAGACTCATTCCTTGTTAACACTAAACAAGTATTACATTTGCATTCCTTAAAATTTAAAATTTATATAAAAAGGTGTCAATATTGTAGTTTTGTTGAAGTCTTTTAAGGCAAAGTTACTTCCCTCTGATCAAGAGAATGTATTCTGAGTTCTACCTCTATTCCTGAGTAGAGCCATGACATGCTGTTCTGCCTTAGAGGTAAGAACATTATATAACACTATATCCCTATTTAAAAGTTAACCTAACCAGGACAGGATCTAAAGAAAGAAACAATTATCTTCCTAATAAAGTTATGTATTAAACCAGACTTTGGTGGCACACGGCTTTAGTCCCTGCACTCGGGAGGCAGAGGCAGGTGGATTTCTGTGAGTTTGAGACCAGCCTGGTCTACAAGAGCTAGTTCCAGGACAGCCTCCAAAGCCACAGAGAAACTCTGTCTCAAAGAAACAAAAAAAATATGTATTTAGACTCATGAGAAGTCTGTACTTTGATGCAGTTGCTTACAGATCCTCACTGTCTGCTTTTTCTGAGTTTTAATTTAAAAAAATCATTGTCTTTCTTCATTATATCTATCCTTTACATGCCAACCGAAGTCCTAAACATGCTTCCCCTGGCAATCTAAGCCTTCTTACTCTTTCTCTGAAGACTTTCTTCACCCTCTGTGGCCCACAAATTTCATATACTCCTTGAAGACCTCTAAGGCTTACACTGACTCAAAAATCATAGATTTTTCTTTCCCTCCTCTTCCTGGAAGGTCCCAGGATTTATACCTTGCCTGATAATTTTCTCTCAAAATCTAATAAAAGAGTTCTCAAGCTTCTCTTTTAAATGTTTTAAAAGTTGTTTTGTCAAGAAGTCTAAACTCACAAATTATAACCCCAATTTCTGAGGAAAAGAGTGCTGGGGTTACAGCTATGTCTCCATGCCTGGCTCCATGGTAGTTCTTGACTAGTCTTACTCTCATTCACAAATTAAATTTTTATATTGAAATCCAAATTATTTAAATTAAAATTATCTTGTTTGAATATTTCCATTTTTATGCAGGTGTATATTTGTATATTTATATATTTGTATATTGTATATTTGTATATTGTATATTTGTATATTTTTATGCAGGTGTATATTTTTTATGCAGGTGTATATTTTATGCAGGTGTATGTTCTACACTCTGGATTCCATGACACCACCTGCCAGTCACCATCATATCTGGTGGGCTTACAACCTCAACTAAGTTTCTAAGATAGCTGAACTTACTACTGTATAAAAAGGCTGCTTTTAAGTAACCATTTTATATCCCTTGGAATGTCTTCCCTAAAATAGAAACCAAGAAATTATGAAAAGGGAATCATTTTAACTTTCTTTCCCCTGCCCAGATTTAGGGTAACAGGTATATGAGGCCAGGTCAGGGTATTATATGTGTTCTAGGGACCCAAACTCAGATTTCCATGCAAGCTAAGTATTTTACATACTGAGGTATCTGTCCAACCTGTGCCCACCTTCTGTTTTTGAATCCACACTGTGGCTGCTGTCCTTTACAAGGCCACTAGAGAGCAATGTTGTCCTATGACTGTTCCCCTTGGCTGTACTGTTAAAACTGTAGAGATCCTACTACACATTAGTAATTTCCCAGATTTGACTGTAATCCCAGCACTCTACAACAGAGGTGGTGGTAGCAGGACCAGAAATTCAAGGCCATATTCAGTTACATAATGAGTTTGAGGTCAAGAAGTCCTCAGTGTCAATAAGTCTTGGGTTGGCACTTACCTGAAGGCTAAAACTTGACAGTCTGAAAAGTAACTTTTGATGCTGCTGTTTCTGAAAATCTTGTTGAGCTGAAAGACAGGACAGTATTTCCTATGTCAGAACCTCAGGTTCCACTGTCAAAGAAACTTGCAGCTACTAAGGATACTTCCCAATCTACGTTTTCATTGACAAATGCAAGTCCGAGCACAGGATGTCTTGTTCCGGGGTAGCTGTAGCACCCTTTTCTGGCTATCAAGTCTCTTTGTGTTTTTCATAACTTATAAATGGGAATAAGAATGTGTTTTCAAGGACTTTTATTTTTTAGAAAAATTGACCACTGATCCAGTGTTCACAGTCAGTTTCTGTCTGGGAGTGAAGTGGACAAGCAACAAGATTCTCACCGCATATTCAATGCTTCTTTTGTTTTGTTGGTGTCTGGTGGTGCCTGGCTGTGCTATGTCTTGGGAATAGGGTAGGTTGGTGATAGTGAAGTTCAGGTTGAAATGCTGAGAGCTGGAACTTGTTGGGATTTCTGTTGGCAGAAGAATAAGTGGCTTCATGTCTAGAGAGAGAGAGAGAGAGAGAGAGAGAGAGAGAGAGAGAGAGAGAGGTAAAACTTCCATATTAACTATTTGTCAACAACCAATCAGCCATTCATTATTCATTATGGATACCCAAGGAGGCCACTCATCTTAATTTACATGTAGGTTCCTAAGGAGATGACTTAGCCAGTGTGTGCTCACTTCACAAGAATGAAGACCCATGTTTGAATCCCTAACATTCAAATTAAAAATGGGAGCAATGATCTACTGCTTTTATTCTGCTAAATTTACATATTATAAACTACCTCATAGATTCATATCTCTCTACCTATAGATTAATGCTACTTTTAGACCTCACCAGAGAAGTTCTTTTGTACAGTAGAACATGATAATACTTGATAAAGAAATTCATAACTGATCAAAGTACAGAGAATAGATTTCTTTGGAGTGCTCAGCCACAAATGGGACATCTATATCACACATATACTGCCCCTGAAGGATTTTGGGGCCATTATGGAATAGGGAGTGGGAAAACTGTAAGAGCCAGAGTTCAGCAAGGACTGGAGCAAATCAGCGTCTGGTAGACATAGTAGTATTTCTGTGCTCATATACTGTCATCAGTTGTGGTTGTCGTCACAAGGTCTGTACAAGATCAAATCTCTAAACATTCCAGGATGGAGAAGAGCAGGCTTCACAAGTCTCTATCCCTAGCTAAGGAGCGTGGCAGTTAGAGACTTAGGAGGGAGGGGAAATCCGATTTTTTGTAAGAGTGTGGCCCTAGGAGGTGCACCACATCCAGTGTGTCACTCCACATCTATGCATATGGGCATCACAAACTGGACTTGATGGCTTATGAGAAACAAAAGAGGATATTAAATTTGGAGGGGGTGGAAAATGAAGCAGATAATGTAAAGAGTTGAGGGATGAGTAGGGGTGAATATGATCGTATGCATGAATGAAGTTTTCAAAATATTAATAGAATTATTACATTAAAAAGCTGGGTGTAGAATGCACCTGTAATCCTGGTATTGGGGATACTGAGACCGTAGGATTGGTGGGTCTTCTTGGCTAGCTAGCATGTTTGGATTTTGAGCTCCAGGTAGAGTCTCAAATAATAAAGTGGAATGAAATACAGAAAGACACCTGATATCAGTTTCTCCATCCATGCCAGGTATACCTCTTACAAAGTTTACATACAAAATAAAATAAACTGTTTAAACATATTTGCTTCATCTTCCTCTTCTTGCTTCTTTTGGGTGAATCAAGGGCAGGGATCATTAACATGGGCCTCCAGAAAGCCCCCTTTATATCTCCATTTCACTACTTCTCAGAAACCTTTTCCTTTCATTTAATTGATCTTATTGCTTCTGCTTTTGAAACAGCACCATCATTTGTACCTATCACTTGCAGATCTGTCAGCTGGTAGGTGGCACCCAGCCAGTGGGATGAGGCATTCAATGTCTTATTTAAAAAGACTTGCTTCACAAGGTTGGGGTCCAGATAAGAGGAGAACAGTGTCTTGATAGTGACCACCATGGAGCCCGACCTAGGCACAGAGATCACAAGAATTCAGATAATGAATATTTGCAGTGTTTCAAGCTGCTATTTTTAAAGGCTCATAGATCTAAGAGTAGGAATTGTAGTTATCCAGATTCCTCAGAACTCCTAGATTCTGTCTTTCTAGGAAATAAGCCTAAACTATTACAGTAGCAATAACAACATCCATTAAACTCTTGATATGCATTAAGAACCTTAAAAAGTGACTTCTATCATTCTGCTGGAAGGTGTTACTATAATTATCTCCACTTTGAATTTCAGAGGTGGAGCTGGAGAGATGACTCGGAATAACGACAAAAATATGAGAACCTGAGTTCAGATGACAGCACCCTTCTAGAAAACCTGGGCATGGATGTGCAGTCCTATAACCCAAGCACTATCAGGGCCAGACAGGAGGACCCCTGGTCTTGCTCACTGTAAGCCTAACTCCAGGTTCAGGGACATGACCTATCTCAAGGCAATAAGGCACAGGGTGATATAGGAGGATATCTGATATTCAGTGCTGGCCTTTGAGCATGCATGAGCAGCTGCACACATGTGAATGAACACACATATACCACATATGTACAAATAAATAAATAAATACCAAAGGTACTGGACTTTGAAAGCATTGCAAGTCCTTTGATGATTCAATACTTTCAAGCACTTTGTTCCTCCCCTAAGACCAGGGTTTAAATCTCATGTTGAAAGTCTTTAGAAAAACTCATTTATCAGTGGCTCTGATTCTCTTACATGATCATTATACCCACCTCATAGAGACCTATGAGAGAATTAAATGAGAGGGTCATGTGTGAACTGTTTATTAGGGAGGCTGGTCTAGGGTAAATATAGTTATCATCTTTATACTTTAAATTCTATGTCCAAAAAGTGTTCTCCCATTTCTATTCTGTTACCATTAAATCTATGGAAGCCGATCAGTCAGTTTCCAACCTTTAGAACTTACATCAAGTTGGTGACTGTGCAAGACTGGAATACTTCTTGTAGCTGGCTGCTTGTGTAGAGGGTGGTAACCTAGAAGGAGGAGTAGAGAAGGTTGGTCAGAGAGAAGTTCCATGAGGGTGGAGAGATCACTAGAAACCATGGAAAGTATATAGGCTTGGGGACAAAGGAGACCTCAATTCAAATACTAGTTCTGCTCTGACTTACTGTATACCTCCAGGCATCCCATAACTGGTATGGTTTGGATCTAAAATGTGCTTTGGGAAGGCTTATATGTTGAATGCCTATTCTCTATTGCATCCATATGGAGCTCACAAGATGTGATTAGATGATAAAAGATTTGACCTCTTTTTTTCTTCTATCAAGACAGGGTTTCTCTGTGTAACCCTGGTTGTGCTGGAACTAGCACTGTAGACCAGGCTGGCCTCGAACTTAGAGATCTGCTTGTCTGCCTCTGCTTCTGAGTGCTGGGATTACATGCATGTGATACCACCACCTGGCTAAGCTTTGACCTCTTGATGGACTGAGCCATCAAGGGTTCATAATCAAATGAGTACCGGGAATAGGGAAGCTGAAAGGGAAGAGGTCTAATTGGAGGAAATAGTTCATTGGCAGTGTGCTGTTGCAAGATAGGATATTTTCCTGATTCTTCCTCCCTCCCCGCTCTCTATTTTACTTTCTGGCTGGCATGCAGAAGTAGTTCTGTTCTCTACACATTCCTGACATGGTTATGTTCTACCTCACTTTAGACCCAAAGTAATGGAGATGGCTGAGCCCTGACTGATACCTCTGAGGCAATCGGTCCAAATGAAACCTTCCTTTGGCAAGCTATTTATTTCAAATATTCCATAGCAACAAAAAGGTAACACAATGCCCCTTTAAAATTTTCATTTATTATTATTTTGTGTGTATGATGTGGGGCTCACTAATGCCATGGTACATATCTAGAGGTTTTTATGAACTATTTTCCTTCCATTCTTCGATGTGGGGTGATTTGCGGTGTTTCATATAGGGATGAAACCATTAGGTTTGCCCAGCAAGTGTTTTACTCTCTAATTTCATAGTGTTCCTTTAGTGCTCATAGTGTTCCTCTATGAGCTTTAGTTTCTGTGTCTGGTAAACAGACAACTAAGGCACACTGGCACCTTTATAAACATTAGAGATGTGAAAACACATTGGTAAAGTTGAGAAGTTGAAATAATTACTTGGTAGATATACATCAGATGGAGCAATGATATGGGTACTCAGGGAAGGGAGAGATAGGAGATTTGAAAGTGGCCTCACCTTATCCTCGATGTCCTTCTCTAACATGATATACTCTGAAGATGTTGGGTCTGTGTTACTGAGGATCCAGTTGATGATATGAAAGTTTAGCTGGTATGTGCCCTTTATTGTCACATTCGGGAGCACATAGCCTATAATAACAGAGGAAAGACCATTAGTTCTTTGCACAGGACTGGAGTTATGTAGAAAACCTATTTCTGCTATGAGAATTAACTGAAAGTAGGTGTGTATGCTAGTGATATAGAGGACTCACAAACAGAAAGTTACTCCAAAGTAGGGGGCAAATTGAAGTTTTACAGATGTTCATATCACTCAGATATTTCTCTTTTCTTACTTGAGTTCTATTTTCTGGAATGTTCTTCCACCGTTTTTACTCATTTATGTTTCAGAAGTCCAACATGATGGATCTTGAGGGAAATACACACACCTATCTTGTTCACTATCTTGTCACAGTATTAAGTACACTTCTGTCATATCAGATTCCATTTTGGAAATCCTGCCTAGTCTCACCAATCCTCTGAACTACAATACACTGCTGGCCATGTGAGACTTGCTAACATAAAGAAATCCCATATGGAAGAATCTATGATCCTTTTCCCAAGGAACACATGGGTCAGACAACTGGATCTTGAATTAACATTTATCACAAATCAGTTTGGAGGCTATTATATCATGTGAAATAAATTATTGGAAAAATAAACGTCTTAGGATCTCACTTATAAGTGGAATAATTATTTTGTGAAAATATATGGAATTTCCAAGACAATTCTGAGACAATAAATACAGAGGCAATGAATAGAATAGTACTATCAGTGTGTGTGTGTGTGTGTGTGTGTGTGTGTGTGAGATGGGGAGCTGTTAGTCAAAAGGTATGGTTTCTCAACTGAAGTGTCCATCAACTGATGAGTAGATAACACCACAGACCGAAAATGAATTCTCATTTGTAGAAACTGAAGGATACTTCTGATAAATACCTGTATTCTAGAGGTGACTTAATGGAAGTTGAGAATTGTAATGACTGGAGGCTCAGGCAAAGGAAGAGGATAGTCAAAAGTTGATCAACTAGCCTTCAGTTCCAGTTATATCAATGTAAGAAACTCTGGTACTCTTACACAGAAAGTAACTACAGATGATGACACTGAACTGAAAACTTCAGAAATAGGAAAGGATTTTAAAGTATGGTTTTACTATAAAGATGTGACAAACATGGAGTTAGATATGTTTAACATGATTTAAACATTACTCTATGCAAAAATGAATGGCAACATTTTCTCCCAGGAACATGTTAGCAACTTATTATGTATTTGCGGGCCATTTAAAAGTACAATTTAAAAAAAATAAATATAGAAAAAAGTTTTTAATAAGGTAAAGCTCTGAAGATTCTTGTAACACATGGTAGCTGTAATTAATATGTACATATAATTGATAATTTAACATGTTAATTATACAAAGTGGCTTCAGTCAGGCATTTCCATACATGCATAAATATGTATGGTCATATCCATTCTTAGTTTCCTATCTCCTTCTTTCTCCCCATTTTCTCTACCATTTTCCTATCAATATACCCTTAAAGTTTTAATAGAAGATGCTTGGTTTGGTTTTGAATTATTGAGACAAAGTTTCACTCCACTTCAATGGAGTGGGAACTTACTAGGTTGCCCAAGTTGGTCTTGTACTGAGGATAAGCCCCTTGCTCCTGAATACTAGGATTATAAGTATTAGTCACTGGGCCGAGTTATGAGAAGGGATTTTAAATATTCTTCTTGTTATTTCTGTCTGTGCCTCTACCTTTCAGTAGCTATTTGCAGGATACATGTGTAAACTATTCTTGATTGTAGTAAGTCATTTCACAAGCTATGCTTGCCCCAAACTATCACTGTGATCAGTTTAGCTACATATAGTTTTACTTATCCCTTAAATGTCATCAAAGCAGGTGGGTAAAAACAAAGGAATAATCAACTTTAAAATAGATGACATTTTGTTTGGGAAGCACATTTCTCGTTATTTATCTGCCCTCCTTGTGACAGTTTAGGGAAGGTTATTATTCTACAACCAACACTCAGGCTAACTTGGTTTTACAGAGAATGAAATAGAATAATGTCATGAAATACTCATTGTAAATGCAGGTTCAGGACAACCAATCATGGTTGCCAATGGCTTTCCTAGTTCATGAGCTAGAGGCCTGACTTTCTTTTATAAAGTATTTGACTTGTATAATTATTTTCTATCCACCCACTGAAATAACCTATTTTAAGACCACTACTTGCTGTTTTTCAAGATGGCTTTAAACCTATGGGTTTAAATAATCTTCCTGCCTCATCTTTCCAAACATTGAGGACCAAATGTGCACACCACAGTCCCTGGCTACCCAATTAATATTTAATGGTACTCTCTCTGATTCCTGCTAATAAAATGGAAGTGATTCATACCTTGTTTAGTTCTGGGGATACCCTAGTGTGTGTTTCTAGTCATTCTATCCTGGATTGTTGAAGATACGGGTAAGAACTGTTGTTTCCCACCCTGAATACAATGGAACGAGGGTTGTTATTGGGTCACTTACCACTAGGGGTAGTTTCTGCAATCTGGTGAGTATAACCTAGAAAATAAGGAGGAAAGGTATTAGTGAGGTATTTGTGAAAACAGTTTAGCAATCTGGGACCCCATCTGTAGATACATTCCTTTCTAATTGGAGCAATAAGTCACTCCACCACCACAACTTCTTACCAGCTTACTAGCCATCATCTGTTACTTACCCCCTTTATGGGCATTAAACATATTTATGAACTAGTGACAGGATACCAATCCATCCCAAACTGGTTTTAGATGCTTGAGTATACTTTTAGGGGAAATTCTCTATTTACTAACTTAAGAGTGCATGATTGGGCATGAATATGATTAAAGCAAAGTGCATCATTAGAAAGTATAGCTATAGTAAACAAAGATTTATATGACCTACATATAATAATCAAAACAAAAAGCCAGCTGCACCCCACACCTAGCAAACAACTCAACTTCTTCCAGGACCCAAAGAAAATGACTCAAGACTCTTGAGCAAATCTAGCTTCAGCTTGATGCTTCTTTGCAGTTTATCTGACCTATATATTTTGCTTTGCTTTTGAATTAAAGCTCTTGCTACTTAACATCATAAACAACAATAAAAACAAAATGAACAAACAAAAAAGCTCTTGCTGTTTAATTATTTGTGTGTCCTATTTCAATTCTTTGAAGAAATACTAAGAACCTAGAAACACTAAGATCAGACAGACACTACCAGTAACTTTGGCAGGTATAGAAAAACATTAAAGGATGCCTGGAAATGCTCCACAGCAAAACACAGAACACACTCACCATTGACATAGAGACTATTCTGGTCCAGCATATAGTTGCCCAGCTGGGTGACTCCATGAGTCAACTGGCTCAGCTTTGTATACAGCTCCTGAGTGTCAAGCTCAGGATGTGCTGGGTTATGGTGATAGGAGCAGGTAGCATGCACCCCAGTGGCTGTTCCATTCTTCTTAGACCTGAAGAGAAAGGAATATAGAGAAATTAGAAAGATTCTAATAGGGATGTAAATTCCAAAGAAGGAGGACCAAGTAAAAAAGTCACAACAAGGGATGAAATGAATTAAAAAGTATAATTACCTGAGGGAAACCAGCTTGCAATCTGAATAGAGGGATTCATTCTGGACCAATGGTCCAAGCTGAAAAGGAAAAGCAAGGGAAGAGATAATGGAGGCGGGAATAGACCTCATCCAACAGGAAGTTATCAAAATGAGCATCTCACCAAGTTTTGCAGGATCCTCTCCGTAGAGTTGAACATGGCGGAGCTCATGCCTGCTGAGTATGGGAGGTTGGAGATGGTGAAACTGAGTGTGAAAGTCTTCAAATGCCCCATAGCTACAGGAAGAGAGGAAAATAAATAATCACAAGTTATAGTTTATGTGGGATAAATCTTATCTCTTGCACTAACCAGGTCATCTTCTTTCCCATTGTATGACTACCTACAATGTACCCATCCATGAAAGAACCTGAACAGCTCTTCATCTGCACATCACACTAACACTCTTTTCTGAGTGTTCTTCATATGAATTCTCTCTGCTTCCCCATCACAGCTATGTCTTATCATCCTTTGTACACACTAGAATACCCATTGAATTTTTTTGTCTGAAGGATGTTATCTACGTACTCCAACAGAAGAATCATTATATAATGGAAACCTCACTAGGACTTCCCCAACTCTAGGATTACTTATAACTCCTTTGAACTTTCAATATCAAGTTTATTTTACTGTAGTTTTGTTTCGTGTGTGTGTGTGTGTGTGTGTGTGTGTGCGTGCGTGCAGGTGCATACATGAATGCATGTCTGCATGTGTAAATGTGGGGGTCAGGAACTGATATCAACTATCTTCCTTGATCTCTATCAACCTTATATATTGAGGCAAGGTCTCTTATTGAAACTAGGGTTACATTATTGACTATACTAGCTGGTCAGTTTTCATGGGAGCCCTCTTTCTTCTCTTTCCAAGTGCTGAGTTTATGGATAGGCTACCATGTTGTAATTTTAAAACTGTAGTCCTCATGTTGGTTTAGCAAATACTTTAACCACTGTACAATCTCCCCAATCCCAAAGTGAATCCATTTGATTAGGCATTCAAGTTCTTTTCTCATTTGGTGTCTACTGACTTTTTATCATTAGTTACTTATCCATTCCTCAACTACTAGCATGACCCTGTGAGTCCACAACAAGATATACAGAAGCTATACTGGAGTGGAGCTTTTTTGGTTCAGGTAAACCAAATTCTCTACTCTCCCATCAAAATAGGTTGCTGTGAGCCACTGAGCCCTCCCTGAGGGAATACTCTCGATAAAACTCCATTCTTTATTTATCTGGGATACTCTACTCATATTGAGAGATTCAGTTCAGGTGCAACATTCCCCAGGAAGTCATTGCATATTTATATTATGCTATATGGCTCCTCTCCCACTAAAATTCCTCACTGTATTATAATTATTAATTCAGAGTCTGGTGGTTGCTTGAAGGGAGGCATCTGATTGAATTTCTAGACTTATATTTATTATTATAATGATGGCCTCACCACTAGGATATTTACACTCTAGTTTTCTAGTTGTCATATGGAAGTTAGGTAGTGAAGGAGTGGAATGGGAACCTCAGCTAGAATAGAAAAAAGAGTTCCAGCATACCTATTGTGGGTTCTGGCTGCATAGATGTTGATGGAGAAGCGAGGATGGTAGTGGGTAACTCAGGATCTGGAGAAAAGATTGTCATCAGGATGGACAGAGATGTCACATAACGAGAGAACATTCCATCAGTGATCCATGCTATGAAAATCATTCCCAGGTGGATAATAAACAAGAGTAATTGCCAGAATGAAGGCAGACAAAACTGTGAGTGTTATCAATTCAAGATAGTTAAAGTAGGGTAAACAAATAGGCCAGATGAACTGGAAGACAAAAAATGTAGAAGAAATGAATGCATGTGTAGAAGGATGATAAATAAATTAATAGTCAAAACAGATTAAAAATAAAAATAAAAATAAAGATAAGATAGAATGACATAAGGAAGATAAGATTTAAGAAACAGTAGATAAATAAATGTATATGGTGACAGATAGGCATGTGGGTGAGTAGATGGGTATATGGGTGATGGATGCAAGGATTGGTGTAGGTGGATATTTGGATGGTTGTAGGGCTATAAAGAGTAAGGACGGGTTGGGGAGAACATGCTAAGAAGAAAACTGGACAGAAAATGTTGGCAGATGGATAGGTAGATTGACAAATATACATAAATATAGATGTAGGGGTCAATGGGTTAATATATGAAGAGGTACATAGATGGATGGATAAATATATATATATGTATGTATATGTATATATATATATATGAATAAAAGACAGAAAGAAGTAATTCCAACCAGGCAAATAGACAGAAGGAGGTGATTTGTAGATAGATGGACAAATTGACAGGTATAGAAGTAGGTAGACATATGGATGGATTTCTAGGTAGGTGGGTGGTTGTCCAGCTGGATAGATGGTTATGTAGGTATATTCATGTGTTGGTAGATAGACAGAGAAAGTAAACAATTAATTAGTCAATGATAAGCAAGACAATGGGTAAAAATATTGATGGATGGATGCGGGGGATGAAAATGGATTAACAATTGAACATTAGAAGGAAAAAACAGAAGGAATGGGGATTATACATGAGAATCGGCAAGAAAGTGAGTGGGAGGATAAACAAGTAGATATGTGGAAAGATATATGAGTATATATGTGGATGGATAGATAGATAGATAGATGGATGGAAATGTGGTGCCTGAGGATGAGTGAGTAGAAAAATGAAAAAAAATATATAGCTAGGAAGACAGAGGAATGAGTCACCAAACAAGAGAAAGTGAAAATTTTGTCAAAATAACTTAAGTAGCTATCATAATTTTCTGCTTAACTATGAAGCTCCTATGAGGGGACATTTTATTTGTTTTAGAACACAAAAACTACAATCTTCTTCTGAACTCAGCTCTGTAATTCTGCAGGTAACACTTATATAAAAATCTTTCTCCAACCAAGAGGAGAGAAGAAAAATCAGAAATCTGGCACTTGAACTGAAATTACAAGAAAAGACCAGAGACCACAAATTTTCTTCCACTAAGGCTTTAGTCCCTTTCAAGACATTGGCTTATTCTTAGGATAAGTTTCCTTTAGAAATGAATAGAAATGTCTATGATCATGACCTACATAGTCCAAACTGATACATACTTGTAGGAAGTCCTTCTGCACCATGTTCATTGTAACCTATAACACAAAAGTCACATGTAAGGGGAAGTAGCAACAAGGCTCCATACACCATGCCTTAGTACACTTGGGACAGATACGGATGCATATCCTTGTATATAATTATTTAGCAACTATTTTGGTTCCAAGAGGTAACATAAATGTCAATATGAAAAATAATGTATTGCCACTTCAGCCAGATCCAACAATTCTTTACTACTTCTAGAGCATGTTCCTCACAAGAGCTTCTCATAAAATCTATCATATCTCAATTCCCATTTATACATACCCACCTACACTATCATGTTCCCTTGTACTCTCACTCTATCTATTCACCCAGTTTATGTTTATCGAGCCCTTTATATATGTGGTTTCCCCACTTCTATTTGAATAATATAGTACTGAAAAAATTCTGTGCCTCGTGGTAGTTTACATTGAGACAAACTGCATATGTAGCTTACTTGTCTCTTCTGCCTTGATTAGTGTTTGGTTAAGATGCTTGACACCCTTGAGTAGATAATATATTGAATTGTATACTTTATGAGGGCTAAAATCCTATGTATGTCTCAAAATTTCAGAATTAGAGTAAACAGACCAAAATTCAGATCATCAAACTTCTAATTATCAATAAACCTATTATAGGAGTGTAAATTTCCTTTCCCTTTCTTCAGTTCTGATTATTAAAATGAGGGTAGTAGATGGAAAGACAAGACAGCAACTCTTTGGAATGTAGGACACAGTCAATTTTGAATTGAACTGGAAGCTCAATCACTACTGACTGGTGTACCTTGTAGCAGAAGGTTAAATGCAGGCTGCTGAGAGAGAAACTAATTAACCTAGCTGTATTTACCTAGCTGTGAACCTTGTGTGTTACATTGCCAAATTCTCAGGTAAGATGTGCTCTGAGTATCCAACTGATTTCAGAATGGATTTTGGAATTGTTTATTTATGGTATTTTAAATCTCCTAAAAACATCTGATTGAGAAGGTAAATAGCTCTACATGGAAAATTACTTCAATGTTCCAAAAATTCATAGCTTCAAACTGCTTTGTAAATATTTATGTTCATAACCATAAGCAATGGCATTTCAGGCATTTCAAACAATCAGTGCAGACAGAAAAAATGCAGACTCGAGGTGTTGGGAAAGACTGTTGAGTGCAAGCATAAAGAAGACATTTACAATATCTTCTGAAGTTCAGAGAAATTTTTATATACTCAGAAGTGTAGGAAACTAAAGAATAAGTAAGGACAACTCATAGCAACCCAAAGAGCACACACACCATTGATAAATAAACCATCCTTGTCCAGTGAGTAGTTGCCCAGCTGTGTAATTCCCTGCATTAGATCTTTTAGCTGTGAGTACAGCCCCTGGATGTCCATCCAAGGATGTGCAGGGTCATGGTAGTAGGCACAGATGGCATTCACACCAGTGGCTGTTCCATTCTTCTTAGGCCTAGAGAGAGAGTCATGTAGAGAGTTTAGAATAGTCATAATTTAGTACAGAAGCAGAAGAACGGGGAGACATGAGAATGGCAAAAATAAGCAGTGGTCATTCCTGGCAAATGGACAGAAAATAGACTCACTTGAGGGAATCCAGTCTGCAACTTGAGTTGAAGGAGCCATTTTGGAACAGGTGTTCTAGCTGTGGATGGGCAAGACAGAGATGTGGATAAAAGGATCATGTAGGATTAATGTCCCTCAGGGCTGCTGGCATAAGGTTCTCACCTGGTGCAGCACAATGTTCTCAGTTGAGTTGAACACAGCTGAGGCATTGCTCACATTTGATGCATATGGAAGGTTGGTTATGGTGAAGTTGATTGTGAGGATCTGCTGATGGTGGCTCATAGCTGCAGGTAGAGAAGACGTACAACTGTGAATTTGTTGATAGCAGAGAAAAATTCTGTTTTCACCAGCTTGTCTTCCATTTCAGTCATCTTCCATATCCCAAAGTATCCATTCAGATCAGAACCTACCCATTCTGAACTACATATTACACAAATCACCTTTCCTGAAAGTTCCTAACATTAATTCCCTCTTCGTTCTACCTTAAGTTTTATCTTCTCATTCCCAGAATATATTTCCTGCAGACTTATTGGATGCTCTGTCTAAAGATGTTCTCTGTCCTTAGCACTTGAAGCATATTTCTGAAATGAAAACTCTCACAGTGATGGTTCATAGGCCATTACCTCCCATGCTTCCATGTCTGCTTTTAGTGTCAAGCACAGGCTTGCCAATTTGACACCTGTGGTGGCTTATATTGGTTGTCAACTAGTCACACTTGTGAAGAAGTTTTGAGGAATTGCTTCCATCAGACTGACCTGTGGGAATATCTATGAGGCATTTTCTTGATTGCTATTTGATATAGAAGGTGAAGTCAGTTGTGAGCAGTACCACCACCATGCAGGGGAGCTTGTGTTGTCCAAGAAAGATAGCTGATATGAGGCCAAAGTCAAGTCAGTAAGCAGTGTTTCCCCCTTGGTCCACTTTATATCCTCTCTCTAAGTTACTCCCTTGAGTTCTTACTTAGCCTCTCTTAAGTATAGACTGTTTCAAGATAGCAGAAAGACACTTAAGGAAATGCTTATCAACATTAGGCATCAGGGAAATCAAAATCAAAACCACTCTAACATTACATCTTAAACTGATCAGAATGACTGCGATCAAAAGCACCAATGGCAGCTTATGCTGGAGAAGGTGTAGAGAAAGGGAGTGCAAACTTGTACAGCTGCAGTGAAAATCAGTATGGTGATTCCTCAGAAAATTAGACATTAACCTACCTCATGACCCTGCAATACTACTGCTGGGCATACACCAAAAGGGGGCACATTGACACCACAAGGACAGTTGCTCAACTATGTTCATAGCAATACTTTTCATAATAACCTAATCTTGGAAACAACCTAGGTGCCTCTCAAGTGAAGAATGGATAAGCAAAATATGGTACATTTACACAATGGAGTACTACTCAGGTGCAAGAAGCAATGACATTCTAAAATGTGCAGACAAATACACAGAACTAGGAAAAATCATGAGTGAGGTAATCCCCCAAAAGAAAGACAAATATAGTATGTACTCACTCATATGTGCATACCAGACATAAAGAAAAAGATATCCAGCCTACAATCCATAATCCTAGAGAACCCTACTCCGGAAACAGATGGAAGCACATGTAGAAATCCACAGCAAACCAAAGGGCCAAGCTCCTGGAGTAAAATTGAAGTGAGGCAGGAGCAATAATACAAAGGAGTCAAGACCATGATGGGGAAACCCACGGAATCAGCTGACCTGTGATTGAGAGATCACTGACTAAGGTCTGACAGTAACTAACCTGCATAAGACTGAACTAGACTCCCTTAATATAGGTGATGATGGTGTGACTGGGACAATATATGAGGCCACTGGCAGTGGGTCCAAGATATAACACTAATGAACAAACTGACCTAGTGAAACCATTCTATATGGAGAGATACCTTGCATAGCCTAGACACAGGGTATGGGGGTGGAGAGGTGCATTTGTCCTGACTTCCTACGGGAGGTCTTACAGATGGTAGGAGGGGGAACAAGAGGGAAGGGGAACTGGAATTGAAATGTAAAAAATGAATGAATTAAAAAAGGGTAAAAATAGTATAGACTGTGAGTGGGCCCATATGTTGAAATAAACTCATATTTCCCCAACTTCCACATTTATCACAGCAACAGAAAGTAACCTAAAACAGCATTCAAGTAGTCTTCCAATGACTTCCAAGTCTCATTTACACATGCATCCTGACCCTACAATTATGCCTCGATAGGTTCTAAGCAGAACATATAGAGGCAGTACTTGGAGTTGAGCATTATGTTTCATGGAAATCAAATTCCTCCCAGTTCTTCCCATTCACTATATTGCTGTTGGTCTCTGAGCCTTTATACTGAGATCCTTATTTTAGGAACATTTCATGCTTCATTTATCTGGATGACTACTCATCTTGATTGATTCAGTTCTTGAGGAATTTTCCTCTGGAAATCCTTCTCCTTTCTCCATTATGTTATAGGCCTCTTAGCTGTATTCCCCAACACCACAACCATCCAAAGTATTGCAGTAGTCTACTTGTCTCAGACACATTTGCCTGCATGTGGGCAATCACACATTTGGATTGTTAGTCTGTACTTTGCACATATGAAGATCACCCTGATACTAGGGTCTTCATATCTTGGTTTCCTGGCTGTATCTGGTAGAGAGGTGGTAGAAGAGTAGAACAGGGGATCTGATCTAAGGGTAGGCACTGGGATCCCAAGATACCTGTGGCAGATTCTGGCTGCAGAGATGTAGATGGAGAAGGCAGAATTGTGGTGCCTGGCTCAGGAGCTGTGGAAGGTATTGTCATTGCTGAAATACTGATTTCCAAGAATATTTCATGCTTTTCTGGACTGCTTCCACTCATCCTGAGAGATTCAGTTCAGGATGAATCATTTCAGAAAGCCTTCTGCTCTCTCATACAAACACTGTTCATTGTTAGAGTTAATTGTCTGTCAGAGGGAGAAACACCATTCACTTATGAACTAAACTCAAGAGTGATTTTGTGAATGGAAAAGTGAACAAGACTTGGGGGGGATTTAACTCAAGATATTGTGATTAGTTTTCAGCAAAAATGATGAGCAAAGAACACAAATGTATTAGGAAGTTAGAAGATGAAAGTAGAAAATAAAAGTATATGGATGGATAGAATGATAAAAGTAGTTTCAAAGAAGAATTCAGGAAGAATTGAATCACAGATAACTTGGAGAGACTGAAGAAAGGAGATAATAAAGAACATCTAGGTGAATAAACTTGATGATGGAGAGCGTGTGTGTGTGTGTGTGTGTGTGTGTGTGTTCCTGTGTATGTGTCTGTCTGTGTGTGTTGATGCATCAATAAGGAGATTATAGCATAGGTATATGGTGATATCTTGCTTGTACAAATAAAGCATGTCTGAAACTTGGGGAATAGATCTTGCCACTAACTGCCAATAGAGATCTGGAGGTCTATACAGACAGGTAAGAAGTGAGATAGCTGGGTGCAAACAGGATATAAGCCGGGAGAAACAGGAACTTGCTCTCTTGTCTGCTGAGACCCTAAGGATGTAAGGTGTGGCCATGGTTAGCTCCATTCTCTGGCCTTCAGATAGGCTTTATTTGTAAAAGCAAGATGCCACCACATAGGTATATAGATGTGTAGATGATTACTAAATAGATGGGAAGGTGCATGGATGAGTAGATGGGTGCTGCATATATGGATACATGAATGGATTGGTTCATGAATTCACAGATAAAGGAAAAATAGAAAGTGAATGATAAACAGTTATGCAAACAGAAGAAATGGGTGCATAAATATGTGAATGGACTGAAAGATACATAAGTAGTAGCTGAGAGAAGAGTGGCTGATCATACAGGTTATCTATATATGGATATATAGGCAGGGATGCAGTAGATGAAAAGTTCATGTGGTGTATGTGTGTATGAATAAAGAAAAAAGGAAATAAAATCCAAATTGTAAAATGGAGTTTGGATTTTTGAATAAATGGGAATAATTGAATGAATGAAATCCTGAATAAAGGAAGGAGAGAGGGAAGAAACAAAGGAAATATAAAATAGATAGGAGAGTAGATGGAAGGATGGGTGGATGGATAGAATGATGATTAGATGGATCAATGGAAATGTGATTTGAGTGCAGGAATATCTAGAAAAATGGAAAATGAATAGCTGGAAATGTAAATGATGAATAGGCCACTGAGTACCAAAAACTCACCGCAAATTGAAAGGTCCTGGTAACCAGATCTAAATTAGGAGTAGCTGGGGAATACACTTGAACTTACTGGCATGGGAAAGAAATTTTGGGACTGAACCTGGACAGTATATTCTTAAAGACTAGTAATTAATAAACAGTTCTTCATGAATCTAAAAGTTTTTTCTAAAAGAAAAAGATGACATGGTTTGAATAAAATGGATTTCTGCAGAATGGCAAAATTCTTTATACCAGCTAAATAATTGACACAGAGTAGTGTCTAAAATAAATAAATAAATAAATAAATAAATAAATAAATAAATAAATAAATATATGTTAGCCATTGAGAAATCAACCCAAGTAGAAATGTGGCATGCACCAGATAATTCTTACTAAATGCAATATAAATGGTGGAGAAACATTTAAAAATGTGGAAAATCAGGGAAAATGCAATTAACACTTCTTTAAGATTGCATCTTACCCCATCAGATGGCTATTACAAAAAGCAAAGCAGAAGAATCAAAAAAGAAATGACAGCAAATGCAAACATGGATGTGAGGAAACACGAACAATTATTCACTTCTAATGGGGGTGTAATAACTACAAATATAAGTGTGGAGATTATGAAAAATGGCAGCAATAGATCTACTATGAGATATGAGATCCAGCATTATCTTTCTTGGGCATATATTCAAGTGAATCTATAAGCTTCTATGGAGTAATATACCTGTCAAAGTTTATTGCCACTCTTATCCGAATATCTAGGCAATTCTAACAATGAGATGTCTGCTAACGGATGCATACATAATAAAAATATGGTAGATTTACATAGTATTGCCGAGCTGGTAAGAATAATACAATTGCCATAGTCATTTTGAGTTTATGTGTGGATCAGTCCCATTGTTTCTTGAAGATATTATTTCCTTGGAGTCATCTACAATTCTTTGACCTATACAAGTTTAAATTAGCCAAATTACACCACTGAGAAAGGGAAGTGGACACAAAGTTACACCCCTACCCAAGAAGCTACTTGCAATTAATACCTGCCTGGAAAGGGAAAATTAATATTTTTCCAGTGCTGTTTCACTGTGTCTATTAAAAACATCCTGAGAAGGACTCATGACAAGAAATAGTTTGATAATAGAAAACTGACTCCATGATTTTTACTTTTAATTATGATATGAGATTTTTATTTCATTTTCATTTGTTTTGAATTTATTTGGTTTTTTTATTGTGTATTTGGATTTTTACTTTTGTCTCTGGGGTACAGAGGGGGAGATAGTGAGAGAATGAGGATAGAGAGAGGAAGAAAATAAATTTGGTGAGTCAGAAAGTAGAGAGAACCTGAGAGCAATAAGGAGAGTGAGAATATGACATCAAAATAAAATGCAGAAACATTTAAATAAAAAAATGACAGGATTAAGAAATGTGCAGGTAAATGGATGGAGCTGGAAACAATCCTGAGTGAAGTAAGCTGGAACCAGAGAGAAGTCATATGTCTTCAATCATTTGTAGATGCTGGCTTTGAATCTTTAGATGTGTATGCTTCATTTGATAGGATATGGTGGTATTAAGGATTTAAATGGAAAGGGCAGGGCCACATTTAGACGAAATTAGGATGACCATGTAGAGAGGGAATAAATGGAGCAATTAAAAAAACAGGCATTCAAAAAAGTCACATAGAACACTAGCACTATAGAAGCCTCCTGAAATATACGTATACACACATATAAAGAGTCTAAATGGAGCTGCTATATAATGGGACCACAGTGCCCAATTAGACACCACACAATGACAAATAATAGCCCAGAATCAGGAATGGATTATTCCTTTTGGAGGTTTTGGTGAGTGATGTGCTAAGACTCACAAAGTTTACTACCTATTGCCAATGCTCTTGGTTACCCTCCTGAACTTCTTTCTTAGAAACATATGCCTGAATTTAACACACACTAGAGCCAAAGCACATGGAAAGAGAAGTCTGTTACTCAGCTGGAAGTTTCATCCCTTCTGGCTAACTTTAGAGTGCTGGAAGGTGCTGTGCATGCTAGTGGAGGAGGAAAGGAATCTCCAAACTTACTCAGTTGTTAACCCTTTAGGTTACAACAATGACTGGCCTGGTAACACATGTCCACTGATATGATAGCAACTAAAATTCATTGTATAAAAGTCACAAAGAAATCATACAAATTAGAAAAAGCAAAAGGGAGAAGGGAACTTTAGGTAAAATACCTAAATATTTATCAAAATTTGCAGCTTGTTAATGAGCCCTGATGGGGACATTTCCATTTTAGGAGACATAAATTCAACATTAACTATCTAAACTAAGCCCCATAGATCTGTAAGTTACACTTTAACAAATATTTTTATCCAACCAAGAAGAATATGGAAAATCCAGAAACCAAACATGAGAGCTGTAGTTTTAAGAAAAGAGCAATTTCTCTGCATCTGCCTTTCATTGAGACTTTGAACTCTCTCAACAGACTGGCATGTATTTTGGTCAATGAGGACAATGAGGGGAAATGAGGGACAAAGAAACAGGTTCATCTAAATTGATACATACTTGTAGAAGTTTCTTCTGGACCAGGTTTACTATAGCCTAGAAAATAGAAGACATGTAAGGGGAAGGAAGAGCAAAGGAAATGATTCTGCATGCCTTAGTACTTATGGCCACCCATCACCCTTGTATAGATTATTGAACAACTATTCATGTTGAAAGATAGGAATTCTCCCATATTTTCCACTATACCCATCTCTTCCCCTATGTCTAGCATGTTGTCACTAGTCTTTTAGAAACCATATTTTCACACATAATATTATCTTCCCATCTCTTATACCAATATGCATCCATCCAGCAGTTCCTTATTTTCCATGGGAATTATTCCATGTTAATTCGAAGTTTATAGTTTAATTTGACGTATATAATACAGACAAAAAATACAGTGTGTTCCACTACTGCAATAACATGTGGAAAAGATACTTACTCTGTGTATTATGAATAAACTATGGTATATAGTAAATAATGAATGGAAAATGATAAGAGGGTGGAAATGCTACAAAAATACTTTAAATGGCTTAATGAAACAGATTGCATATAAAAATCAAGCACATCATCATTTCACTTGGTCAGAACTCAGTATAGGAGACAGGCAAGTCCATTTCAGCTCTGTGCTTGTTTGATTTCTATGTTCAGTTCAGAATAATGTAAACACATTATAGCTCCTTGCCAACATTATGGGGTATTATGGTTAAAATGGTTTGTCAATTGACAATACATAGAGTCCTTGAACTGATAATTCTCTGGGGATATCTGCAAGCAATTTTCTATGTCTGACTGATCAGGATGGAAAATCCACTGCAAATGAATGATGGAACAATAAGAATTGGGATACATTTCTGGATTGAAGTAGATTAGAAAGATATCTCAGCAAATATATTCACAGCCCTCCATTTGTTGAATTTGTACACATTTTGAACATACACCGAGCAAGGTACTAAGAACACATAGTAAACTTGGATAGACAGTAGTATCAATATTATTGATAGGGGTAGGAAAAATAAATAATGCTCAGGTACATTCTACAGCAAACCACAGGGAATACTCACTATTAACATATAGACTGTCCTTGTCCAGTGAGAAGATTCCCAGCTGTGTGAATCCTTGTGTTAGATTTGTCAGCTGTGAGTACAGCCCCTGGATGTCCATCCAAGGATGTGCAGGGTCATGGTAGTAGGCACAGATGGCATTCACACCAGTGGCTGTTCCATTCTTCTTAGGCCTACAGAGAGAATCATGTAGAGAGTTTAGACTAGTCATAATTTAATACAGAAGCAGAAGAAGGGGAAACATGAGAATGGCAAATATAAGCAATGATCATTCCTGGAAAATGGACACAAAGTGGACTCACTTGAGGGAATCAAGTCTGCAACTTGAGTTGAAGGAGCCATTCTGGAACAGGTGTTCTAGCTGTGGATGGGCAGGAGGGTATGAAAACAGGTGTGGATAAAGGGGTCATGTGGGATTAATGTCCCTCAGGGCTGCTGGCTTAAGGTTCTCACCAGGTGCAGCAGGATGCTCTCAGTTGAGCTGAACACAGTTGAGGCATTGCTCACATTTGATGCATATGGGACGTTGGTTATGGTGAAGTTGATTGTGAGGATCTGCTGATACTGCCCCATACCTGCAGGTAGAGAAGATGTTCAACTGAGAATATGTGCTAGCAGAGGAAAATTCACTTCTCACCAGCTAGTATTCCATTTGAGTCTTCTTCCACATCCCAAAATATCCAATCAGTCAGAACATACCCATTCTTAACTACACATCACACAAGTTGCCTTTCCTTAACATGCCCAGCATATATTTCTTGCAGACTTATGGGATGCTCTGTATAAAGACGTTCTCTAACCTGATTAATCTGAGCCTCCTTCTGAAATGAAAACTCACACCAGAGTGGTCTATAGTACATATATACTGATAGTTCAATATGCACTTCCATTGTCAAGTTTGTATTGGATGATTTGACTCTTGGTGTGGCTAATATTGGTTGTGAAGTAGTGTATTGTGGAAATAAGACTTGAAGAATTGCTTAAATTGTATTACTTGAGGCAATATGTTTGGGGCAAATTTCTTGATTGTTATTTGATGTAGCAGACACAGTCAAGTATGCATCATCATAACTAGGCAGGTGGGCTTTGGTAGTACAAAAATGGTAGCTGATACCAGGCTGATATCAAGTCAGTATGCAGTTTTCCCCAGGGGTTTGCTTTACGTTGTCTCTCTAGATTCCTGCCTTGAGTTCTTACTTGGCTTCCCTGAAGTATGCACACATACACCCCAAGCTGCTTTAGAGTATATCATTAATGAAAGCAACAGCATGCAACCTACATCAGCATTCTAGACATCTTCTAATGACTTTCATTCTCATTTACACATCCATCCTGAGCCAACCACTATGAACCTGTAGGTATTAGGCAAGACAAAAAGAGCCTGCACTGGGAGTTGAGCATTGTTTTCATGGAAATCAAATTTCTTCCAGTTCTTCCCATTCACTATATTGTTGCTGGTCTCTGCGCCTTTATACTGAGATCCTCATTTCCAGGGAACATTTCATGCTTCATTTAACTGGATGACTGTAACTCATCCCGATAGATGAGTTCATGAGGAATTTTCCCCTGAAATCCTCCCCCTTTCTCCATTATGTTCTATGCCTCTTAGTCACTCATTCCCCAACACCGCAAACATCCAAAGTATTGGAGTAGTCTACTGGTCTTAGACACCTTTGCCTGCATGGAGGCAATCACCCATTTGGATTGTTTGTCTGATCTTTGCACATATGAAGATCTCCCTGATATTAGGATCATCATATCCTGGTTTCCTGCATGAATGTGGTGGACAGGTGGTGGAACAGTGGAACAGGGCTCTAATCTAAGGTAGGCAATGAGATCCCAAGATACCTGTGGTAGATTCTGGCTGGAAAGATGTAGACGGAGAAGGTAGAGTTGTGGTGCCTGGCTCAGGAGCTGTGGAATGCATTTTTATTGCTGTAATACTGATTTCCAAGAGAATTTCATGCTTTATTCATCTGGACTGCTTCCATTCAACCTGCTTTCTTCATACAAAGACTGTTCAGAGTTAGAGTAATTTTCTGTCATAAGGAGAACCACCATTCACATGTGAACCAAGAACTAAACTGAAGAGTGATTATGTCAATGGAAAGGTGAACAAGTTTTGAGTGGGTTTAACTCAAGATATTGTGATTAGATTTCAGCAAAAAGGATAAGCAAAGATCACAAATGTATTAGGTAGTTAGAAGGGTTAAGTGGATGGATGGATGGAATGATAGAGAAATGTAGTTTCAAAGCAGAATTCAAGAAGAATCAAATCAAGGATAACTTGGAGAGACTGAAGAAAGGAGATAATAAAAGACAGTTGGGTGAGTTAGCTTGATGATGGCGAAATGTGTGTGTGTGTGTGTGTGTGTGTGTGTGTGTGTTCCTTTGTTTGTGTCTGTGTCTTGATGGATGAATAAAGAGATTATAGCATAGGTAGATTGTGATATCTTTCTTGTAGAAATAAAGCATGTCTGAAAATTTGGGAATGGATCTTGGCACTAACTACCAATGGAGTTCTGGAGTTCTGTACAGACAGGCAAATAGTGAGATAGCTGGGTGCAAACAGGATATAAGCAGTGGGAAACAGGAATTCTCTTGTCTGCTGAGACACTTAGGATGTAAGGTGTGGCCATGACTAGCTTCATTCTCTGAAAGATACATAAGAGGTATGTGACAGAAGAGTGGATGATTATTCAGGTTATGACTATATAGATATATAGGCAGGGATGCAGTAGATGAAAGTTCATGTGGATGTGTGTGTGCATGAAGAAAGAAAAATGTAAATACAGTCCAAACTGGAAAATGGACACTAGTTTGGATTTATCAATGAATGTGGATGTTCTTATGAGTGGAATCCAGAATAAAGGAAGGAGAGAGGATAGAAATAAAGGAAATATAAAATACATAGAATAGACTGATGGATGGATGGATGGATGGATGCATGCATGCATGCATGGGTAGATGGATGGATGCATTCATGGGCTGACGGATGGGTGGATAGAATGATGATTAGGTGGATTCATGGAAATGTGATTTTAATGCAGGAATATCTAGAAAATTGGAAGAATGAACAGCTAGAAATGTAAATGATGAATAGACCACTGAATACCCAAAAATAATTACAAATAGATTACATAATATTTCCAAAGTCATGGTACCCTGATCTAATTTAGGAGTAATTGAGGAATACACTTCAAATTACTGGCATGCCAAAGAAATTTTGATACTGGACCTAGACAGCCTAGTCTTAAATACTAATAACTATTAAACAGTTCCTCGTGAATCTAAAAATTTCTCTACAGAAAAATATGACATTGTTTCAAAAATAGCTTCCTGCAAAATGGCAAATTTCTTTATAACAGCGAAGTAATTGACACAGGGCTAGTGTCTAGAATAAATAAATAAATATATAAAGGAAGAAAGAAATAAATAAAAGTTAGCCACCAAGAAATCAACCCAATTACAAATGTGGTATGGTTCAGATAATTCTTACTAAATGAAATATAAATGGTGGAGAAAGGTTTCAAAAATGTAGAAATTCTGGAAAAATACAATTAACTCTTCTTCAAGACTGCATATTAACACCATCAGAATGGCTATGATAAAAAGCAAAGCAGAAGAATCACAAAAGAAATGATGACACATGCAAATATGGATGTGAGGAAACAGGAACTATTATGCCCTTCTAAATGGGGTATAATCACTACAAAATAAGTGTGGAGATTCCCAAAAATGGCAGTATTATGTCCACTGTGAGATCCAGTATTATCTCTCTTGTGCCTACATTATGGAGTAACATACTTGTCAATATTTATTGCCACTCTAATCTGAATATCTAGGGAGTTGTAACAATCTAGATGTAAACTAATGGATGGATACATAATAAGAAATATGGTAGAATAACATAGTATTTCCAAACTGGTAAGAATAATACAATTGCCATAATCATTGTGAGTTTGTATGTGGATCAGTCCCATTTTGTCTTGAAGATATTATTTCCTTGGAGTCATCTACAGTCCTTTGACCTATACAAGTTTAAATTACATCACTGAGAAAAGGAAGTGGACACAAAGTTCCACCACTAGCCAAGAAGCTACTTACAATTTATACCTGCCTCAAAAGTAAAAATTAATGTTTTTCTACTGCTGTGTCACTAAGTATATTAAAAATACCTGGAGAAGGACTTATGACAAGAAATAGTTTGAGAATAGAAAATTAACTTCATGATTTTACATTTAATTATGATATGAGATTTTTGTTTCATTTTCATATGTTTGGAATTTATTTGTTTTTTATTGTGTATTTGGATTTTTACTTTTGTCTCTGGGGTACATGGGGGAGAGAGAGTGAAAGAGGATAGAGAGAGGAAGAAAATGAAGTTTGGTGAGTTAGAAAGTAGAGAGAACCTGAAAGCAATAAGGAGAAGGGAACATGACATCAAAATACTTTGCAGAAAATTTTAAATATGCAGACATCCACAGCAAAACACTGTGCTGGACTCCTGGAACCCAGTGACAGAGATCGAGGAGTGATGAGCAAAGTGGTCAGGACTGTGCTGATGAAACTCACAAAGACAGCTGACTGGACAAGGGGGAACTCTTGAACCCCAGACTGATGGCTGAGAGGCCAGCAGGGCACTGATCCAGACTCTCTGAATGTATTTGTTAGTGAGGAAGCCTCAGCATTCTTTGGGGCCTTGGGTAGTAGATCAGTGTTTACTAGTGTGTATGAATGAACTTTGGCAGTTCACACCACATGAAGGGATGCTCTCTCAGCCTGAACACATGGGGAAGGGCCTAGGTCTGTCCCTGAAAGAAATGACAGACTCCAGAGATCCCTCTGTGGAGTGACTCACCCTCCATAGGGAATGAATGGTGTGGGGATTGGGTGGGAGAATAGGGGCCTGGTGGAGTGTTAAGGTGGGAGGGGTTGGAGAGGGAGTTGGTATTGACATTTGAAGCATGCATGTTTCTAAATTAAATGAAAAAATATATTGAGAAAAAGTGGGCATATTTGGACAATGTACATTTATGTATATATATTCTATATATTTTACTATGTACACATCTATATACACAAATGCATCCACAATAAAAAGAGGAAACATATTCAAGAAAAAAATGATAGAGTTAAGAAATATGCAGTAAATGGATGTAAATGGAAACAATCCTGAGTGAGTTCATCTGGAAACAGAGAAGAAATCATATGTCTTCAATCATTTGTAGATGTTAGCTTTGAATCTTTGTATGTGCATGTTTCATTTGATAGGACTGGCATCTATTTGGATCAATTTTCCTTTGGAAATAAGGAGAATTGAGGGACAGAGACCTAGGTTGGTCTTAATTGATACATACTTGTAGAAGGTTCTTCTGGACCAGGTTGACTATAACCTAGAAAATAGAAGCCATGTAAGGGGAAGGACAAGCAAAGGAAATGATTGTGCATGCCTTGGTTCTTATGGTACCCCACCATCCTTGTATAGGTTACTGAGCAACTCTTCATGTTTTAGGATCAAACAAATGCTCCTGGATATGAATTTCCTCCTATTTCAACTGTATCCATCACTTCCCCTACATCTAGCATGGTGTCAGTAGGCTGTTATAAACGATATTTTCACACACATGATTACCATCCCATCTCTTCTACCAACATGCATGCATCCTGAAGTTCCTTATTGACCATTTTCTATGGGAAGTATTCCATTTTAATTTGAAGTTTATAGTTTTAATTTGAAGTATATAATACAGACAATTTTACAGCATGTTCCACCAGTGCAGTAACATGGAGAAAAATACTTGCTCTGTGTATCATCAATAAACTATGATATATAGTAAATACTGAATAGAAAATGATAAGAGGGTGAAAATGCTACAAAATTACTTGAAATAGTTTAATGAAACAGTTTGGGCATAAATAGCAGTAAATCATAATTTCAATTGGTCAGAACTCAGTATAGGTGACAGACAAGTCATGTTTCAGCTCTATGCTTGTGTTATTTCTATGTTCAATTCAGAGTAATGTACATACATTGTAGCTCCTTGCCAACATCATGGGGTATAATGGTTAAAATGGCTTGTCAATTGACAAGACATAGAGTCCTTGAACTAATAATTCTCTGGGTATATCTGCAAGCAATTGACTATGTCTGACTGATCAGGATGGAAAATTCAGTGCAAATGAATGCTGGTTCAATAAGCACTGGAATACATATCTGGATTGAAGTAGAATTAGAAACATATCTCAGCAAATATATTCATAGCCCTTCATTTGTTGACTTTGTACACCCATACCTCTTTGCCAGGCTATTCCTGTGTGCTCCTTGGATTCCTGAAACAAGGTACTAAGAACACATAATGAACTGGTATAGACAATAGTATCAGGATTATTGATAGAGGTAGGAAAAATAAATGATGTTCAGGCACATTCTGCAGCAAACCACAGGGAATACTCACTATTAACATATAGACTGTCCTTGTCCAGTGAGTAGATTCCCAGCTGTGTGACTCCTTGTGTTAGATTTGTCAGCTGTGAGTACAGCCCCTGGATGTCCATCCAAGGATGTGCAGGGTCATGGTAGTAGGCACAGATGGCATTCACACCAGTGGCTGTTCCATTCTTCTTAGGCCTAGAGAGAGAGTCATGTAGAGAGTTTAGTGTAGTCATAATTTAGTACAGAATCAAAAGAATGGGGAGACATGAGAATGGCAGCAATAAGCAGTGGTCATCCTGGCAAATGGACAGAAAGTGGACTCACTTGAGGGAATCAAGTCTGCAACTTGAGTTGAAGGAACCATTCTGGAACAGGTGTTCTAGCTGTGGATGGGCAGGAGGGTATGAAAACAGGTGTGGATAAAGGGGTCATATATGATTAATCTCAGTCAGGGCTGCTGGCATAACGTTCTCACCAGGTGTAGCAGGATGTTCTCAATTGAGTTGAACACAGCTGAGGCATTGCTCACATTTGATGCATATGGGACTTTGGTTATGGTGAAGTTGATTGTGAGGATCTGCTGATATTGCCTCATACCTGCAGGTAGAGAAGATGTACAACTGAGAATTTTTTGCTAGCAGAGGAAATTTCTTTTCTCACCAGCTTGTCTTCCAGTTCAGTTCTTCCACATCCCAAAGTATCCAATCAGTCAGAACATACCCATTCTTAACTACACATCACACAAATTACCTTTCCTTATCATGCTCACCATATATTGCTTGCAGACTTATGGGGTTCTCTCTATAAAGAATTTGTCTAACCTGAGCAATCTGAGCCTCCTGCTGAAATGAAAACTCACACCAGGTTGATCTATAGTACATACCTACTGATGGTTCAATATGCACTTCCAGTGTCAAGTTTGTATTGGATGATTTGACTCTTGGTGTGGCTAATATTGGTTGTGAAGTAGTGTATTATGGAAATAAGAATTGAAGAACTACTTAAATTGTATTACTTGTGGCAATATGTTTGGAGCAAATTTCTTGATTGTTATTTGATGTAGCAGATATAATCAAGTAGGCATCATCATAACCAGGCAGGTGGGATTTGGTAGTACAAGAATGGTAGCTGATTCCAGGCTGACATCAAGTCAGTATGCAGTTTTCCCCAGGGGTTTGCTTTAGGTTCTCTCTCTAGATTCCTGTCTTGAGTTCTTATTTGGCTTCCATGAAGTATACATACATACTCCCCCAAGCTGCTTTAGTGTACAGCATTAATGAAAGCAACTGCATGCAACCTACATCAGCATTCTAGATATCTTCTAATGATTTCTTTCTCATTTACACATCCATCCTGAGCCAACCACTATGAACCTGTAGGTATTAGGCAAGACAAAAAGAGCCTGCACTGGGAGTTGAGCATTGTTTTCATGGAAATCAAATTTCTTCTAGTTCTTCCCATTCACTATATTGTTGCTGGTCTCTGCGCCTTTATACTGAGATCCTCATTTCCAGGGAACATTTCATGCTTCATTTAACTGGATGACTGTAACTCATCCCGATAGATGAGTTCATGAGGAATTTTCCCCTGAAATCCTCCCCCTTTCTCCATTATGTTCTATGCCTCTTAGCCCCTCATTCCCCAACACCTCAACCATCCAAAGTATTGCAGTAGTCTACTGGTCTTAGACACCTTTGCCTTCATGTAGGCAAGCACACATTGGGATTGTTAGTCTGATCTTTGCACATATGAAGATTTCCCTGATATTAGGATCATCATATCCTGGTTTCCTGCATGAATCTGGTAGACAGGTGGTGGAAGAGTGGAATAGGGGATCTAATCTAAGGTAGGCAATGAGATCCCAAGATACCTGTGGTAGATTCTGGCAGAGATGTAGATGATGAAGGTAGAGTTGTAGTTCCTGGCTCAGGGTCTGTGGAAGGGATTGTTATTGCTGAAATACTGATTTCAAAGAGAATTTATGCTTTACTTATGTGGACTGCTTCCACTCATCCTGCTTTCTTTATATGAAGACTGCTCAGAGTTATATTAATGTTCTGTCATAGGGAGAACCACCCATTCACATGGGAACCAAGAACTAAACTGAAGAGTGATTTTGTGAATGGAAAAGTGAACAAGACTTTGAGTGGATTTAACTCAAGATATTGTGGTTAGTTTTCAGCAAAAAGGATGAGCAAGGAACACATATGTGTTAGGAAGTTAGAAAATAAACGGGGTAAGTGGATGGATGGAAGGAATGATATAGAAAAGTAGTTTCAAAGCAGAATTCAAGAAGAATCAAATCAAAGATAACTTGGAGAGACTGAAGAAAGGAGATAATAAAGGACAGTTGGGTGAATGAACTTGATGATGGCACAATGTCTCTGTGTGTGTTTGTTGCTTTGTATGTGTCTGTGTGTGTTGATGGATGAATAAGGAGATTATAGCATAGGTATATTGTGATATCTTTCTTGTAGAAATAAAGCATGTCTGAAAATTTGGGAATGGATCTTGGCACTAACTACCAATGGAATTCTGGAGTTCTGTACAGACAGGCAAACAGTAAGATAGCTGGGTGCAAACAGGATATAAGCCGTGGGAAACAGGAATTCTCTTGTCTGCTGAGACACTTAGGATGTAAGGTGTGGCCATGACTAGCTTCATTCTCTGAAAGATACATAAGTAGTATGTGACCGAAAAGTGGATGATTATTCAGGTTATGAATATATAGATATATAGGCAGGGATGCAGTAGATGGAAGTTCACGTGGATGTATCTGTGCATGAAGAAAGAAAGAAGTAGATAAAGTTCAAACTGGAAAATGGATACTAGTTTGGATTTATCAATGAATGTGGATGTTCTTATGAGTGGAATCCTGCATGAAGGAAGGAGAGATGAAAGAAACAAAGGAAATATAAAATACATAGAACAGACTGATGGATGGATGGATGCATGGGTGGATGAATGGGTGGATAGAATGATGAACAGATGTATTTATGGAAATGTGATTTTAATGCAGGAATATCTAGAAAAATGGAAGAATGTACAGCTGTAAAGGTAAATGATGAATAGACCACTGAATACCTAAAAATCATCTCAAATAGATTATATAACAGTTCCAAAGTCATGGTACCCTGATCTAATTTAGGAGTAACTGGGGAATACACTTGAAATTACTGGCATGAGAAAGATATTTTGTTACTGAACCTGGAAAGCATAATCCTAAATACTAGTAATTATTAAACAGTTTCTCATGAATCTAAAAATTTCTCTACAGAAAAAGATGACATTGTTTGAACAAAATAGCTTCCTGCAAAATGGCAAAATTCTATATAACAGCTAAGTAACTGACACAGGGCTAGTGTCTAGAATAAATAAAAAATAAAGGAAAAATAAATAAATAAAACTTAGCCATCAAGAAATCACCCCAATTAGAAATGTGGTATGGCTCAGATAATTCTCACTAAATGAAATATAAATGGTAGAGAAAGATTTAAAAAATGCAGAAAATCTGGGAAAATACAATGAACTCTTCTTTAATACTGCATGTTACCCCATCCGAATGCCTATGAAAAAAAGCAAAGCAGAATTATCAAAAAAGAAATGATGACAAATGCAAACATGGATGTGAGGAAACAGGAACAATTACTCACTTCTAATATGGGGTGTAATCACTACAAAATAAGTGTGGAGATTCCTAAAAATGGCAACATTATGTCTATTGTGAGATCCAGCATTATCTCTCTTGGGCCTTCATTCAAGTGAATCTATATGCTTCTATGGAGTAACATACTTGTCAATATTTATTGCCACTCTAATCTGAATATTAGGGAATTATAACAATCTAGATGTAAACTAATGGATGGATGCATAATAAAAATATGGTAGATTAACAGTATTTCTAAGCAGGTAAGTATAATACATTGCCATAATCATTGTGAGTTTGTATGTGGATCAGTCACATTGTGTCTTGAAGATATTATTTTCTTGGAGTCATCTACAGTCCTTTGACCTACACAAGTTTAAATTACACAAAATTATATCACTGAGAAAGGGAAGTGGGCACAAAGTTCTACCCCTAGCCAAGAAGCTACTTGCAATTCATACTTGCCTTGAAAGTAAAAATTAATCTTTTTCTAGTGCTGTGTAACTAAGTATATTAAAAACACCCGGAGAAGCACACATAACAAGAAATTGTTTGAGAATAGAAAATTTACTCCATGATTTTTACTTTTAATTATGATATGACATTTTTTTCATTTTCATATGTTTTGAATTTATTTTTTATTGTGTATTTGGATTTTTACTTTTGTCTCTGGGGTACATGGGGGAGAGAGAAAAAAGAGGATAGAGAGAGGAAGAAAATGAAGTTTGGTGAATCAGAAAGTAGGGAGGATCTGAGAGCAATAAGGTGAGGGGAACATGACATCAAAATACTTAGCAGAAAATTTTAAATAAATAATGCAGATACTATGCAGATACCCACAGCTAAACACTCAGCTGAACTCCTGGAACCCAGTGACAGAGATCGAGGAGTGATGAGCAAAGTGGTCAGGACTGTGCTGATGAAACCCACAAAGACAGCTGACCGGACGAGGGGGAGCTCTTGAACCCCAGACTGATGGCTGAGAGGTGAGCAGGGCACTGATACAGACTCCCTGAATGTAGTGTTAGTGAGGAGGCTTCAGCAATTTTGGGGGCCTTGGGTAGTAGATCAGTGTTTACTGTGGTGTATGAATGAACTTTGGCAGTTCACTCCACATGGAGGGATGCTCTCTCAGCCTGGACACATGGGGAAAGGCCTAGGTCCTTCCCTGGATGAAATGACAGACTCCAGAGAACCCTCCATGGAGGGCTTCACCCTCCTTGGAGTATGAGTGGTGTGGGGATTGGGTGGGGGGATAGGGGACTGGTGGAGGGTTAAGGTGGGAGGGGTGGGAGAGGGACCTGGGATTGTCATGTGAAACATGCATGTTTCTAATTTAAATGAAAACATATATTGATAAAAAGTGGGCATATTCGGAGAATGTACATTTATGTATATATATTCAATATATTTTGCTATGAACACATCTATATATACAAAAGCATCCACAATAAAAAGAGGAAACATATTCAAGAAAAAAATGATAGCGTTAAGAAATATGCAGTAAATGGATATAGATGGAAACAGTCCCGAGTGAATTAATCTGGAAACAGAGAGAAGAAATCATATGTCTTCAATCATTTGTAGATGTTAGCTTTGAATCTTTGTTTGTGCATGTTTCATTTGATAGGACTGGCAGGTATTTGGGTCAATTTTCCTTTGGAAATAAGGAGAATTGAGGGACAGAGACCTAGGTTGGTCTTAATTGATACATACTTTTAGAAGGTTCTTCTGGACCAGGTTGACTATAACCTAGAAAATAGAAGCCATGTAAGGGGAAGGACAAGCAAAGGAAATGATTGTGCATGCCTTGGTTCTTATGGCACCCCACCATCCTTGTTTAGGTTACTGAACAACTATTGATGTTTGAAGATCAGACAAATGCTCCTGGATATGAATTTCCTCCTACATCAACTGTACCCATCTCTTCCCCTACATCTAGCATGTTGTCAGTTGGCTCTTCTAAACGATATTTTCACACACATGATTGTCTTCGCATCTCTTCTACCAACATGCATCCAGGAGTTCTTTTTGACCATTTTCTATGGGAAGTATTCCATTCTAATTTGAAGTTTATAGTTTTAATTTTAAGTATATAATACAAGCAGACAATATGTACAGTGCAGTAACATGGGGAAAATACTTGCTCTGTGTATCATAAATAAACTATGGTATATAGTAAATACTGAATGGAAAATGATAAGAGGGTGGAAATGCTACAAAAATACTTGAAATGGCTTAATGAAACTGGTTGAATATAAATAGTAGCACAACATAATTTCAATTGGTCAGAACTCAGTATAGGTGACAGACAAGTCTTGTTTCAGCTCTACGTTTGTTTGATCTCTATGTTCAGTTCAGAGTAATGTACATACATTGTAGCTCCTTGCCAACATCATGGGGTATTATGGTTAAAATAGCTTATCAATTTACAAGACATAGAGTCCTTGAACTGATAATTCTCTGTGCATATCTGCAAGCAATTGACTATGTCTGGCTGTTCAGGATGGAAAATTCAGTGCAAATGAGTGCTGGTTCAATAAGCATTGGAATACATTTCTGGATTGAAGTAGAATTAGAAACATATCTCAGCAAATATATTCATAGCCCTCCATTTGTTGACTTTGTACACATTTTGATTACACACCCATACCTCTTTGCCAGGCTATTCCTGTGTGCTCCTTGGATTCCTGAAACAAGGTACTAAGAACACATAATGAAGTGGTATAGACAGTAGTATCAATTTTATTGATAGAGGTAAGAAAATTAATGATGCTCAGGAACATTCTACAGCAAACCACAGGGAATACTCACTATTAACATATAGACTATCCTTGTCCAGTGAGTAGATTCCCAGCTGTGTGACTCCTTGTGTTAGATTTTTCAGCTGTGAGTACAGCCCCTGGATGTCCATCCAAGGATGTGCAGGGTCATGGTAGTAGGCACAGATGGCATTCACACCAGTGGCTGTTCCATTCTTCTTAGGCCTACAGAGAGAATCATGTAGAGACTTTAGAATAGCCATAATTTAGTACAGAAGCAGAAGAACGGGGAGACATGAGAATGGCAACAATAAGCAGTGGTCATCCTGGCAAATGGACAGAAAGTGGACTCACTTGAGGGAATCCAGTCTGCAACTTGAGTTGAAGGAGCCATTCTGGAACAGGTGTTCTAGCTGTGGATGGGCAGGAGGGTATGAAAACAGGTGTGGATAAAAGGATCATACGGGATTAATATACCTCAGGGCTGCTGGCATAAGGTTCTCACCAGGTGCAGCAGGATGTTTTCAATTGAGTTTAACACAGTTGAGGCATTGCTCACATTTGATGTGTATGGGAGATTGGTTATGGTGAAGTTGATTGTGAGGATCTGCTGATATTGCCCCATACCTGCAGGTAGGGAAGACGTACAACTGAGATTTTTTTGCTAGCAGAGGAAAATTCTCTTCTCACCAGCTAGTCTTCCATCCCAAAGTATCCAATCAATCAGAACATACCCATTCTTAACTACACGTCACACAAATTGCCTTTCCTTAACATGCTCAGCATATATTTCTTGCAGACTTATGGGATGCTCTTTATAAAGAATTTGTCTAACCTGAGCAATCCGAGCCTCCTTCTGAAATGAAAACTCACACCAGGGTGATCTATAGTACATTCCTACAAATGGTTCAATATGCACTTCCAGTGTCAAGTTTGTATTGGATGATTTGACACTTGATCTGGCTAATATTGGTTGTGAAGTAGTGTATTATGGAAATAAGAATTGAAGAATTGCTTAAATTGTATTACTTGAGGCAATATATTTGGGGTGATTTTCTTGATTGTCATTGGATATAGCAGTTACAGTCAACTCTGCATTATCGCAGCCAGGCAGATCACCTTGGGTAGTCAAGAGGTACATGATATGAGGCTGGCATCGAGTCAGTAAGCAGTGTTCCTCAGGATTTTGCTTTATACCCTATTTCTTGGTTCTTGTTTTGAGTTCTTATGTGGCTTTCCTGAAGTATACACACATAATACCCCAAGCTGCTTTAGAGTTTGTCATTAATCAGAGCAACCGTATGAAACTTCTGTCAGCATTCTAGACATCTTCTAATGACTTCCATTCTCATTTACACATCCATCATGAGCCAACCACTATGACCCTGTAGGTGATAGGCAAGACATAAAGAGCCTGTATTGGGAGTTGAATATCGTTTTTCACGGAAATCAAATTCCTCCCAATTCTTCCCATTCTCTATATTGTTGTTGGTCTGTGATCCTTTATACTGAGATCCTCATTTCCAGGAACATTTCATGCTTCATTTAGCTGGATGATTCTAACTCATCCCAAGATATTCATTTCAGGAGGAATTTTCCCCTGAAATTCTTCTGCTTTCTCCATTATGTTATATGCTTGTTAGCCCCATTCCCCAACTCCACAAACATTTAAAATATTGCAGTAGTCTAATTATTTCAGAAATCATTGCCTGCATGTGGGCAATCTCCCATTTGGATTGTTAGTCTGATCTTTTTGCATATGAAGATCACTATGACACTAGGGTCTTCATATCCTGGTTTTCTGGATGAATCTGGTGGACAGGTTGTGTGGATCAGGGGATCCAATCTAAGGTAAGTAATGAGATACAGAGATACCTGTGGTAGATTCTGGTTGCAGAGATGTAGATGGAGAAGGTAGAATTGTGGTGCCTGGCTCAGGAGCTGTGGAAGGAATTGTTGTGGCTGAAATACTTATTTCCAAGAATATTTCATGCTTTACTTATCTGTATTGCTGCCACTCATGCTTAGAGATTCATTTCAGGATGAATATTTTTCAGAAATTTTTCCCCTAAGTTCATTACGTGACTTTTCTTAGTTAGAGTAATTTTCTTTCAGAGGGAGAACCATGAACTAATGTGAAGAGTGATATTGTGAATGGAAAAGTGAATAAGACTTTGAGTGCTTTTAACTCAAGATATTGTGAGTAGTTATCAGCAAAACGGATGAGCAAAGAATACAAAGGTATCAGGAAGTTAGAAAATAAAAGTTTTAAGTAGACGGATGAATGGAATGATAGAGAAAAGTAGTTTCAAAGCAGAATTCAAGAAGAATCAAATCAAAGATAACATGGAGAGACTGAAGATAGGAGATATTAAAGGACAGTTAGGTGAATGAACTTGATGATGGCAAAATGTGTCTGTGTGTGTTTGTGTGCGTGTGTGTGTATGTTTGCTCCTTTGTATGTCTTTGTGTTGATAGATGAATAAGGAGATTAAAGCATAGGTATATTGTGATATCTTTCTTGTAGAAATAAAGCATGTCTGAAACTTTGGGAATGGATCTTGGCATTAACTACCAATGGAGTTCTGGAGGTCTGAACAGATAGGCAAACAGTGAGATAGCTGGGTGTAAAGAGGATATAAGCAGGGAGAATCATCAACTCACTGTCTTGTCTGCTGAGATACTATAGATGGAAGGTGTGGTCATGGCTTTCTTTATTCTTTTAAAGACACATATGTAGTAGCTGACAGAAGAGTGGATGATTATTCAGGTTATGAATATATGGATATATAGGCAGGGATGCAGTAGATGAAAGTTCAGGTGGATGTATGTATGCATGAAGAAAGAAAAAAGTAAATAAAGTCCAAAATGGAAAAGGGATACTAGTTTGGATTTATTGTGAATGTGTATGATCTTATGAATTAAATCCTGAATAAAGGAAGGAGAGAGGGAAAAACAAAGGAAATATAAAATAGGTAGAATAGATGGCTGGCTGGATGGATGGATTAATGAATAGATGGATAGATGGATGGATGGATGGATGGATAGAATGACAAATGGATCGATTGATAGAGATGTGAATGAGTACAGGAATATCCAGAAAAATGAAGAATAAACAGCTGGAAACGTAAATGATGAATAGACCACTGAATGCCCAAAAATTATCTCAAATAGATTAAATAGTAGTTCCAAAGTCCTGGTATCCTGATCTAATTTAGGAGTATCTGGGGAATACTCTCGAACTTAATGGCATGCAAAAGAAATTTTGTTACTGAATCTGGACAGCATAGTCTTAAAACTAATAATTACAAAACAGCTCCTCGTGAAACTAAAAATTTCTCTACAGAAAAAGATGACATTGTTTGAACAAAGTGACTTTCTGCAAAATGGCAAAATCTTTATACCGGCTAAATAATTGACACATGAATAAATAAAAGGTTAGCCATTAAGAAATCAATACAAGCATGAACTAGGACATTTAAAACACAGCTTAAAGTTTAGCAAAATGGCAATAGGAACAGCATTAATCTCATTACATGGAATTTACTGGCACTCACTACATGCCATTTAGGAATCTAAGCCAGATGCACATATACACATTAAACTGTATATTTAATCAAAGGAATCCTAATGAGTTTCAATTGCTTTTTCTCTAGTTTAAAAATACTGAAAGGGGCTTAAAGTAATTGTCCAAAGTACATAATTAATGATGGTGAGAATCAAGCCCAAGGTTTTCAAACACCAAGTTCATGGTACAGCCTTAAACTATAGGCAGCATTTGCTCAGTGGGTTTTAAGTTACTAGCTGAAGTTAGTATTGATTTCAAATGAAAGACTGACCAAGAGAGGATGCTTAGAAAGACAGGCTGCTGGGAGTAAAGTATCACCCAAGGATAGTCAGCTCCAATTATGTTAAGCAATAGATGGTTGGAATTCAATCCAGGTACAGGTGGCCAGTATGCTTGGGTAGAATTCCTAAGATAGCTTTAAATTTTAGCAACATTAACCACTTGTTAACATCTGCCTATTTATATTGATTACTGTTCCTTCTTAAGTATCTCCCTTAATTTCACCTTTCATATGATAGATATTTTTAGGTTTGAGGTAAGCCAAATAAGAAAACAAAAGTAACATGGGCATGCTAGAAATGTAAGATGACTTGTAATTTGAAGCTATGGATTGGCATTTATTTTGGTACACTGAATGGAAACAAATAAAAATATCCCTTGATTCTTCTTAGAAGGTGAAGTCAAGTTTGAAGAACAATCTAAACAAAACAAGCAAACAAAAATATATGCAAACAGAAAAATTGCAGAAGTTCCTAACAAGTCAAAAGTTACAAGAGAAATTAATAGTCTTATAGCCTGTGGTCAAATGCATTGCTTTCTTCAATTTGGTTATAACTAATTTGTGCAGGTGGCCAGCATTTCCAGGAGGTTGTCTAGATACTATACTAATGGAATGATTATTTCCATTCCACTATTTACAGAAAAATTTTAGTGCCAATATAAGAGGGTTTTATTAATCTCTAGAGTTTAGATATCATAATCACAAACACTGGGAAGAATAAAGTAATTAAATGCAGACACAGTATAAAATGTATTAAAAGCAGATGAGAAAATGAATTCATATAAAGACATTGAATAGTTGTGAGACATCAATAAATCTCTCTTGAAATTAATCTTTTTCTAATGCATTTTAATCAAGTAATTGAAATGAAAAATTTTCATCATTAAAACATTTATTATCCATGTGAACTTCTGCATATTCAATGAGCTGTGAAATGTCTTTTAAAAGCAAAATAAATTATCATAAATGTGTTAAAAAAAAAGAAATCAATACAAGACCTGTGGGTCCGACAGAAGGACAAGGTAAAAGAGGCCCTGCATCCAGACCTGCATTCCAGTGCCTCGGGAATGCCACAGAGCTTTCCATCCTAGCAGGAAGCAAACTCACCAGATCCCAGGTCTTTTCTTGCTCCAATGAGACCAGGGAAACAGTCATTCCAGAGGCAGGACCAAGTAAAACAGGCCCTGCATACAGGCCTGCATTCTAGTGCCTGGGGCTTGCCTGGGAACTGCCACAGAGCTTCCCATCCTGGCAGGAGCCAAGCATCCCAGGTCTTCTCTTCCACCAATGGGAATAGGGGACAAGGTGGAAGACTAAGCACCCCAGATTCCTAGACTTCTCCTCCACCCACGGGACCAGAACTAGGACAAGGAATAGAAGAACTCAAAGAGTATTGGACTTGATTGCACCCACCAAAAGGGAACTCTGGTCCCCTAACCACCAGACAAGTAAGGGGCTCTTTCTGCACCCACTAGAAGAAGAGATGGGAAAGAGACAAAACAAAAACACACTCAGCAACAGAAAAAGAAATATGACACCACCAGATTTTAGAGACAGCACACCAGCAAGACTCCAACATTCCAATGCAAATGAAGCAGAAGAGAATGACCTTAAAAAAAAAACTCCATGAAAATGATACAGGCTCTAAAAGAGGATATAGGAAAATCCCTTAAAGAAATGGAAGAAAAAAAAACTTTAAAAAATGCAAGAAATGCTAGAAGAAACAAACCAAAAAATGCAAGAAATGCAAGAAAAAACAAACCAAAAGGTTCATACAATGCAAAAAATGGACAAAAAGATAAACCAAAAAGCATCCACATTTATAAAAGAAACATTGCTAAAACTTAAATCACATATAAAGCCCCACACACTTATAGGGGGCGATTTCAACACACCACTCTCACCACTAGACAGGAATACCAGACAGAAACTCAACAAAGAAACAAAGGGTCTAATAGAAGTAATGACCCAACTGGGATTAACAGACATCTATAGAACATTTCATATATATGAAAAAGAATATACCTTCTTCTCACCACCGCATGGTACCTTCTCAAAAATCGACCACATACCTGGCAACATATCAAACATCAGCCGCTTCAAAAAAATGGAATAACTCCATGCATCTTATCAGACCACCATGCTTTAAAATTAGAATTAAACAACAACACAAATTGCAGAAAACCTACAAATTCATGGAAATTGAATAATGCACAACTGCACCATTCCTGGGTCAAAGAAGAAATAAAAAAAGAAATTAAAGACTTCCTAGAATTCAACGAGAATGAAGACACAACATACCCAAACCTATGGGACACTTTGAAAGCAGTGCTATGGGGGAAGTTCATAGCACTAAGTGCTCACATGAAGAACCTGGAGAATAGTTATACTAGAAAATTAACAGCATAGCTGAAAGCTCTAGAACACAAAGAAGCAAAACTCCCCAGGAAGAGTAGACTCCAGGAAATAACCAAATTGAGGGCTGAAATCAATAAATTAGAAACTAGGAAAACAATACAAAGAATCAATGCAACATAGAGTTGGTTCTTTGAGAAAATCAACAAGATAGACAAACCTTTATCCAAACTTACCAAACAGCAGAGTGTGAACATGCAAATTAATAAAATAAGAAATGAAAAGGGGCACATAACAATGGACTCTGAGGAAATACAGAGAATCATCAGGTCATACTTTAAAAACCTGTACTCCACAAAATTCGAAAATTTAAAGGAAATGGACAACTTCCTGGATAGCCATTACTTGCCAAAATTAAATCAAGAACAGGTAAGCAATTTAAATAGACCTATAACCCCTGTGGAAATAGAAGCAGTCATCAAAAGTATCCCAACCAAAAAAAAGCCTAGGTCCAGATGGCTTCAGTGCAGAATTCTACCAGAAATTCAAAGAGCAGCTTATACAAATTCTTCTCAAAGTATTCCACGCAATAGAAGCAGAAGAGTCTTTGCCAAACTGTTTCTATCAGGCTTAAATAACCTTGATCCCCAAGCCACACAAAGACACAACTAAGAAAGAGAACTTCAGACCAATATCCCTCATGAATATTGATGCAAAAATCCTCAATAAAATACTGGCAAATTGGATCCAAGAACAAATCAAAACAATCATTCACCAGGATCAAGTAGGTTTCATCCCAGGAATGCAGGGATGGTTCAACATACGAAAATCCATCAATGTAATCCACCATATAAACAAGCTGAAAAACAAAAATCACATGATCATCTCACTAGATGCTGAAAAAGCCTTTGACAAAAGACCCAGGATATGCAAAACAACCTTACTCAACAATGCAACATTTGGAGGCATCACCATCCCCTACCTCAAGCTCTATTATAGAGCTATAATCCTGAAAACAGTTTTGTATTGTCAGAAAAATATACAGGTAGACCAATGGAATCGAATTGAACACCTTGATGTTAACACATACATGTATGAACATCTGATCTTCGACAAAGAAGCTAAAAATATGCAATAGAAAAAAGTTATGCTGGCATAACTGGATGCTGGCATGTAGAGGAATGTGGATAGATCCATGTCTATCACCACTCACAAAACTTAAGTCCAAATGTATCAAAGAACTCAACATAAATCCAGCCATACTGAATCTCTTAGAAGAAAAGTGTATGTTTCCCTTGAACAAATTGGTACTGAAGACAGCTTCCTGAACATAACATCAGTAGCACAGACAGTGAGATCAACAATTAATAAATGGGACCTCCTGAAACTGAGAAGCTTCTGTAAGGCAAATGACACAGTCAGCAAGACAAAAAGGCAGCCCACAGAATGGGAAAATATATTCACTAACTCCCACATCTGACAGAGGGCTTATCTCCAAAATTTGCAAAGAATTCAAGAAACAAATCTCTAAAACAGCAAAGGATCCAATTAAAAAGTTGGGCTACAGAACTAAATAGAGAATTTTCAATAGAGGAGTCTAAAATGGCTGAGAGGCACCTGACATAGTGCTCAATATCCTTTGCCATCCTGGAAATGCAAATCAAAACAACTCTGAGATACCATCTTACTACTGTTAGAATGGCCAAAATCAAAACCACCAATGACAATTTATGCTAGAGACGATGTGTGAAAGGGGAACATTCCTCCACTGCTTGTGGGAGTGCCGACTTGTACACTTGTACAGCCACTTTGGAAATCGGTATGGAGATTCCTCAGAAAAATGGAAATAAACATACCACAAGACCCAGCAACTCCACTCTTAGGCATATATCCAAAAGATGCCCATTCATACAACAAGGATATCTGTTCCACTATGTTCATAGCAGCATTATTTGTAATAGCCAGAACTTGGAAGCAACCTAGATGCCCCTTTACCAAAGAGTGGATAGAGAAAATGTGCTACATTTACATAATGGAGTACTATTCAGCAGAAAAACACAATGGAATCTTGAAATTCGCAGGTAAATGGATGGCACTAGAAGAAAGCATCCTGAATAAGGTAACCCTGTTACAAAAAGAGAAGCATGGCATGTACTCTCTCATGTAAGGATTTTAGACATAGATCTGGGGAATGCCAGCCTACAATCCCATGGCCAGAGAGTCTGGGAAACAGAACCTTCATTTAGTGGCTGATGGAAGAAGAGGCAGACTCCCAAGGCTAAGCAGTGAGCTGAACTCAAGAAATCTAGTGAAAGAGAGGGAGGACTGACTACCAAAGGGATTAAGACTGGGCTGGTTTAACCCCCAGAAACAGCTGGCCTGACAAGGGTTAGTTCTTGAATCCCAGACTTATGCCTGAGAATCCAGCATGGGACTGATCAAGACCCCTTGAATATTGGTGTCAATGTTGAGGCCTAGGTTATCTATTGAGCCTTGGGTAGTAAATCAGTATTTATCCCAAGTATACAAATGGATTTTGGGCTCCCATCCAACAATGAGAGATTCACTCTCACCCTAGACTCTTTTGCGAGGGTCTAGGCCCTGCCCTGGATGAAATGACAGACTATGGATACCCCCATGGAGGGCCTGACCCTCCCTGGGGAAATGAGGGGATATTGAGGTGTTGGCGGGATGGCGTAGGAGGAGCAGAGGGAAAGGGAGAGGGACCTGGAATTGACATGTGAAGCAACCTTGTGTCTAATTTAAATTTAAATTTAAAAATAAAAAAATCAACACAATTATAAATGTGCCATGGCTCAGATAATTTGAAAATGTACAACATCCCTATGTGTCAGGGAAAATATAATTAACTCTTCTTTAAGATTGCATCTTACACCATCAGAAAGGCTATGGAACAATGCAAAAGAAACAAAAAGAAATGATGACAAGTGCAAACATGGATGTGAGGAAACAGGAACAAATATTCACTGCTAATGGGGAGGTAATCTCTACAAAAATAAGTGTGGAGGTTCCTAAAAATGGCAGCAGTAGACCTACTGTGAGATCCAGCATTATCTCTTTTTGGCATGCATTCAAGGCAGTCTATACTTGTCAATGTTTATTGCCACTCTAATAGGAATATCTAGGGAACTGTGGCAATCTAGATGTCCATTAGCTGATGGATACATAATAAACACATGGTAGATTTACATAGTATTTTTAAGCTCATAAGATTAATACAATTTTCATAGTCATTGTGAGTTTAAGTGTGTCACAATCGAATTTTGTCTGGAAGATACTATTTCCTTGGAGTCATCTACAGTCCTTTGACCTACACAAGTTTAAATTAGACAAAATTACACCACATAGAAAGGGAAGTGGACACAAAGTTACACCCTTACCCAAGAAGCTACTTGCAATTTATGCCTGCCTAGAAAGGGAAATTAATTTTTTTCTAGTGCTGTTTCACTGTGTATATTAAAAACACCCTGAGAAGGACTCATGCCCAGAAATAGTTGGAGAATATAAAATTGACTTGATGATTTTTATTTTTAATTATGATATGAGGTTTTTGTTTCATTTTCATTTGCTTTGAATTTATTTGTTTTGTTGATTGTGTATTTGGATTATCACTTTTGTCTCTGGGGTACATAGGGGAAGAGAAATAAAAGGGGATAGATAGGGGAAGAAAAGCAAGTTTCATGAGTCAGAAAGTAGAAAGGACTTGAGAGCAATAAGGAGAGGGGAACAGGACATCAAAATAAAATACAGAAAATTTTAAATAAAAAAATGACAGGGTTAAGAAACGCACAGGTAAGTGGATGGAGCTGGAAACAATCCTGAGTGAAGTAAGCTGGAACCAGAGAGAAGTCATATGTCTTCAATCATTTGTAGATATTGGCTTTGAATCTTTAGATGTGTATGCTTCATTTGATAGGATATGGTGATATTAAGAATTAATAGGTAGAATAGAATGAAAAGGTAAGGGTCAAATGGCAAAGAAATTAGGATGACCATGCAGAGAGGGAATAAATGGAGCAATTAAAAAAACAGGCATTCAAAAAAGTCACATAGAACACCAATATTATAGAAGCCTCCTGAAATATATGCATACACACATATAAAGAATCTAAATGGAACTGCTTTATAATGGGACTATTGTGTCCAATTAGACACAACACAATGACAAATAATAGCCCAGAATCAGGAATGGATTATTCCTTTTGGGTTTGTTGGTGAGTGATGTAGTACGACTCACAACGATTACTCCTGAACTAATTCCGTAGACAAACAATGCTAAAGATAAAGCACACTTGAGCCAAAGCACATGGAGAGATAAGGCTGGTACTCAGCTGGAAGTTTCATCCCTTCTGGCTAACTTTAGAGTGCTAGAAGTTGCTATGCATGCTACTGGAGGAGGAAAGGAATCTCCAAACTTACTCAGTTGTTAACCCTTTCAGCTATAACAATGACTGGCCTGGTAACACATGTCCATGGATGCGATAGCAAGTGAAATTCATTGTATAAAGCTCTCAAAGAAATAACACAAATTAGAAAAAATAAATGAGAGAAGGTCATTTTAGTTAAAATACCTAAATATTTATAAGAATTTGACGCTTGTTAATGAAGACCCTGATGACATCATTTCTTATTAGGAGACATAAATTAGACAGTAACCATCTAAACTAAGCCCCATAACACTGTAAGTTACACTTTAACAAATATTTTATCCAACCAAGAAGAATATGGAAAATTCAGAAATAAAACATGAGAGCTCCAATGTTAAGAAGAAACATTTTCTCTGCATCTGCCTTTCATTGAGACTTTGATCTCTCTGAACAGACTGGCATGTATTTGGGTCAATATTTCTTTGGAAATAAGGAGAAATGAGGGACAAAGACCTAAGTGGGTCTAAAATGATACTTACATGTAGAAGGTTCTTCTGGACCAGGTTGACTATAACCTAGAAAATAGAAGACATATAAGGGGAAGGAAGAGCAAAGGAAATGATTCTGCATGCCTTGGTCCTTATGGCACCCTACCACCCTTGTATAGATTACTGAACAACTATTCACGCTGTAAGATGGGACCAATGATACTGGAGATGAATTCCCTCATATTTCAACTTTACCAATCTCTTCCCCTACATCTAGCATGTTGTCAGTAGACTCTTATAAACCGTATTTTCACACACAAGATTATCTTCCCATCTCTTGTACCAATATGCATCCATACAGCAGTTATTATTGACCATTTTCTATGGGAAGTATTCCATTTTAATTTGGAGTTTATAGTTTTAAATTTGAAGTATATAGTACAAACAGACAAAATATACAGTGTGTTCCACCACTTCAGTAACATGAAGAAAAGATACTTGCTCTGATTATCATGAGTAAGCTATAGTATATAGTAAATACTGAATGGAAAATGATAATAGTGTGGAAAATGTTACATAAATCCTTGAAATGGCTTAGTGAAAAATATTTGCTATAAAAACCAGCACCTCATAAATTTGATTGGTCAGAACTTAGTATAGGAAACAGGCAAGTAAATCCCTTTTCATCTCTGTGTTTTGTTTTTCTTTGTTCAATTCAGAGTAAATGTACATTCATTAGAGCTCCTTGCCAACATTATAGGGTATTGTGGTTAAAATGGCTTGTCAATTCACAAGACATAGAGTCCTTGAAATGACAATTCTCTGGACATATCTGCCAGCAACTTCCTATATCTGGCTGATCAGGATGGAAAACCCAGTGTAAATGAATGTTGGTTCAATAAGCATTGTGAAAAATTCCACAAATAGTGCTGGCATAACTGGATATTGGCATGTAGAAGACTGCCGATAGGTCCATGTTTATTGCCATGCACAAAACATAAGTCTAAATGGATCAAAGACCTCAACATAAATTCAGCCATACTGACCCTCTTAGAAGAGAAAGTGGGAGATACCCTTGAACTAATTGGTAAAGGAGACTGCTTCCTGAACTTAACACCAGTAGCACAAACACTGACATCGACAATTAATAAATGGGACCTCCTGAAACTGAGAAGCTTCTGTAAGGTAAAGGACACAGTCAGAAAGACAAAAAGGCACCCCACAGATTGGGAAAAGATATTCACTAACCCCACATCTGACAGAGGGCTGATCTCCGATATTTGAAAAGAACTCAAGAAGCAAGTCTCCAAAACATCAAAGGATCCAATTAAAAAGTGGGGGACTGAACTAAATAGAGAATTCTCAATAGATGAGTATAAACTGGCTGAGGGATACTTTAGAAAGTGCTCAACATCATTAGCCATTAGGGAAATGCAAATCAAAGCAACTCTGAAGTAGAATTATAAAGGAAACTCTGCAAATATAGTCACAGTCCTCCAGTTGTTGACTTTGTACACATTTTGATCATACACCTATACCTCCTTGCAAGGCTATTCCCGTGTGCTCCTTGGATTCCTGAAACAAGGTACTAAGAACACAGAATGAACTGGTGTAGACAGCACTACCAATATTATTGATAGAGGTAGAAAAATAAAGAATGCTCAGGTACATTCCACAGGAAACAGCAGAGAACACTCACTATTAATATGTAGACTATCTTTGTCCAGTGAGTAGTTTTCCAGCTGTGTGACTCCTTGTGTTAGATTTGTCAGCTGTGAGTACAGCCCCTGGATGTCCATCCAAGGATGTGCAGGGTCATGGTAGTAGGCACAGATGGCATTCACACCAGTGGCTGTTCCATTCTTCTTAGGCCTAGAGAGAGAGTCATGTAGAGAGTTTAGTGTAGTCATAATTTAGTACAGAATCAAAAGAATGGGGAGACATGAGAATGGCAACAATAAGCAGTGGTCATCCTGGCAAATGGACAGAAAGTGGACTCACTTGAGGGAATCCAGTCTGCAACTTGAGTTGAAGGAGCCATTCTGGAACAGGTGTTCTAGCTGTGGATGGGCAGGAGGGTATGAAAACAGGTGTGGATAAAGGGGTCATATATGATTAATCTCAGTCAGGGCTGCTGGCATAAGGTTCTCACCATGTGTAGCAGGATGTTCTCAGTTGAGTTGAACACAGCTGAGGCATTGCTCACATTTGATGCATATGGAAGGTTGGTAATAGTGAAGTTGATTGTGAGGATCTGCTGATGGTGGCTCATAGCTGCAGGTAGAGAAGACGTACAACTGAAAATTTGTTGACAGCAGAGGAAAATCCTGTTCTCCTCAACTTGTCTTCCATTTCAGTTTCTAACCACATCCCAAAGTATCCATTCAGATCAGAACCTACCCAAATTCTTAACTACACATCACACCAATCACTGCTCCTTAACATTGCTCACAGTAATTCTCTCTAAATGTAGCTTAGGTCTTATTTTCTTGTGCCCATAATATATTTACTGCAAACTTGTTGGATGCCCTGTCTAAAGATGTTTTCTATCCTGAGCAATAGAAGGAGCTTTCTGAAGTGAAAGTTCAGTAGTACCCATTGTTCCATGTGTACTTCCAGTGTCAAGTTTGTATGTAGAAATTTGACACATTGTGTGGCTAATATTGGTTGTTAAGTAGTTACATGTTTGAGTAAGAATTGAAGAATTGCTTCCATCAGAGTGACCTAAAACAGTATCTATGGGGAATTTTTGATAGCTTTTTCATATAGTAGACACAGTATTCTATGTGCAGCACCACCACTAGGTAAGTGGCCTTTGGTAGTACAAGAAAGGTAGCTTATATTATGCAGAAATCAAGTCAGTTCCCGAAGTATTTGCCTTATATCATCTCTCTATGACACAGTAGGTGCTAAGCAGAACATATATGCTCTTCACTGGGAGTTGAGCACTATGTTTCATTGAAATTAAACCCTTCCCATTTATTACCATTCACTATATTGTTGTTTGTCACTGAGCCCTTAGACTGAGATCCTCAATTCCAGGAACATTTCATGCTTCATTTATATTGAGCACACCTACTCATCCCAAGAGATTCAGTTCATGAGGAATTTTCCCCTGGAAGTCTTTCCTTTTCTACATTATGCTATATGCCTGTTAAGCACACCCCCACTCATATACAAAAACATTCAAAGTATTGCAGTAGCCTATTTGTCTCATATTCCTATTCTTTGCATGTGAGCATGCGCCCATTTGGATTGTTGGCTTGATATTTGCACATATGAATATTTCCCTGACACTAGCATCTTCATATCCTGATTTCCTGGCTGTATCTGGAATATAGGTGGTGGAAGGATGAGACAGGGGATCTGAGCTAATGTGATCCTGAAATACCTGTGGTAGATTCTGGCTGCAGAGATGTAGACGGAGAAGGTAGAGCAGTGGTGGCTGGCTCAGGAGCTGTGGAAGGGATTGTCATTGGTGAAAATCTCATTTCCAAGAACATTTCATGTTCCATTTATCTGGATTACTCTTACTCATCCTGAGAGATTCAGTTCAGGAAGAATTTTTTTCTCAGAAAGCCTTACTCTTTTTATATACATGAAAGATTGTCTGTAGTAAGATAGGCTTTTCTACCTGTGGTCAGAGGTAGAATGACAATTAACAGGTGATCCATGAACTAAATTGATGTGATTGTGTGAGTGGAGAAATGAACAAATCTATGTGAATGGTATTAACTCAAAATATTGAGATTAGCTTTTATCATACTGGATGAGCTTACTGGATGACATAAGTGGATTAGGAAGACACAAAATAGAAAGTGTAAATATGTAGACTTAAGAAAGGATATATAAAAAGAGGGCCAAGGGAGTTGGAGAGATAGATCACAGGTTAAAATACTGGCTGCTCTTTCAGGGGGTTCTGTGTTCAATTCCCAGCAGCAGTAGTTGCTCATAATCATCTATAATAAGGTCTAGTGCCTTCTTCTTATGTGCTAGCACCCATGCATAGAGAACACTGTATACTTAATAAATGTATAAATGTTTATAAATAAATACAGAGAACTCAAGAAGATTCAAATTAAAGACACCTTGGAGAGATTTAAGAAAGGAGGGAATGAACAACTAAGCAAATGAACTTGATGTTGAGTAAACAAGTATGTGTGCGCCTTTTTTGTGTATGTGTGTCTCTGTGTCCATATTTATTGATCATTAGGCAGATTATAGCATAGGTATATAGATGTGTAAATGATTATTGAATAGATAGGAAGGTATATGAACGAGTAGATAGGAACTGGATGTATGGATACATGAATGGATTGGTTTGTAAATTCACAGGAGAATTAAAGACAAAAAGTGAATGCTAAGCATCCAAGAAAACAGAAGGAATAGGTATATAAACAGTTGAATGCACTGAAAGATACATAGGTAGTAGTTGACAGAAAAGTAGATGATCATGCAGGCTGTGAATATATGGATATATAGGTAAGTATGTGGGAGACTAAATATGAGGTGGATCTATGTATGAATGGATAAAGAAAAAGGTAGAAATAATGTTTAGTCTGCAAAATGGACAGCAGTTTGGGTTTATCTGTGAATGTGGATGAGTGAATGAACCCAATCATGAACAAAGGAAAGAGAGAAGAAAAAAGTAAATGCAAAAGAATAGGTAGGAGAATGGATGGATGGATTTAGGAATGGATGGATGGATAGATACATCAATGGATAGATAGATGGATGAATGAATCAATGGTTCAATGGATAGATGTATAAAATAATTGATGGAAATATGGTATAAGTATAGGAATAACTAGAAAAAAATGGATGAATGAACAGCTGGAAAGATAAATGATGAATAGGCCCCTGAACACCTGAAACTCAAGTCCAAATATTTAACACCTTTAAATAAGTTCTGATACCCTGATGTAATTTAGAAGAAAGTGGGAGTACACTTGAACTTACTGGAATTGGAGAGAATTTTTGGTACTGAACCTGGATACCATAGTCTTAAAGATTAACAATAAATAAAAAAGCTTCCCTACAGGAAAAGGTCTGTATGAGCAAAGTGGCTTCCTGTAGACTGGCAAAATTCTTTATCAGCTAAATATCTGACAGACGATTAGTGTCAAGAATAAACAAATAAATAAAAAAATTAGCCACCAAGAAAACAAGCCAATTATAAATTGTTCCATGTCTCCAATAATTCTCACAAAATGAAATACGAATTTTTGAAAAAATGTTCAACATCCCTAGGTATCAGAGAAAAACAACAAAACTTCTTTAAGATTTCTTCATAATATGGTACCCAGCCACAAGAAAACAAAGATGGGCCTTCATCCAGTAGCTTACGGAAGCAGAAGCAGACACCCACAGCTAAACACTGAGCTGAACTCTGGAGTCCAGTTGCAGAGATGGAGGAGTGATGGGCAAAGGGGTCAAGACCAGGCTGGAGGAACCCACAGAAACAGCTGACCTGAACAACAGGGAGCTCATGGACCACCCCAGACTCATAGCTAGGAAACCAGCATATGATTGTTCCAGACCCACTGAACAAGGGTATCAGTTTGGAGGTCTGGTGAATCTATGGGTACTCTTTTAGCAGATCAGTATTTATCCCTAGTACATGAATTGACTTTGGGAGCCCACTCCCCATAGAGGGATACTCTCTCAGCCTAGACACATGATGGAGGGTCTAGACCCTGCTCCAAATGATGTGACAGACTTTGAAGATCCCCCATGGAGGGCCTCCTCACCCTTCCTGGGGAGTGAAAAGGGGATAGGATAGGGATTCTGTAGGGGCAGAGAAGGAAGGGAGGGAGAGGGAACTAGGATTGACATGTAAAACAAGCTTGTTTCTAATTTAAATTTTAAAAAAGGAAAATATCATCTTACTCCTATCAGAATGGCTAAGATCAGAACTAAACAAACAAACACAAAACAAATGCCAACAAAGGCTGGCATGGTTGTAAGCAAACAGGAACAATTATTCACTTCTCGTGGGGGTGTAACCACTACAGAAATAAATGTGAATGTTCCTAAGAAGCTGCAGATAGATCTATTATGAGATTCAATGTTACTCTTCTTTGGCATACATACAAAGAATTCTATATTTTTATACCAGTTAGCTAGCATGGAAAAACCATTTGTGAATAAATGTGAGTAATGTAAACATTGGAGTACATTCTTGAAAGTAGATACAGGAAGTAGAAAGGAAGCTCAGCAAACTATCTCAAATCCTTCTGTTTCCTGATTTTGTACACAATATGAACATACATCCATACTCCCTTGCCATGCTATTTGCATGTTGTTCAGGAGTTCTGGAAATGAAGTATTAAGAACATAGAATAAATTTATCTAGACAGAACTATCAGTTCTAATGTTAGATGTAGGAAAATATAATATATGACTGGGGACATTCCACAGCAAGCTCAGATCATACTTACAATTCACATGTAGGCTTTCTTTGTCCAGTGTATAGTTGCCCAACTCAGTTATTCCATGAGTCAGTTTGCTCAGGTCAGAGTACAGTCCCTGGGTGTCCAACCCAGGATATGCTGGGTCATGGAAGTAATTACAGATGGCTTCTACACCAGTGGCAGTTCCGTTCTTCTCAGGCCTATGTTACGTGGATTATAGAGACTTTAGAAATGTTGTAATGTAGATAGGAACCAGGAGGAAGGAATAAGCAGAGGGGCAAGAATGATAGATTTTAGGCAAATGGACACCTGAGAGAATCCAGTCTGCAACTTGAGTTGAAGGAAATGTTATGGAGCAAGGGTGCCATCTGGGGAGAAAAACAAGGAAAGTAATGAAAACAAAATTTGGATTGAGTGGGTAAATTAATTTATCTAAGCAGAAACTCCTGGAATAAGGATTTCACCAGGTTCTTTAGGAGATTCTCAGTGGAGTTGAACACAGCTGAGCCATTGTTCATATTTGATGAATATGGAAGGTTGGAAATGATGAAGCTGACTGTGATAGTCTTCAAGTGGTGCCCCACAGCTAAAAGAGATAAGGAGAGATATAACTAAGAATTTACCTGGGACCAGATTGGAATCATATACTCATCAAGTCATATCTCCTTGTGTCTTATCACTTAACAATGTACCCATTCTGACTACAATCTTAATATCACATCTCCACACCACACCAATTCATCTTTTTGAATGTTCCTAGCACACTTTGTGTGTACTTTCCCAGTGTGACCATATCTTCTCTTATCCGCACTACTATCCTAGAAGACTCATAGGATATACTGTCTACAGATCTTTTTCTACACAACATAAGAGGGGTGTTCTGAAAAGAAAGTCTTACTGAGACTGCCGTGTCATTCCTACAACTCATGTCTGTGCAGTTTCAGTGTTCCATTTGAGTGTTTTGATTTGTCATTTCCAATCTAGTTCTCATGACCTTTTAGCTTTGGTGACTCATCAGTCTGGATCTACCTTCCTGCCTGTATGTCTTCGGATGAGAAACGCAGAGGCTATTTTGGGAGATGAACTTTATGCTCCATAAAAGCACAAATCTACTCATTTATCCAAATATAATGTTTTTCTGGATTTAGGAGCCCTCATTGTTAATATCATTTCAAGAAGCACTTGTGTCCTATTTATCTGGACCACTCCTACTCAGCATGAGCAATTCAGATCAGATTGGACTGACACTTGGAAGCCCTTTACTCTCTACAACATGTGAGCTCTGTAACCACACCAAATTACACACTACACTGCAATGGTCTGTTTATCTTGTAATCTTGGTGGTTGTCTGAGGCTTGGCAACTGATTGAATTGCTTCTGTAAACTTTTTGTCTGTAATGATAGCTGTGGCACTGGGTTCTTCATATCCTTGTGTATAGAACTCATACAAATATCAGGACTGCGGCACAGGGGGTCTTATTAAAAAAAAGAGAAACAGGTCCTCTGATACCTGTGGTGGATTCTGTTTGCACAAGTGTTGATGGAGAGGGCAGTATGATAGTGGCTGATTCTGGATCTGTGGAAAGGGATGTCATGAGAGATGGGCAAATCCACATGTAATTAGAAAATCCCATGCAGCACTAGTCCCAGGCAGAATGAGCCATTTGTAGGAGGATAATACACAGAACGGATCAAAGCAGTGAATGGGTGCCAGTGTTGAAATATTCTATGAATGAAATTAACTCAGATACTGAGAGTGGTTGGTTGGAGAAAGGCAGAGAAAGAAGGACGAATTAATTGAAAGACAATAATGTAATGGCATACAGATAAGTAGAAAGAAGAATAATAAGTACCTGCAGAAATAGAAGGAAGGAAAGAAGGAACAAACAACATGTAAATAAATGAATATAATGAATGGTGGGGAAGTTTGTTAATAGATTTGTCTTGATGTAAGTATATGAATGAATAGGTAAGTGAATAGCTAGTGGATAGATAGACTTACTTGCAGGTGGTCAGGAAGGTAAATAGTTGGATGGATGGGTTGATGACTGACTGAATGGTGGATGGATAAATGAATGACGAGGTGATGAATGGATGGATACATGTGCATATGGATAGGTAGATGCACAGACAAAATAAAGAGAAAAGAAATGGATGCTAAGCAAAACAATAGATGAGAGTATATAGGTAGGTAGATAGTTTATTGGATTGACAGATTATAGATAATGAATACATGGGTGGGTGGTTGTGTGGTGGACGGGTATATGAGTGGATAGGTATGTAGGGTAATGGACAGATAACTTGGTAGTGGTGTTTGTGTGTGTGTATTTAAAAGAGAGCTATATCAAAGAAATAAAGAAAAAGCTAGCAAATGGAGATTAAGTATGAGTTAATGGATAAATAGTGAATAGATGAAGAGTTAGAAGGATGAATAGAGAAGCAATGATAGAATAAATGAAGAAATAGAGCAGAGTAGAAAGGAGGATGAATGGATGACAAATAAATGGGCAGGTGGGTGGGGTTGGGTAGATGGATAGATGTCAGAAAAAGTGGCTCTGAACAAACAATAACTAGCAAAGATAGATGAAAGGAATAATGCATGAGTGGACTATTTTACCCAAACACTTTAGTAGACATCACAATTTGATACTTAACAATGAAGCCCTTACTACAACCTCAATAGCATTTGATTTAGGTAACATAAACTTCAGTTTCTTAATAATGCCATACAATGTAATTGTTCTATTTTCTTCTTCTGGTACAGAAGATTGAGCAAAATTCAGAAATCCAACAAAAGGACTTCTGTCCCCAAAAGAGTCTAACAACTCTGTATCTTCTTCCACTGAGACTGGATCATGTTTAGGCCAAGCTTCCTTTAGAAGTGAGGAGAAAAGCATGGACCAAGACCTAGGTCAGGCTAAACTGGCACTTACTTGTGGTTGGTTCTTCTGTACCAGTTCCACTGTAACCTAGAAAAGAAAAAAAACAAATAAGGATAATGTGTTACATAGTCCTTAGCACCATTCATTAATCCATGTGGAAACAATGTAGATATGTATCACTTTATACACTGACTGAGCATCTACTGATGTTCTGTGGTCTGATTTAATTGACATTATTTAGAATGTCCTGGTGTTTCAACTTACCTAACTCTTCACTACCAAATCTCAATTGTGCTCCCTCAAAGTGTGTCTTATTTTCATGTGTCAGTCACTCAACATATTTATATGCATCCACTCACGTCATCATCATTTCTACTCTCTCTCTCATCTCTCTCTCTCATATATATATATATATATATATATTCATCCCACATATATTTATTGGGAAGTTATCATGTGTGGTACTGCATTTTCCCTTGAAGAATGTAGAATTGAGCTAAAAAAACACCATGCCCAACTACTGTTTATACTAGAACAAGGTAAAAATGTAACTTATTTGTTTCTAGTATCAACTATAATGTCTGAAATGCAACCTATATTTGTAAAACATTGAGTGAGCAATACAATGATCAAGTTAAGTTGTGTAAGCTATTATAGAGAAAAATCCGACATGAGTCCTTGCAATGGCCAAGTTAAAGGAGCAGACTTAAATTTCGAACATTAGAATTCATATTCAGACAGTAGGCATGTTCATTTACCTACATGTGCTTTAATTTTTCTCTTTGTTAAAATGAGAATAACTTTGGTAAACATCATTGTACACAGTGGTGAATACTGATTGCAAACTGACAAGATCCCACAAATTTCAAGAAGACAAAGCTCTTGGCATTCTGTGAGGGGGCTTCGGGATTGACTTAAATGAACTGCATTGTTTCACCCTAATTCTTGGTAGTTCCATTCTATGGACAGGCTTCTAAACTATAAAAGAAATAGGAAGAGAGAGATGAGAGCTATTATTTATATTTACATATATCTTCTTCTTGACTTGAGACACCATGTAACCAACTATATCTACTTTCCTAAAATGCTATTTATGGGTACTCTCAAATTCTTGGAATAAGAATCTAAGAACATGGAAGCAACTTATCTGGAAAGAGATCACTGACTTTGAAAAGGCTAGGAAAATAAAGAATTACTGAAGGTGTCCCAAAGGAAAACATAGACCATTCTCACCATTAACATAGAGACTATCTTTCTTCAATGTATAGTTTCCCAGCTGAGTGACTCCATGGGTCAGATGACTCAGCTCTGAATACAGCTCCTGTGTGTGCAGTCCAGGATGTGCAGTGTCATGTTGGTAGGAGCAAATGACATTTACACTACTGGAGTTTTGATTCTTCTCAGGCCTGAAAAGAGTAAAGGATAAGATGTGGGGACTCTAGAGATAACCTAATGCAGATAAGAACCAAGGAAAGGACGAAACATCAGAAGGGTCAAAATAGGTATCACCATTCATGGAAAATGACAAGGAAGTGGACTCACCTGATGGAGGTCACTCTGCAGCTTGGGTTGAATGAGATATTCTGGAGCAAGGGTGTAAGCTATAGAAGAAGGAAAGGGGGAAAGAGAAAAGAGTTGTATGCATGATGTATAGGAAGTTTACCCTACAAATATTTTCTAGGATAAGGGTCTCACCAAGTTCTGTATAATACTTTCAGTGGAGTTGAATATGGCTGAGCTATAGCCCATGTCTTCTGAGTATGGAAGATTAGAGATGGTGAAATTGATAGTGAGAGTCTTCAGATGATGCTCCACAGCTGTAGGAAGACAGGAAGAGGGATGAGTATAACTGAGAGATTGCTTGATACTACACTAGAATCCTATATGTTACTACACTAGATTCTTACATGCATCCCAGTATCCCAGTATACCACCAACTGCCATTGCACACATCCAAGTCTGAGCTGAACATCTCATCTCCATGTTATACCAGTTTCCTTTTCTTAATGTTCTTCTTGTGTGCTATCTCTTTTGTCATAACAGATCAGGTCTTATCTTCTCATATCTAGACCATTACCCCTAAGATTCACTGTGTGTTCCAATGGATTTTTCTATGATGAACACATGAAAAGTATTTATGCAAGGAAAATCTCACAAGGACATGTCCCCCAGTCTTCTTACCCACTATGGCTCCCCTTGAATTTCAGTGTCACGTTCATGTTTCTTGGTTTGACACTCAAGATTCCTTTAATGTGGTTTCTTATGATTCCCAGATTCAGTTACTTATCACTTCTGTGCCTAACACTATGGTCATGGGATGGACATGGAAAGCCAACACTGAGAGTTGAGCTACATGCTTCAAAAAAACTCACATTCCTCAAGTTTCTCCACACACTTGCTCTTGATGGCCACAGAGCCCACATTGTTGGAATCTTCTGTCACCACAACAAGTCATGACAATTTATCTACTATTTTTACTCATCCTAGGAGATTCACTTCAGGTGGACCTTTCTTTAGAAGGTCCCCACCCACTTATATTGTGTCAGAGCCCTCTCTTGGTCTGTTCATCTCAGAAGCCTGGCAGCTGCATGAGGCTAGGCATCTGGTTGAAATGCTGGTCTAATCTCGGCAATAGTAATAATGATACTGGCAATGCATCATTATATCACGGCTTGCCAGGTCTCATGTAAGTCAGGAGATGGAAATGTGGGACAGGGCTTCACATCATGTGTAGGAAAAGGATTCCCCGAATACCTGTGGTGGATTTTGGCTGTGCTGATGTCAACGTAAAAGGCAGGATGGTGGTGTTTGTCTCAGGAACTGTGGAAAAGACTGTCAGCAGTAATGAACAGAACCCCATACAGTAAAGAAAGCCCTTATAGAATTGGTTCAAGCCAGGCCAACCACTCACAAGTGGACCATAAACAAGAGTGACTGTGTGAGTGGAGGGGCAACTAAGTCTCTGAATGAAATTTATTCAAGGCAATGAAAATTGTGAGTAGTTTATCAATATGAAGTCAGATAAGAAAGTAATAAATTGATGATAAATGATTCAAAACATATTTCAAGAGGAATAAAAAACATGAGAAATGACAGATATTGAGACCAGAACAAATAAGTAAATGAATATAATTGGGTGATTGAACAGGTGTATGAATTGGTGCTTGGATGTATGAGTGAGATTGAGTTAAGGATGAAGTGGGTGAGTGAGTGCATGGTGAAGAATGAATGAATATGTTTGTGGGTGGATGTAGGGATGGATGCATAGATGTATGATTGGATGTTTGGGTAGATACATAGGGGAATGAACAAAGGAGAAAGTAAGTGTATATATGTATACATAACTATAACATACAATGATGAATGGGTAGGTATCTAGGTGGTTTAATGCATTAACAGAACAGTAGGTAGGTGAGTGGATGTATGCATGTATATGTTAATAGATGTATGAATAACCAGATGGGTGGATGGTTAAATGGATGGATGGAGGAAATGAAGAAAGAACATGGAAAGGACACTATTATGGATGTATTCATGGCTGATAACTGAGAGAATGGGTGTCAGAAAAGAGAGGAAGAATGAAAATGAAAAGTAAATAAATCATCAGGAAAAATAGTAGATTGATTGGATGTGAATGAGGTGTCATAGGAATAATTATAAAAATGGAAGAACAGTTGCAGAAATAGGTGATTGGGTCATGGAATGAAATTGTAATATTTTAACCAAAACAACTTAAGTAGCAATCTGTTATAGAATATCATTTTAAGGTATGTTACATTTGTTTTTGCTGTGAAACATTTGCTTAGTGATGAAAAGATGTTTTGCAATCTTTCATGTTGTATTTGTTTAACTCTGTGAAGCTGTGTTACTTTGCCTGTCTAAAACAGCTGATGATCTAATAGAGAGCCAAATGACCAATAGTGAGGCAGGAGAAAGTATGGGTAGGGCTGACAGGCAGAGACAATAAATATAAGTATTTATTCTAAAAGCATCACAGAAGAGTCGGGAGAAAGTTTGTAAGAGACTAAGGATTAGGGAGTTTACTATGAGTCTATAGATTGCAGTAATGTCAGAAACTACACTCATAAATCTCACCATCATGACTGCATAAACATAAGCTGAAGAAGGACAACAACAATATACATGACAAAGTGAATGAGGAAAAGTTCAAGAGGTCTAAACCCTACCCAAAGAACTACAGGTCACTAGGAATGATGAAAGTGGGATAAATAGTCTTCCTTAGGGAAGAGCACACCAACTGTTTACCAAATAGCCAGTCCTGAAAACATAGATACTAGTAACAGTATAGAGTCTGAGTAGGTTATATTTAAGAATACATATGTATTACACATATTTCTATGCAAGTAACAATAACTAATGAAAAGAAAAATCCATGAATTTGAAAGAGGAAAGGAAGTGTATGTGTTGTTTTGGAGGGAGGGAAAGGAAAGGCAAAATGTTGTAAGCATATTGCAATCTTAAAATTAAAAGAAGAAATAAAAATTTCTATTTGACATGATCCTTTTTATACATAACAATCACATATTCATATTTCTTCTTCCAAGCTGAAGGAGTAAAGGGAATTCAGAAATCTAATGCTAGGGCTGAAGGGCAAAAAATAGGCTAGGGGTTCATCTTTCTGCTAAGACCTTGGCTACACACAGGAGACTGGCCTGTGTTTGTGGCAAGCTTCCTTTGTAAATGACAAGGAAAGCCTTGACCAAGACCAACTTAGAATAATTTGATACTTACTTGTAGTAAGCATGTCTGGAACATGTCCATTATAACCTAGAAAACAAAGGTCAAGCATAAGTGCAAGGTGCAGAATGATCTCATACATCAGGCTCTCATCTATGTGGGAAATGGATACATGTCCTTGTGAGTACATATTAAGCATATACTCATGTTCTAGACTCTATGTAACTAGAATGAGTTTCTCATATGATTTCTGTTCATACCTCAAAATCCAAAGATATACTCTCATTTATGCAATTGTCTAGCCTCCTATTTTCCTATATATAACATATAATAACATACATTATTGGTCATTTGTTATGTATCTTATTCCACTTCAAGTTGAAGAATATTATGCTGAATAATATAGTGTGGCTGTGCCTTACTATATATCTCACTATAGATTACATTCAGAAAAGGTGAACATGAAACTTATTTATCTCTGGTGCCAGAAACAAGGTATTTTTTCAGTGGATTCTTGGTAAATGCTGACTTGGTAACAAATTAGACAAATAAATTGTGCATTTTTCGACAGGGAAAATGCATAGGTCTTCAATGGGCAAAGAATGAAATATAATCTCAGGACACTAAGACTCAGATAATCTACAAACCACTTCTTATAAGTGTATGCTGGCCCCTTTTATTCCCAGTGCCTGAATTTCTTTCTTTGTTAAAATGCAAGTATGAAGTTCTAAGATACCATCTTTCACACTGCATGGGATGTAAAGATTGCTACAAGTGGTCAATTTGACAATTTAGTATCACCAAGGAGAAAAACTCTAAGCATGATGTTGAAGAAGTTCATAAATTGAGTCAACCCAGGAGGGATAACTCTAGACAGCACTGTCCTATGGCCTAGCTTCCTGGATGGATAAAAGGTAGTCAGCTAAAGACCATTAATTATATGTCTTGCCTTCTTGACATTGTCCATGATGTGATATTTTGCCTTACCTTTCTATGCTTTTGTGTGTGCTTATTTTATTATTTGGACAGAAATGAAGAACATAAAAACAGCTGGTCTACACAAAGACCACTAGGAACATTTGACAGTACAGAGAAAATAAAGTATGCCTGAGCAGATCACATAGCAAACAACAGACCATGCTCACCATTTACATAGAGGCTATCATTCTCCAGTGTGTAGTTTCCCAGTTGGGTGACTCCATGACTCAGAAGGCTCAGTTCTGCGTACAGACCCTGTGTATCCAGTCCAGGATGTGCAGGGTCATTCTGGTAGGTGCAGGTGGTAACCACACCTGTGAATGTTCCATTTTTCTGAGGCCTTAGAGAGAAAGGTAGAGAGCTTCAAGGGGGTTATAATGTAGATGGAAGTCCCAAGGAAGGAGAAAAGAGCAGATGATCAAAAGAAGGGATGGTTATTATTGGGTAGTTGTATGGAAGTAGAATCACCTGAGGGAGGTCAGAGTGCAACTTGAGTTAAAGGTGTTATTCTGAAACAATTGTCCAAGCTGTGGATGAAAAAAAGGAAAAAAGTGAATAAACAGTTAGGTGGACAATGCAGGTGAAGTTAATTCTGGCATGGGGTTTTCAGGTCAGAGGGTCTTACCAGGTGTTGTAGGACATTCTCAGTGTAGTTGAACATGGCTGAGCCAATGATCATGTCTGCTGAATATGGAAGGTTAGAGATAGTGAAGTTGATTGTAAAGGTTTCCAGGTGGTGCCACATAGCTGGAGGAAGACAGGAGGGTGAAAACCTACAATTGAGTGTTGTGACATGACTGTAATACTGCTCTGATCAGATCTTTTTCTCTACCATATGGTCTGTCATGACTATCCAACACTTAACATGGGTCCTGGGAATTTGAACTTTGGTCTTCATGTCTATGTGCCAAACACTTTACCCACTGATTATTCTACCCATCCTAATCAGAAGCTTCTGTATTTGGAACTGAAGTTCACTCAAAGCTGTTCGTTATACCCTTCATTAACTATCTTTTTCTGTAGTGAGGCGTATTCTTCATGCAAACCACAGTCCAATCAATTATCTGTATGCACATACTGTTTCTGATTATTGAGTCACTGCTGATGCAATTTTCCTTCATTCAGTGCTTTATTCCCCCATTTATCTGGATCATTTCTATTCACATCAGGATTATCAGTACAGGTGGAATTTTATCCATCAAGCCCTCTTCTCTATTATGCCAGTTGTATCTCTCTCTGATTTCCCTCATTTTATTTTAATCATCTGTGTACATCATGAGCATGGCATTTGTGTGAGGGCAGGCATCTAACTTAATTGCTAGTTGGATTTTGTACATGTAATAATGAACCTAGCACTGTGCTCTGCACATCTTAAGTTTCCTAGCTCTCACCTGACATTTGGTAACTGTTAGAGGTGTGAGGCAAGGTGTTCTTGCCAAGTAAAGTAAAAGGGTCCCCCAGATACCTGTGTTGGATTCTGGCTGTAGAGATGGTGATGGGGAGGGCAAGATGGTGGTGGCTGGCTCTGGAGCTGTGGAAAAGGCTGTCATCAGGCATGGACAGACCTCCCTGATAGCGAAGCCCTTATAGCATTGGCCCAAGTCAGACAGATCACCCACAAGAGTAAGGGAAAGAGAACCAGGCGAGCTGAGGAATGAGAAAAACCTGTGAATGAAATTCATAAGATAGTGATGGTGGTACAAAGAAGAGAGGCTGACCAAAGTGTACAGATGAATGTGAATGCAGAAAATAGAAGGGCTGATTGTAAAGAAGAACATATGAATGAAAAGTCAAAGCAGAATTAAAAAAGAATGAAAACAGAGTTTGAGGAGGTAGAAGCAAATCAGAAGGAAGAAAGTACAATTAAATGAATGAGCCTGAACATAGGTAGATAACTGGGCAGATGCAGGGTGTGAATGTGAATGTGTGATAGGGAGGTCATGGTGGAAGTCCTTCTGTGTATATGTCTCTCTTTGGTTAATGAATAAAGCACTGTTGGACAATAGAGAAGCAAGATAGGTGGGACTAGGAGTCGAGGAGGATTCTGGGAAATAGAGGCACAGTCAGTCACGATGTAGGATGAATGAGAAGTAAGAGGTACGGAACCTTTCTCCGGTAGGAGAAGATCATGAGGAAATACTTAGATTAGCAGTTATGGGTTAATAATTAAGTCAGAGCTAGTTGATGAGAAACAATAGCAAACAGCCAACAGTTTCATAATTAATATAGTGTCTCGTGTGTTATTTGGAGGCTGAGACAGCAGCAGGACCCAAGTGGCTTGTGGGAAGACTACATGTTACAGGAAGGTATATTGATGAATTGTCAAATAGGAAGATGAATGGGTGGGTGGTCAAGTTGTTCGCAGGGTGTTTGGAGAGGCATATAGATGCAAAAGAGGAAATTAGTGTCAAACAGGCATTTGGACAAAAGAAGATGTGTAGATATGGGAAAGAATGGATTGACACATGCCTGGTAGGTGGGCAGACAGATTCATGAACAGATGGTTCATGGATAAATGCATATATAGGTAAATATACAGATGGATGTGAAGATGTATGGACAGATGGGCAAATGGATAGAATAAATGGACAAGCAACAGAGACAGAAGTAAAGGATGGATAAGTGGGTGAATGAATATGGAAAGAAAAGACCAGAAGGAATAAAAATGTTGTAAAAGAATGAGCAACAAAATGTGCAGATGAATGAATGGATGGACAGGTGGACTGAAATGTGGTGTCACAGAAGAGGAATGATTAGGGAAAATGAAAGAATGAATAACTGAAAAGATAGGTGAACAGGTTACTGATTTTTAAAAGACTATTTTTTTTACCCCAAATCACTTAAGTAACTGTCATAATTTAGAACCTGAGAATAAAGTCAGAAATGGTGCCCCAGTAGCTTTTATTAATGGGAGAGAGAAACTACAGTCACTATCTAACATTTGCCCTCTTATAACTCTTGTTCTGACTTCTTCCTTTAACCCAGAGGGGTATGAAAAGTTCAGAAATCCAATGCTAGGTATGAAGTTCCAAAGAAAAGAAGCCAAGGATTCAACATTATTCATCTACTAAGACCTCAACCTCTTTAGGGAGACTGGTTTGTTCGGAAGCATGACTTCCCTTTTGAATGAGGAGACATATATGAGCCAAAACGCTTAATGATACAGACACATACTTGTAGGAGGTACGTCTGGACCAGGTTCATTGTAACCTAGGAAACAAAAGTCCTGCATAAGTGCAAGGTCATAATGGTTCCACACACCATACATATGGGGTCCCATTTTGACATTTTTTGTGTGTATACTGATAATCTACTCAGGTACCCAGATCTGATTTAAATGTCATCCTGAACAATTTCTTGTTATTTCAATTAGATGTAACTCTTCCACACTACTCAGTAGCAAGAAAACAAGAAATTCATGTTTATTTACTCTCACATATGCAGTTATTCACACCATTGTCTTCCCTTTTAATCTACTTTTGTTATTGAATTGTTTATTGAGCACTTACTCTCTGTGGTACTTTATAAATCAAGTAATGGGAAAATCAATCTTTATTGTATTACAGTTTACACTGGGACAAGGCACACATGAAAATTATTTGTTCCTTGTCCCAGGGATAAGATCTTATTTGCAGTAGATTTTGGTAAATGTTGACTGGAAAACAAAATAATGAACTTAAACTGCAGTTTTTGAAGGTGAATCCTAACCAAGTTTCTTCTGTAACAGAATTGAAGGGATGTATGCAAACCAGAATATCAAGGTGGCAGCATGTTCCTTTCATTCTCTTTGCCTCAGTTTTTCTCCTTGTTAAAATGAAAGTAGTGGGGAGGGATAAATGTTGTCTCCTGTCTTCCATACTTGTGTGTAATAGCTATTGTTGATTCTCAATTTTTGTGAGCTTAGAAACAGCTAGGAGACAAATTTCTGGGTATGTCTCTGAAACAGCTTCTAGGTTTGCTTGTGGTTGAAAGATGCCTTAACTGTGGTCAGTTCCTTATCATGGGTCAGGACTAAACAGGTCGGAGAGAGCAATCTGAGGACTTGCATTTTGCTGTTTCTTCTTCCTGACTACTGGGGCTATGTGATCAGGTACTTTACCTTCCTTGCCACAGTGAGAGTGATTTCCTTAAACTGGAAACTAAATTAAACCTTTCTTCTGTTAAGTTGATTTTGTTAGGTATTTGATCACAACAATGAAAAATAGTTATTTCATGAGGCAATGGTGATACATGAGCGTGAGTTCCTAAGAACTAGTTCTAGATTAGGGAGAACAGGAGAGGGAATGGTGTGGAAGGGTAGAGGAGAAGATGAGAAGGGAGGGGAAGAGAAGGTAGAGAACGAAAAGAAGATGAAGAGGAGGGGTGGGAAGAAAGGAAAGGTGGAAGGGAGAGGAAGAATATGGGAGAGTTAAGGAAAGGAAAGGAAAGGAAAGGAAAGGAAAGGAAAGGAAAGGAAAGGAAAGGAAAGGAAAGGAAAGGAAAGGAAGGAATTATTTTGACCAGTTTTTCTAGGACTATGCCTTGCAGGGTATATATCTAAGAATATGTAATTTCTTGGTTTTATGCTGATATGTAGGGTCAGAAACTTAGGCCATTATTGACACTGATGCTTGCCTTTTTTCTGTGTAAGAAAACAGTACAGGAATGACGTTAGTCTAGTATCAAGGGTGAGAAGGATGCAGGCTTTGAGACAAGTGTATCCTCTTTATTTCTCCAAGACAGACTGTTTTGTGAAGTAATTGCCTAGAGCATCACATTGGCAGTAACAACTAGGATCGTGTCTTAGATTCAAAACTCTTAATTTGGGGCGTGTTAAGGAGTAGTCTTTTAGGGTATAGGTAGGGTTTTGGGTTGGGATCCTGGATTTTAATCTTAGTATCTCCATAAAAGACTGATGACTGGAAACCTTTGTAGCATGAAGCAGAGTAGGGAGATGCAGATGTAAAATGCTCACCATTGACATAAAGGCTGTCTTTATCCAGGGAGTAAGGACCCAGTCGGGTGATTCCATGGGTCTGCCAACTTAGATCATAGAAAATTGACTTGGCAGGAAGTCCCAGACTATTGGGAACCTGGTGGTATGTGCAAAGGACATCTACCTGGGTCTGGGCACCATTCTTCACCGACCTGTGTTGGGGAGGAAGAGGTGTACATTGAGGAGATTTTGACCAACCACTGTTTCTCCCTCAGTAGTCACTCTACACAACCTGCTGAGACATTTTCAAGTTGTACAGTGATATCCAGCATCAAATATCTCATGAATTTTTGTCCATATTTGGCTGGGCTTGCAAGAATGTGACTGCCTATAAATGGTCCATGCTGCTATAAATAACCCTTCAAACTCAAGCCTTGGTTCACCAAGTTGTACTTTTGTGATACAGTGACTTTGGAGTGTCATCATTTCCTTCTCTTGGGTGACCAGATGTTCATTCAAATATCCCTGATAATACTACCATATACCATTCCTCTCTACTCATTTTACTCTTTCCCCTTATTCCTTCTCCTCTTTCCATCTACTTCTTTCTCCTCTTTTTATTTCTATTCATTATTCAGTGTGTTAGGACCAAACATGCCGGCTTTTCTGAACCCCACAGAGTCTTACTCTTCTCCCTCTTACTCTTCTCCCTAGAGCACTGGCCACCCTCTAGGAAATCATGGGTTATCTGTCCCATTGTCTTTCAGAATGCAGCACCCATAATGTCAGGGAACAGAAAATTTTGGGGTTTTTTCCTGTAATATTGAAAGTCCTGAACCTGGCACATTTGCCTACCCTCATGGAAAACTCAAGTCCATAGTCAACAGATAAGTGCAACATGGCATTTACATACAGGTGAAACATTATTTGGCCCTAGAAAAGAGAGGAATTCTAACATATCACAACACAGATAAACTGAGAGGACACTATGCTAAGTTTAATGAACCAGCCACATAAGATGAATGTTTTATGATGAGAAGAAGAATGGTAGGCAGAAGGGTCTGCAGATGGGGATGGAGAGTCATGTTTACTGGGAACAGAGTTTCAGTTTGGGAAGGTAAGAAGTTTGAGAGGCGAATTGTAGTGATGATTATACAGCAGTGTAAAGATATGTAATAACAGTTCATTGTTCACTTAGAAACCATTTAAAAGACTCAATATGGATGGACAGTTGCTTGTCAAAGATCCATGTATTAAAAACCTTGGTTTTAGACTCCTGTGATAAGGAGGTTTTGTGAGCCACTAGAAGGTGGGGCCTCACAATTTTTCCTTAGGACATTGCAGGGTGCCCTTACTAGTTAGCACTGGACTACAACACTCATCTAGTTTTGTTTCCTAGTTTTGATGTAATTTTTCTATTTTTACCACATGCTAGAGGACCAACAATGTAGTCCTGTCCCACTTTTGATCGAAACTTCCAGTGCCATGAACCAAATATCTTTCCTTTTCATAAGTTAATTGTATCAGATTATTCATTAAAGTAATCTGATGTTTATTAATACATACAGTAAACTTTTGTGAAAATATAGATATATATCTACAATTAGGGGGAAATGACTTGGTGGGTAACACTGTTTGCTTTGCACGCAAGATGATCTGAGTTTCTTCTTTTTATATATTCATTTATTTTGGTTTTTTGAAACAGGGTTTCTCTGTATTGTTTTAGAGGCTGTCCTGGAACTCGCTCTGTAAACCATGCCTGCCTCAAACTCACAGAGATCCCCCTGACTCTGCCTCCTGAGTGCTGGGATTAAAGGCGTGCGCCACCAATGCCCGGCTCTTTCTATTTATTTTTCTATCATACAGTACAACCTGATGACAGTCTCCTCCCTTGCACTCCCCCCAGGTCCATGCTCCCTTCTCCTTCAGATCCATCACTCCTCCATTTTCCTTCAGAAAACTTCCTCCCAGAGACATCCACCAAACACAGCATAACAGGATGAAATAAGACTAAGCACAGCCCTCAAATCAAGGCTGGATGAGGCAACCCAGTAGAAAGAAAAGAAGGACCTGAGTTCAATTCTTAAGAACTCAGGTAACAAGTATCCAGTATGAGCACATGTGTTTGAAATCTAAGCACTGGGTCAGGGGATATCAGGAGCTCAGGAGTCAGCCAGCCAGCCTGTTTTTGAGTTTGGTTTTGCTTTGTTTTGTTTTTGAAACAGTGTTTCACTTTGCACCACAGGCTATAGTGGAACTCTGAACAGACCAGACTGGCCTTGAACTTAAAGAGATCTGCCTGTCTGCTTCTGCCTCTCAAATTGTTGGATTAAGGCCTTGTGTTACTATACCCAGACCTAATTTTTGGTTTTGTTTTACAATTTAATATTTAATGATGCTGGAATCAAAATTAGGGTCTTGTACATTCTTGGTAAGTGATCTACAGCCAAACTATCCATTCTAGGCAGGTAGTCTACTGCTAAGCCATGTCACCAACCCACTATTGAGGGATTATTGGCAAGTACCCTGCTGCTATAAAATATTAAATTGTCATAGAATCATTAAAAGACAAAACAAAAAAGGACATCTTCATCCTAAGTATTTCCATCATCACAACTCCAAGCCTTTTCAAGTTGAATAATGGGTTGATGGGGCGGACTGGAGAGCTATAAGTGGAAAATGTGTCTCACCTTAGAGTAGCTACTCTGCAGCCTGTGTACAGGGGGCCAAGGCTGCTTCTCCGAAATAAAGGGCTGAGCTGTAGAGAAAGAAGTGAACCAGAGTTTGTTAGAGGCAGTCATCCCACTAGGAGAGGAATAGAAGAGCCTGAGGGGAAGCAGGTAGCTTACCAGATGCTGCATGAGTGTATCTGTGATATTGAACTTGAGGGAGCCAACCTGGCCCATGTCGGCTGAGTAACGCAGGTTGTTGATAGTGAAGTTCACTGTGAACATCTCTTCACTGACTTCTCCAGCTGTGCAGGTAGAAGGAGACAAAGCTAAAAGCTAAAACTGATATGACAGTAGGAGATGGGGATGGGGGATTAATGTGCCTTGTAGAGGGTCTTCCAAGGGCTCCTTTTACGGCTCTGGGTAAATCTGAGAGTGACTTGTTAATGGAGGAAACTGTAGACGTCACTTAAGGGCACCCTTGATGTGAGGACTCCTGATAGATCATTGCTATCCTCCCACCTTCCACATAGGTTGTTTCAGTATAAACAGGACTTTTGCGTTGTGAGGGCAAAGGCTCGTGCTACATACTCAAGTAGGATTGATGACTCCTAATGTCTGTCTGTTCCTCTTTTTCTCTCCCTTTCCTCCTTCATCTGTTTCCCCCTGACCTTCTCCCTTCCCTTTCTACTTTCCAAGTTCCCACCTTCTCCCTCTCTTAGCCACCTGCCTGTTTCTTTCTTCCTTTTACTCTCTTCTTCGTCTTTTCCTGTTACACCCATCCATTCTTTTCTGACAGATTCCCCCTCCTTTCTTCTAGATTCCCTCTTCTGTCCTCTCTATTTGTCCCTTTCTCTCTCATTTCTTTCCTACACTTCCTTTCTGCTTTCTTCTCTTCCACTTGTCATGTCTCCTCCTCACTCCTTTCTGTTCCACCTCCTCCCTCTTTTCCCCTTTGCCTATTCCCTCTGTTAACCTTTTCCAGCCCTCCATCTCTCCGTGTTCCTCCCCAATCTCTCTTCCTCCTCCTCCTTCTCTCTCTTTATCTTAGTATCAATATCAGTATAAAAGATGGCAGAGACAGATGAGACGAGAGAAATAAAAAGAGAAAAGATGAAAAAGAAAAAAACCCAAAAGCATCTTAATAAACCAGAGGTCACCTAGAAACTTATTCAACAAGGTTTAAGGCCAATCAAATAAGAACTATATAACACATAGTTGCAAATAACCAAATACTTTCCTAGTTTTGTTCAGAATTTGTCAGTGATTGCTTCACCATAGTTTATCTTTGGAAGACCTGAACCACCTTTGATTTGATTCTTCTCCCTTCCCAAATTATTATTTGTTGAAATTCTTTAAAAGACAATGTTATTGTGCCTCAGTTTATCTCTGAAGGACAGGTTGTAGGGTGTCTTCCTCACCCAAGGAGGAGGGTATTGTTTCTCATTGAGGTGGTATGGAGATGTTGGTGATGGTGAAGTTGAGAGAGTTGGGTGCAACCTTAGAACACTGAGTAGCTGATGAACAGGGAAGCAAGCTCCCAATTTGGAACAAAGCAGTGAGCAAGGCTCCTCCCAGATCTAACCATGGGACACTGTAAGACTAACAGTATCTGAAACAGGGAATATTCTACAACTCTTAAGTTATTAAGACCCTCCATTCTTCATTTTTCCAAGAGACGTGCATTGTATATATATATATGCAAGGTTCTCCAATAGCCTTTATGGGTCCAAAGATTTATAGAACACAGTCTTCCAATTCTTTGGCTAGGGAAGTGACATATAGTAAAAGATGACTATAAAATCCAACCCATTCCTGAAAACGTTCTTTGGGAAAAGGGCCATCTCTGGGGTCTCTGAAAATTGATGCAGATCCTAGGCAGTGACATCCAGAAATACTCACTGGTGGTAGTTGGGGCTGCAGCTCCAAAATGGTAACCTGAAAAGGAAGAAAATGTGAGGGACTTATGAATGGGTAGCCAGGATTAAGGGGAAATGAGAATGTGGAGTGTCTTTGGGGGTAAAGCAGAGGCAAAGGCATGAAATGAATGTTCACAGAGAAGACAACTAAGTAGGCAGTGACACTGAAGAGCTAGTCATTATGTCTGTGAAGGTTTTACACTTACTCTTAGACAAACAACTGAGAAGTGGTTCTCAGAAGTGAAACTGGGATGCTGATGGGATCAACATTCAAAGCAAACATTCTACTCAGTTCCTAACGGTGCTTTTGGGTCATTACAATAAATAGAGAATTATGACACTAAAGGAAGAAAAAATGGGACAGAGTTCATTCTAGAAAGAGGGATGAATTGGTCAGTACTTTAGCAAAACTTGAGACTGTAAGTGGGAGAGAGATCATGACTTAAATGTTGGATCGCACCATTGATGTAGAGACTGTTCTGGTCCAGAGTGTAGGGGCCCAGACGGGTGATGCCATGGGTCTCATGACTAAACTCCCAAAATAACTGATCTTGGTCTAACCCTGGACTCCTGGGGTCAAAGTGGAAGGTGCAGATGATGTCCACTCCTGTGGCTGCTCTATGGCTGTCAGACCTGGAAGAAAGACATGAGAGTTTAAAACACTGAGGTCAGTTCCTGAGTATCTGGGGCATTGAAAGCAGGGAGGAGGGAAGAAGGCTGAAGATCATGAAGGGGACAGTTACAAAGTTTTAAAATGGGGCCCTATTGTCTCCTCTGAGGTCTTTGGACACTGTAAGTGTGTGTGTGTGTGTGTGTGTGTGTGTGTGTGTGTGAGCGCGCGTGTGTGCACGTGCATGCACACAAGCACATGTGATAGACGCACAAACACACAATGTGTGTGATTCAGGTCAAGCAATTAACATCAAGTGTATGGACAGCTTGCAGGAGTCGGCTGTCTCACATTGCTGAATCAGGGTTTCTCTTGTTTCTGCTGCATTGCATACTTCAGGCCAGCTGACTGCTACAGTGCTCTGTGTTTGTTTCCCACCTCTTTGTAGGAGTATTAGGATTATTGATGTATGCATAAAAATCTGGCATTTTATATTGGCTCTGGGAATCGAATTCATCATCAAACTTGTATTGGCTATGCTTTTACCCACTAAGCCATCTTGCTAGCCCTGCATTCTGCATTATTTTTCATTTTCTTACTTATTGTCCTGTGATAGGGTCATTCATTGTAACCTGATGCTTTCCATGTAGGTTAAGCTGACTGACTGGTGAGCTTCAGTCTTTTGCCTGTCTTTTCTGGGAGTTTGTTCTCTCACATTTTTCAATCAGGGTTTCTCTTCTGTGCCAGTACTGGGATTATAATTGTTGGCCACCACACCTAGCTTTTTTGTGTGGACTCTAGGAGTTAAGTTCACTTTTTCATGCTTCTATGGGAAGCATTACACCAAATGACACATCTCCCTAACCCTTCATAAAATATTTTACTTATACTACATACAGGAAATCCAGTTCTTATAAGAGAACCCTTGTTTTAAGTAGAATATCAATTGAATTTTCGACACTAAACAATTCCTATTAGTAAGTTTCTAATTGCTCAATCTACACTTTCTCTGGGCAGGAAGAAAGTGTTATTAAAAAGTGATGTTAGAAGTGCATGACATCTGCTGGCTCTTTTACAACAATCTACTCCATCTGGGAGTCTCACCTGAGTGAAGTCAATCTGCATCCAGAGTACTGTGTGGCAATGCTGGTCTTATTGAGTAAGGTGTCAAACTGATGGAAGAAATAAAAAGAATTAGCAGAAAATATAAACAGTGCCTTGCCAGGGAATTGTAAGATGGGGTTAGAGTTGGTGGTGTTCTTGAAAGGACTCACCCAATAATGTAAGATCCACTTAGTGGAGTTAAACTTCAAAGAACCTGGATGGCCCATCTCCTCTGTATAGTGCAAGTTGGTGATGGTGAAGTTGAGTGTAATGGGTACTGTGATAGTATCATTGCCTGTAGCAGTGGGGAAAATACAGATGTCCAGATTTAGAACTGGTAATGACCAAGGCTGCTTCTAATTCTATGTGACATTGTTGATCTAAAAGGTTTTGAATCAGGGGACATTCTGGACCTGTTAAAGTATTAGAATTGGAACCCTTCTTCATGTATCCAGGAATGATTAGTGTATGAAAGATTCTCTGATAAACTCTTTAGGTTCTAAGATGAACAGGGAAACTTCACCTAATGTAGAAGCCAGGGACGTTCCACTATTATACTTTAGGAGAATCTAGTAGAAGGACAGTAGGAAAATCATGGGTGACCCAACCAATGACTTTAAAAAACTGCTTGGAAAAAGTGTTATTTCAGTTAAGACAAACAGTAGAGTTATGAGTTGCTAGAATCTAAGGAATAGGGAGAATACTCCAGATAGCCTGGATAAAGGCATACAGGATAAAAGAGAATGGTGAATTAGAGGAACTTAATATTACTCCACAATGGCCAGGGATAAGTACAGGCATGAGGCTTTCAGGATCCTTTGAGTTTATTTCAGAGAAGCAGTGGTTAAGTAACACAAAGCTTTGGATGTGACTCACAGAACAAATGAAATCACTCAAATGTTATTTATAAGAAAGGAATTCTGTATCCTGGATGCATGAACTGGCTTCTTGGAGCCCAATCCCTATGATGGGATGCGTTGCTCAGGCTTGACAGGGGGAGAGAGGCTTGGTTCTGACTCAACTTTGTATGCCAGGCATTGTTGATTCCACAAGGGAAGCCTTACTCCCTCTGAGGAGTGGATGGGGATGAGATGCTGGTGGGATGGGGGCAGCATGAGAGGGAGGAAGAACTGATGTTTGTAGGACTTCCATAGATATAAACACATCATAAAAAATATTATAGCTGTTATGTGGAAGACATTAGGAAGCCAGAATAGAGGCTACTATATTCTTTTTAGGAAAAATATGCTGGCCTTGATAGAATCTAAATGACGTAGATACTGAGAAAGAGGAAAGGTTTGAGAGTGTCCCCAAAGGGACAAGAGATGAGATTTGGTGATAGTTGGATGGGGGAGGAGGAGAATGAGAGGAGGAGTAATGGTCAGTACCCTGTGTCTTTCCTTATAATTATGAGAAGAAGGTCATTTTTGGAGGACAATTGTATCTTCAGAATGAGTGATTGTTATTGTTACTATTGATGATCAATTAGACTCTAGGGGAGATGGGCTTAGCATATCTGTGGAAGATTATCTTGATTATATAAATTGATGTGGGAAAACACATTTTTAACTATGAACAGGACTTTTCCTGGGTGGCCCCTGTAATGCATAAAATGGAGAAAGGGCACTGGAACACTAACATGTATTTATGATTCTGTTTTCCAATTGTGAATGTGATGTGAACGACTGTTTCAAGCTCTTGATGTTTTAAGTCTATGAAGGACTGTACCTTAAACAGATAAAATTAAATCTATGTAAAACAAGCTATTTAAAATTAAAATAAAAATGATAAAAAATAAATAAATCTATCCTTCCTTTCTTTCTTCTTTCCTTGAATTTTTTTGATCAGAATATTTTATCACAGTTTAAAAAAAAAGCAAGTTGGATGTCAAAGAGACCTGATTGATATCTATAAAGTATGCAGACCAATGCTCAAGAACTCCTTTGTGGTACTGACTGGGATCAGAATTTGGATCCTGAGTAACTAGACTGAATAACATAAAACAATGTATTAACTGGAAATGTAGATGTGCCCTGAGAGAAGAATGATTTGCTTGAGTTATTGGTACTAACAAGAGCATGTATCCTTTCCTACATGTGAAATTGGCTATAGGGGATGGAGTAAGAGAGGAAGCTTGGAAGAATGTGGCAGTCACGGGTGCTGATATAAAACAAAAGCAAAAGCAAAACCAGAAAGTCCAAGATGAGGAATAAAATGGTAATTTCATTGTGCCTAATCCCTATGTGATATATCTTTAAGGAGTGGCAGCAGCCTGGATGACTGTATCCAATAATCTGTGTTCGATGGCATCTATTGTTTGGAATTTGTCATCACCCTTGGGTTGTTTGCTTTGGGGAAGTGTGGATGACCCTTATTATCTCTATCTTAGTCTACATTTCTATGAGCCTTTTTGAACTCCTGCCCATTTAAAGTGGATAACAGAAGAAAGGTTGGCTCATCCAGTACCTCATATTTGAGAAGGGAGGCAGCCACGGCCATGTAGAGGTCTACAGTACTCACCGTTAAGGATTATACCTGAGGCTGGATGCGTATAACCTATAGTGACATAGAAAGGTGATGAAGAAAGAGAAAGATTATTAACAAAAAGGCAAATTTGGCATGAACCAATCTATCTGTTGCTGAACACTTTAAATTACTAGAGTTTCTAAGTCTGTCCTTAAAAGATGTTATTTCCAATTTTCTTGAGACTATGTTTGTAGCATACTTTTAGCAACAGAGCTCACCCAGACAGCAAGAAGAAACCCACATTCAAACATGACCTTTTATATTGAAGTTCCTAGTGTAAAAGCTAGGGAGAAAGTACCCTAAGCAGTTGGTTGGGAACGCCATTTTTCTGTATTTTCCAGAGAGGAAGTGCCTATATCTGGGGCCATATCAGAAAGCATATCTCTTCTCACTCAAGGCTAGACATGGGGTGAAGGTGAGGTGTAGAGACAGTAGGTTCATGGACTCTTCCACTTATGATGTCTGGGTTGAATATGGTAGAAAATCTCAACCTTAACATTTGAAACCTCATCCTACTCACTTCTGGAGGTAGTGACTAAGATATGGTGAGTATAAGCTGCACAGATGGAGGAAGAAAAGGAGAGGGGTCAGAAAGAAAGGAGATAAGAAGTCCACGTGGCTTGATCTTGGTTGTCAGTTGGATGGAATTTGGAGTAACCTATGAGATGCACTTGGGCATGACTGTGAAGGCATTTCCAGATGAGTTTAACTGAGCAGGGAAGATGCTTATTCAATATGGTTAGTAGCATTTCATAGCTTTAGGCCATGAAGTGAATAAAAAGGAGAAAGTAAAGTTCAGGCCAGCATTCTTGTCTCTGCCCACGCCTGCTGTTCCATACAGCACTGTATCTTTTCTCAGACTCTGAGCCAAAGTTAACCTTCTCTCCTTAAGTTATGTTGCTTAGATGTTTTGGTGTAACAAAAGAAAAATGACCAACACTCATCCCTTACCATTAACGTAGAGACTGTCCTGATCCAAAGTGTAGGGGCCCAGCTGAGTGACACCATAGGTCAGCTTGCTCAGCTCCAAGTACAGTTGCTCTCTGGCCAGCCCATGACCTATGTGGTCAGGGTGATAGGTACAAACTGTGTCCACTCCAGTGGCTTCTCCATTCTTCCTGGAACTGTGGAGAGAGAGAGTAAAAGTGATCATCATAAATGGTCTTGAGACTTATTGGAGTGACACAGAAAGAGGTCATTAGGAATGAGGTCTCATACAGAGTCAGGAGTCAAGCCTTAGCAAAGAATAATAGAGTGTTAATATTCATCCCTAAATCAGACACCTTTATTATTCCCTTCTTACAATCAAGGTTTTGGCAATACTGAACAAGTGGGGGCAGAAAGAAATAACTAGAAGTTCGGGATGAGTGTCATAAAATACTGTCTTCTGGACATGACATGGCTACTATACTCATGAACTCATAGGAGCTGTGTTTACTTGCACAAGAGAAGAATCAAGTCATCAAAACTTCTAGCATATATAAGGGTCTTACCCCATTCCTGTGGAACTATTAGCAGTTGATGGCTGCTGGGTAAGAGAAAATACTTTTTGTATCTTATTAATTCTTTGAGAATTTCATACATATATACAATGTGTTTTGATCACACCTTTCACTCTTCCCTCAAGTTCTTCTAGATCTACCCTTCTCTCTGCCCTCTCCCAATTTCATATCTCTTTTTTCTGTACTTCACTGATGTCAATATGTGCTGCTGCTCATATGCTCATGGGTATGGGACTATCCATTGTAATGGAAGAAAACTGACCTCCCCTAGAATTGCTTGATTTTCAATAGCTTTTCAACTAGGGGCAGGGGCTCATTAACTTTTATCACTCCATGCAAGAATATTAATAGCTTGTAATAACATCTAGTATGAGTTCATGAGTACTACACTCCTGTCATACTTACAAAATACTATTTTGTTCCATTAACCTGCTTTCTGGCTTTGACAATTTTTCTGCCTCTTCTTCCACAATGGTCATTGAGCCTTGAAAGAAGGGAGTGTGACATAGATGGCCAATTTGTGGCTGAGCACTCCACAGACACTTATTCTCAGTGCTTTGACCCGTTGTGAGTTTCTGCATAAACCACCATCCATTACATAAAGAAACTTCTTTGGTGAGATCTTTATATACATAGATTTAAAGTTATGACTTAGAGGACAGTTGGATTCCATGTGTATCGATCAAAATAATAGTAGCAAATTTACCTTGGGGCCTACAAATTACCAACCATGGGCACTTGATCAGATTTACAGTAACATGCATGTGTTTCCACCAATAAAGATGACCATAAATTCAGTCAGAAAGTGATTTGTTACACATTGGTGAAAAGCATTCTTTTTTTGAGGGCGTTTGCACTGGGAGGTTTCCAGTGCTCCACTGGATGACCTTTCTTTCACTCTTGCCCTTATGAGCAACCTAATAAGACTTAATAGGTTATCCAAATGGAGAAGTTGTGAAGTTTTCAGTGAGATGTGTTAGGGGAAGTAAGGAGGACTTGAATGGGGTAAATGGGAGGTAGATATGATAGTTCCTCATGTATAATATATACAATATTATATAAATATTTATCTCTGTATTTCATCATACATATGTAATTCCCCAAGAATAAAACATAAATAAACATTATTTATTTTAAAATCCATGCTTTGATTCTTTACACACATTGAAATCATGGTTTGGAACTATGAGCAGAGACACGAATATATATGAAATGGTAAGACTCAAACTCTAATGCATATGGCAGGGAGACAGTAGAGCACATGATTGAGGCAGACGATGATTTGGGATTGGGTACTGAAGCAAGTGCAGAAGATGTCCTTCTTTCCAACCCAAAGACAGATTTTAACATGCAATAGAAATACTTCCACTGATAAATAGAGGAGAAAGTGGAACTTCAGAATGAATGACCTTGGGGAGGGAATCCTGTGGATAAATTCTGCAGAATTTTAGTGCAGTCTTGAGAGGAAATGATATGATTAGGAGACAGTTGCTGTTTCATCTAATGCCTCTTGGATTCTACCTCTACATTCAAAAGGTAGGCAGGCAGGAAGTTCAGTAAATTATTGGTTCTAGGAACACTTGAGGTAGTCTTGTTCTGCTATTAAAAATTCTTACCTGAGCAAAAGAAGTTTGCATCCAGAGTAGAGAGGGCCAGCACTGGTTTTATTGAACAATGTCTCAAGCTGTGGAAGAAAGAGTAGACGGTCCAAAAGGCAGGAAGAGCTCCATCATTGGTGAGTAGTGCTGACACCAACTGGGTTTGTGACAGTGGGCATGACTTGAGTGAATTGGGGGGGGGGGTTCTTACCAGGTGCTGTAGGACCCACTCTGTGGCATTGAACTTCTTGGAACCTGGAGTCTGCATGTCCTTATTGTAATGTAGGCTAGTGATGGTGAAGTTGAGAGTGAAAGACACCGGGAGTGGCTCTGTGGCTGCAGCAGAAGATTAAGGGGAAGGATCTCATAGCAGTGGACATAGTGGGCAGGGAGGATCTGGTATCTCAGATGAGTCATAAGTCACCATCTCACAGGAGACCATAGAATTGCAGAGGGCATGTTAAGGCTGTCTGAGTTAGCCCCAGATATCAACATGACATGACCCTCAGTCATCTAAAGGAGTACTCTAAGATCAGGTTGGTCTGTTGCCATATCTGTGAGAAATTGTCTTGATTGATTCATGATATGAGAGGAGGGCCCAGAGCATTACTGGCAGCACCTTCTCTAGGCAGTTGTGCTTGGGCTGTAAAAGAAAGCTAACTAAGCATGAACAGTAGAGTGTGTCAGAGTGCAGTTTTCCTCCATGGTTTCTGCCTACAGAATCCTGCTTTGAGTTCCTGTACTGAGTTCCCTTAGTGATGGATTTTGACCGAGAACTGTAATCTAAATAAACACTTGGTTCCCCTAAGAGGCTTTTTTTGTCATGATGTCTGTCACAGCAACAGAAGAAAACTAGCACAAGGGCTAGTTATGCTATTAGACCATCACATACTGCTGATGAAGGTGTGTAACTATAGAGCTTTTGGGTAGAATCCAGGAATGCAGAAAGGCTAATGAAGCATGACTGTGTTCTGTATGCCAGTCTGAGTCATGCAGCTCTATTGTAAGGGGAATGAATGTTGCTCAGTGATAGAGAATTTTCCTAGCTCAATTGTCCTGGCTCAATTCCTAGCACCACAAAAATGTGTTTTGATGGACAAAATTTCTAAACTAAATATTTTTATTTATTTACATTTTATTATTTCATTTATATGGACGTTTGGTCTTCAGTGAATATGTGTGTATGTGAGTGTTCATGCATACACATACGAGTGCTATTGTGTAGGTACATGTTTACATGTATATGTCTGTATAGAGGCCAAAGGACAATCTTCTTGTCTTCCTTAGGAGCATGAACCCATTTCTTAATTAAAAACTTTCATTTGAGATAGGCACTTTTGGCTGGGTGTTGGTGGCTCATGTCTTTAATCCCAGCACTCAGGAGGCAGAGGCAGGCAGATCTCTGTGAGTTTGAGGCCAGCCTGGTCTAAAAAGCAAGTTCCAGGACAACCTCCATATCAATACAGAGAATCCCTGATAAGCCTGGCTAGCCAGGCTTGAGATTCAGGATCTTTCTGTCTACACTTTCTTGGTGCTAGGATTATGAGGATATACTACCATTCCAGAGATCAAACTCAGTACTCTGTAAGCATGTTGTCAATTAAATTATCTCTCTGGATCTATTTATGAGTCTTTTGGAGCTGAGGCATTTTTAGTGACTTTCCATCCTCTACCCCTGACTTCTTTTCCTAAGAACTATTCATGTATTTAGGGCCCTTGAACTTCCTTTCCCTGAGTGAGGGAGAGTAGACTTTCAGCATGACTGATACTTACCATTGAGAGTGTTTATTGCATGCTGCGGGGTGTAACCTGAAGAGAGATATTGGGAAAGGGTAAGGAGGTGATGAGAAAAAATAAGAAGGCCTTAGAGGGCAGGGTTGGGCTTTTCAGTACAGCAGTAAACAAACAGCCATTGCTCACCATTGACATAGAAGCTGTCCTTATCCAGCTTGTATGGTCCCATCTTAGTGGCACCATGGGTCACTTCACTCAGCTCCCAGTACAGCATTTCTCTGTCCAGCTTGGGTGATGTGAGATCAGCAAGATACATGCAGACTGTGTCCACTCCTGTGCCTGTTTTGTCTTCCTTAGGCCTAAGGATGGATGTGAGGAGAAAGAGAAAAAGCAGTGTGAATTTGTTGTGGAATATTACTTTAACCGTGCAAAAATGTGCTGCATTTGTTTATGCTGCATTTGCTTAATTATGTAATGATGTGTTGCTGCTGTTTTACCTTGCCTGCCTAAGGCACCATACTGATCTAATAACATGCTGAATGGAAAATAACTAGACAGTAATGCTAGGTGGGACTGGCAGGCAGAGAGAATATATAGGAGGAAAAATACAGGCTGGGTGGGGATAGGAGATAATGAAGAAGAAAAGAGGGAGATGCGCGAGTCAGCCAGGCAATCACTTGCCAGCCAGCCAGACATGGGGTAGCATGTACAGAATGAAAGAAAGGTAAAAAAAGCCCCAAGACAAAGTGTAGATAAAGAGAACCAGGTTAAAATAAGTCATAAGAGCTAGTTGGCACAAGCACAAGGTAAGGTCAAACATTTATAACTAATAATAAATATCCATGTCATGATTTAGGAGCTGGTTGGTGGCCCAAAAGTAAGCCTGCTACATATAACCATTATAGAAATCAGTATAAAGGGTCTTCTCAGAAAATTGACACAAAACTTCCACATGACCAAACCTCACAAAAAGACATATATCCAAATGACTCTATTTACTACCATAGAGATACCTTTCATGTTTATTGCTTCTCTATTTACAATATCAGAGAAATGGACTAACCTAGATGCCCATTAACAAATGGATGGGTACTGAAATTGTGGTACCTATTTGCAATGAAATTTTATCCATCCATAAAGGAGAATGAAGTTTGAAGGAAAATATCTGAGACTGGAAAATTATTACATTAAGTGATAAGATGTAAGCTCAGAAATACAAGCATATGTTCTGTCTTAAGTTTCTCATGCCAGTATCTAATTTTTTATACATGTATATTTACATGGGAGTTATTTATTGTAGAAACCAGGAAACCAGAAAAGTTACCATGAGGGGGTAGAGAAAGTGGCATTAAGGTAGAGGGAATAAGAGGGAAATAAGGTACATGTGATATGAAAATGGAGGGGGAAATAGTGGGTAGGGAGGTGTTTAAGCAGAAAGGGCAGGAGGATGGGGGCGAAGAAAGAAGAAGGGTCAGTCAAAACTAAGTATGTATAAAAATTTTAGAAAGCTTGCGACCTTGTAAGCTAATTAATTTTCCTTTTTTTTTTTTGAGGCAAGGTGTCTTTGTGTATCCATGGTTGTCCTGAATTCACTCAGTAAACCAGACTGGCCTTTACCTCCTAAGTGCTGGGATTAGAGTCATGTACTACCACTACCCAGGAATTTTTTTCAGTAGGGGATTGAAACTATAGGTCAGAGGTTGTTGAGCTTGCTAAAGAGCTTCCCGAGTTGAGTTCCTATACAGATCTGCTCCCTGTAACTCCCTATAGCTCCAGCATCTCTAACACGTTCTTTTGGCCTCTACAGGCACCCACCACTCATTGTACATGCCCTCAAGCAGACACATATAATTAAAATTGATATAAATCTTCTCAAATTAAAAGATATAGCCGGTTCATGAAGTTTTAAGACTTTTGGGGGGCAGGATAAGAAGACCCCAGTAAAATGGGAAGTTTTGTAGGGAGATTAGAAATCATATAAGTTCCGGAGTTCACTGTCCTCTCGCCTAACTACTCCTTTGAATCAAGTTGGTGAGAGGAACAAATGTCACCGAATTTGGAGACTGAAATTACATTCTCAAAGTATGTAGTTAGGAAATCTAACTGATTTTTAAAAGTTGGTGGTCTCTTTCTATATATACTATTCAACATAGTACTCAAAGTTCTACCTAGAGAAATAAGACAACAAAGGAGATCAAGGGGCTACAAGTTGGAAAAGAAGAAGTCAAACTCTTGCTATTTGCTAATAATATGATAGTTTACATAATTCTACCTGGGAACTCCTACACCTAATAAACACCTTTAGCAATGTAGTAGGATGCAAGATTAACTTAAAAACAATCAGTAGCCCTTCTATATACAGATGATAAACAGACTGAGAAAGAAATCAGAGAAACATAACACTTTACAATATTCACAAATAACACAATATCTTGTGGTAACTCTAACCAAACAAATGAACGACCTGTATGACAAGAGCTTCAAGTCTTTAAAGAAAGAAATTGAAGAAGACATTAGAAAATGGAAAGATCTCCCATGCTCTTGGATAGGTAGGATCAACATAGTAAAAATGGCAATCCTACCAAAAGTAATCTACAGATTCAATCCAATACCCATCAGAATATCCAATTCTTCACAGATCTGGAAACAATACTCAGCTGCATACAGAAAGAAAAAACCTAGGATAGCCAAAAACAACCCCGTCCCTAACTTCAAGCTCTATTATAGAGCGATAATAATGAAAACAGCTTGGTATTGGCAAAAACACAGACAGGTGGACCAACAAAATTGAATTGAAGTCACTGATATCAACCCACACATCCATGAGCACCTAATTTTTGACAAAGAAACTAAAAATATAACATGGAAAAAAGAAAGCATATTCAACAACTGGTGCTGGGATAACGGGCTGTCAACATGTAGAAAAATGCAAATAGATCCATATATATCACCATGCACAAAAACCAAGTAAAAATTGATCAAAAACCTCAATATGAATCCATCCATGATGAACCATATAGAAGATAAAGTGATGGGAGGATGGAAGGGAGAGGGAACTGGGATTGATATGTAAAACAAGATTGTTTCTAATTTAAATTTTAAAAAAAGAGAAAGTAAGAAATACACTTGAACACATAGGCACAAGACATCATTTCCTAAATAGAACCCCAGTAGCACAGACACTAAGAGCAACAGTTAATAAATGGGACCTCCTGAAATTGAGAGGCTTCTGTAAAGCAAAGAGCACAGCCAACAAGACAAAATGACTCCCTACAGAATGGGAAAAGATCTTCACCAACCCCACATCTGACAGAGGGCTGATCTCTAAAATAGACAAAGAACTCAAGAAACTAAACATCAAACTACCAAATAATCCAATTAAAAAATGGGGTGGAGATCTAAACAGAGAATTCCTAACAAAATAATTTCAAATCGTAGAAAGGCACTTAAGGAAATATTCAACATCCTTAGTCATCAGAAAAATGCAAACCAAAACAACTCTGAGATACCATTTTACACTGCTCAGAATGGCTAAGATCAAAAACACCAATTATAGCTTATGCTGGAGAGGATTTGGATAAAGGGAACATTCCTACATTCCTGGTGGGAGAGCAACCTTATAAATCCACTGTGGAAATCAGTATGGCAATTTGTCAGAAAATTAGGAATCAACCTACTTCAAGACCCTGCAATACCACTGTTGGGCATATACCCAAAAACGAGGCACACTCACACCACAAGGACATATGTTCAACTATGTTCACAGCAACATTATTTGTAATGGCCAGATCTTGGAAACAGCCTAGATGCCCCTCAGATGAAGAACTGATAAAGAAAAACTGGTATATTTTCATAATGAAGTATTATTCAGCAATTAGAAAGAAGGACATTCTAAATTTTGAATGAACAGAACTAGAAAAAAAACAAAAAACAAAGCATCCTGAGTGACGTAACCCAAACCCAGAAAGACAAATATAGTATTTACTTATTCACAAATGACATAAAGCATAAGATACCCAGACATGAAGCAAAATATATCCAGCCTAAAATCCACAACCCCAGAGAAGCTAGAACCCTATTCCAGAAATAGATGAAAGCAGATTACAGAAATCTACAACTAACCATTGGACCGAGATCCTGGAGTACAACTGAAGTGAGGAAGGAGGAGTAATATGAACAAAGGAATCAAGACCATGATGGGGAGACCCACAGAATAACTGGTCTAAGCTAGTGGGAGATCACTGACCCCACACTGACAACTGGGCAACCTGCATAAGACTGAACTAGACTCCCTTAATATAGGTAGGTGACAATGGTGCAGCTGGAGCAACATATGAGGCCACCGACAGTGGGTCCAAGATTTACTCCAATGCACAATCCGACTTACTGGAGTCCATTCTATATGGAGAGATACCTTGGTTAGCCTAGACACAGGGGTGTGTGTGGGGAGTGCGGAGGTGCCTTGGTTCTGCCTCAATGAGATGATGGGACAGACTTAGTAGAGTTCCTAAGGGAGGCCTTACCCTCTCTGCGGAGCAGATGGAAGGTGGGATGTTGGGAGTAGAAGGAACAGAAGGAGAGTAGGGAGGGGGAACTGGGATTAAAATGTAAAAAATTAATAAATACTCCCCCACACACAAAACAAAACAAAAGCCTGTCTGCTCTTGAAAGGTGGAGACAGGAAGATCAGGAAGTTCATGGCAATTCTTAGCCCCACAGTTAGTTAAGCCTGCCTTGTGTGATTTCCTGTCTCTAAACAAGAAAAAAACAGGGGGTGTCTAGATCTCAAACCAAAGGCATCTGCTGGGTAAATTTGCATTTGTAATTTTTAATATTTTGTTTCATTTATTATTATTATTATTATTTTAACATTTCACTAAAATATTAATGACTTTTTTCTTTTCTTCTTCTTTTTTTGCAAGACAGTGTTTTTCTGTGTGACAGCCCTGGCTATCATGGAACTCACTCTGTATACCAGGTTGACCTCATGCTCTCAGAGATCTGCCTGCCTCTGTTTCCATCATGCTAGGATTAAGGTATGTACCAGAACCACCTTGCTAAGGATTTATTTTTATTTGTGTGTGTGTGTGTGTGTGTGTGTGTGTGTGTGTGTATGTGTGTGTGTGTACATGCTTGTGCAATAACATGTTTGGATGCCCACAGGGACCACAAGAGGGTGTAATATTCTCTGGAACTGTTATAGGTGGTTGTGAGCTTCCTGATACCCATGCTGGCAACCAAACTTGGGTCCTTTAGAAAAGCAGCAAGTCCTGTTAATGCAATGAACCATCTTCAGTATTTTAGAATTAATAAGTAGTTAGACATCATTATGAGATTATCTAACAAAGTGTGTTTAAGTGGTTTTCCTTCTCCCATTATGCTCATCCCCTTATGCCTCTATCACCCCTGACATTCCTCTTTGTAGTTGCTTTTTCTCCTTGATACAGAATTCTTTTGCCCATGACCCCCTCCCTGTGCCATCTTTCCTCATCACATAGTGTTATCTTCCCTTGGTTTTCTTCCTACATTTTAGGCTTTAGACTTATTTCTACAAATACACATATACATTATAGAATATATAAGGGAGAATATGCAGTTCTGCTTTTCCTGAGTTTGGTCACCTTGCTTGACATTTCCCCCAAATATATCCATCTTCCAGCAGTATCTGAAATTTTAAATTTGAATAAAATTCTGTTGCATATACGTGTGTGTGTGTTTGTGCGTGTAAAACACCATTTCATTACCCATCCATCCATCTGTTGTTGGACATATGGGCTGGTTCTATTTTCTTGTTCTAATTTATAGAGGAGCAATGACCATGAATGACCAAGTTAGATATGCATTTTTAAAAGAGAAATCATACAAGTAGTACTCAGAGTCTGGAATAATGGTTTATTGTGTGTGTGTGTGTGTGTGTGTGTGTGTGTGTGTGTGTGTGTGTGTGTGTGTGTTTGTGAAAGAGAGACTCTGGAAGTGCACCCAAGGTTGGTGTCTTATTCTGCTGGTGGGCTCTATAGGGATTTGGGAGAGTTGCAAGTGAAATTGGTGATAAAAGAGATGTGTTTTCCTGGAGTCCCTGACTCCTGAGTACCCATTTGTGATGAGTATATTGAGGCAGAGTCAGTCAGGATGTAGGTCACACTGGCAGGCCTGAGACCACACGGGTGACATTCTAAGAACTCACCTGAGCAAAGTCAGTCTGCATCCAGTGTAAAAAGGGCCTATGCTGGTGTTCCTGAACAAGGGCCCAAGCTGTAGAAAAGAAAGAAGGTAAGGCAATGGGATAGGTGAGCAATGAACAGCTCTTATCCTTCAGTTAAGCGATCTTCCACTGGTGATACAGAGTGTTGGTAGGAGTAAGTGGAATGCACATGTGATGAACCCGTGGGATAGGTATGGTTAAATCTAAGTGGGTACAGGTGAGAGTTGTGGGGTTGCAGAGAGTGTAGTTACAGAGAGAGGTGGATATACTTGGAGCATTGTAGCCGTGGCTGCAGCACAGTGGAAATGACTGAAGAGGAGTTCTAGAGCTGGGGATAGACAACAGAGTTTGACGAGAATGAGGTAGGCAGAGCTGAAGGTGGATGTGTGGGATCATAGACAAGTTGAGGCTGAAATGACATAGGATGGCCAGGGGTGTTTGGAGCTGGAATTGCGTGGGTAGGATGTGGAAGGGGGTTGGGGAATGATAGGTGGGGCCCCAGAGGAGACCATTTTGGAGAAAGGTGTGTAGGAATGGAGCTTTGTAGGCAGACTGTGGAAGAGTCCTGGAGAAATGTAGATGGGGATAAAGAGGATGCAGGGATGCAGTGAAGTGAACAGCCCTGGAGAAAATACATGGGACTTACTAGGCCCTGCAGGATCTTCTCTGTGGTGTTAAACTTCCTGGAACCTGGGAGCTGCATGTCCTCCTCATAAAATAGGTTGGTGATGGTGAAGTTGAGGGTAAATAATACCGAGGGGGATTCTATAGCTGTAGGAAGAGAAGGAGAAGAGAAGCTTTTCGAGTCATGTTTGGCGATCAACACAGGGAAGGTAGATCCTGAGGGCATAGTCCTAACTGGCAACATCGTACTGAAAACTATAGAAGTGAGTGAGTATCCTTGTTTCACTAATTGTGAGCAGAGCTAGACCATCCTGTGCTGCAGGTCAGGGAGGAAAAATGTGGGAGATGTTTAAGTGGGCAAGACAGTTCATTCTGCAAGCATGTGTACATGAGTTCTGTACCCAAGTACACATGGAAAAATCTGGGAATGGTGACTTATACTTGTAATTTTAGTACTGGAGAAATGAAGATATCTCTTCCTGGAGCTTTATAGCTAGATACCTAGCTGAGTATGTGAACTCCATGTTCAATGAAAGACCTGTCACAAAAAATATTCTGAAGAGTAATAGGGGACGACATGTCAGGTTAACCATTGGCCTATATATGAATGTAAACATTCAAGTGAACCAATGTAGACACATTGCATACACATCAACAACCCACCCCCAACAAGAAAGAATGAGAAGTTGCAAAAGGTGTCTCTTCAGCCAAGAGTCTCACTAATATTCTCCATTGCCAAAGAAATATGGAGGATTCATGCACCCAACTCCATGATCTGTGATTTCAAGGACTTTCAAGCCTCTGTACCTGACTCCTTTCTTTATTTTTTTAAATAGATATATGGTTAGGGCCTCATGCTTCTTCCAATTGTAATGTGAGAGATTTTTATATACTCACTGCTGTTGCTGGTTACTGCAATCTGGTGTGTGTAACCTACAGAGTGAAATCAAAGGAGAGAGCATAAGGAGGAATGGGACACATAGATAAAATATATCTTAAAAGGAGGACAATTTGAGCTTTGCCACAAGGTAAGATGACCACAGCTTACCATTTACGTAGAGACTATTTTGTTCCAGAGCATAGGGGCCTAGTCCAGTGGTGTTGTGGGTGAGCTGTTCTAGTTCTGAGTATAGCTGTTCTCTGTCCAGATCAGTGCCTGTGGAGTTTGGGTGGTAAGTGCAGATCATGTCTACTCTGGTGGCCTCTCCATTCTTCTTTGGCCTGGGAAGGGCAAATAGAGGAGACAACAGTAAGTGGATTGACTAGTGAGGGATGGTGTGGTTCAGGACACATGACAGGAAATAGCTTGTGGAAATGAGAATATTGGTAGAGAGTAAGAAACCACATATCAATTTTCTTAGCTAGTGGATGGAGGAATCTAGGAATGGAGATAATGGTGTGCATTGAATGAGGGTCTCTGATAGCAGTGTGACAAAACTTTGGGGTGATTGTGAACGGGACCCACCATGCCTCTTTAACTCTAGGGTGAAAAATTGGCTCTACTTTTACTTCCTGAATTCAAGTTTCACTGGTACCCTGTATTTTATGATTCATTATCATCATGGCAAATTAATTCTCCTCCTGAAGGTAAATCTTGTTAGATGTCTGCTGAGATCCTTGTATAGGTCCCCACAAGCCTATTAATGAAAACCCCTATGTCTCCACATGAGCATTTGTCTACAGCCTGTTCAGTTTTACTTCTTCCACCATTGACTTGTAGCTGAATGCTTCCTTCCTTGCGTGTACCCTACCTGCTTTTCTTTTTCTCTAGATTTCCTGGACATCTGTCTTGAGGCATGAGCTACAAATCTCTTACTCTCTCTTCAATTCCTGTACTTCCCTAATCTCCAAATTCTTCAATATTCTCTCATGGTTTCAGTTTCCCATGTACAAACTGGGCATGGAGAATGCTATCAGCGTTTTTAAAAAATCTGCATGAGATCAAGCCATCTTTGCCATCAGAACTCAGCTTCTTTCAAACATAGATTAGAATAGCAGCCTTCCAGTTGCCCTCCAGGCCTTCAGTATCTAGCTGAGGCATTTACCATTGTAGACTGAGCAGTTTCTGAACTCTCAACCACTCTAAGGTACATGTGTCCACTGTTGGGCTACTCAGCTTGAATTTCACAAACCAAGCAAATAAATCTCTTCAAAAAATGTATGTTAACCAATAGATTCTCCTCTTCTGAAGAACCATGACTAATGTAGGAATGTTAAATATCCTACTGTAATAGAACAACTACACATAATAATGCCAATATGGCAATCTCTTTCCTATACCTTAGTTTCTAGCACATGCTAACTGCTTGTTGTGTGTGAACCATCAGGAACAGTTGAATGTCTCTTTAACTGTAGAATATCTTTTGTAAATGATAGGGATATGTCCTTTATAAAAGAATTTCATTCATAATTACCAGTGGCTTTGCCATATTAGTCACAAGAAATACTATTCTGGGCTGTGACATCTGTTACTTCACTGATCAACAAGATTGAGTTAGGAAAATTTGCCTGATTAAGGAGGTGTCCACTTTATCAGTACCCATGTACATCCTTCCTAAAACTGTATGCTTAGTTAAAGAGGATGAATTTCACAATTAGAGGAGGATTGGTCTTCAATTAAGGGCATAGAAGTAGTTGGGCTCCCTTGGAAAGAACATCCAAATGAGTTCTTAAGAAATACTGACCTGCAAATCTTAAATATCCCACAGATGTTCACACTGCACAGGCATGATCCTGTGGGTAGAATTGTTGGGAAATGGAGGATTGTTGAAGCTGAGTGAAAAAACTTTAGATCATCGTGTGGTGCATATTTAAGGAAACTATAGGACTCCTGCTTGTTCCTCTTTCTTACTTTTTTTTTTCTGGACATGGTCAATTTAACTCTATTGTCCCTACACAAACCAAAAGTGACAATCCATCTGACTGTGGATATAAGTGCCTCTAAAACTGATCAAAATTAAACATTTTTAGGTTTGTGATATAGTCTAGTTAGTAGAGTGCTAATGTAGTGTTCATGAAACCTTGGGTACCATTATTCTATCACCAGATACACTGAGCCTGATAGTACACACCAGTCATCCCAGCACTCAAGAGGCGAAGACAAGAAAATTGTAAGTTCAAGGTCATTCTCCAATACACACTAAATTGTTGAAAGCCTGGCTGTTTTAAAAAGAACAACAACAAAAAGTGAACAAAAATTAGACAGACAAAAAGCACATTCTCTTTGTAAATTGATTATTTCTGGGATATGTGTCTGGTTTGCTTTTCTTTGGTTTGTAAGTTGATTATTTCAGGGATATTTGCTTGGTTTTCTTTTCTCCGATCTGGGCTTTGTTTCTTTGTTTCTGTGACAGAAACTAATACACAGTACATGAGAGACTGAAGTTCAGAAGAACAAGAAATAATAGACTCTGGCATGGCCCAGGGGCTGCAAAAAGGCTGAGACCAAAAGGAAGACATAACCATAGTGAAGTATGTGTAGAAACTCCACCCATGACTCCCTGGTGGTCTTCTCTAAGGTCTCACCTGAGTGAGGTCAATCTGCAACCAGAATAGAGTAGGCCAACACTGGTATTTTGGAACAAAGGTTTGAGCTGTGAAGAAGAGAGAGGGTACAATTAAATATAAGGTCTACATAGGGAAAAAGGGGAGAGATCCAAAGACATGTATCATGCAAAAAGGGAGAGCTTGGGGAAATAGTAGGTGAGGCAAGTGGGGCTATGAATGAGACTTGATGGGTAAGATTGGCAGTAGAGATGTAAACCAGTGGCAGAGCAATAAAGCTAAGTAGAGAGGGTTTTAGTGGGAAGATCGGGCAAGTGGAAGGTAGACAGGTCTAGAGTGAGTTGGTAGGACCTCAGTGGCTGTGGCAAGAGAGGGATAAGATAGATGGAAGAGATACTGGTGGGTGTAGCAACAAAAAGTAGGAAGGGTTGGGATGGGTGAGCCCAGTACGGATGTTATATGAGAGATGTGGGCAAATGCCAGAGTGAAGGACATGAGGGACATGTGGACAGGGGGACTTCAGTGGGAGAAGCAAGACATTGGTGTGTCTGGAGCAGGTGGGTAGCACAACCGTGTATTTCGTGCAATCGCTGTGGGTATCTCACCAATGATAAAGGCAAGGGAGGCAGGCAGGGATAGATCTTGTGTGCTGTAAGTTGGTGACGCAAGAGGTGGTCCAAGCTGAAATAAGTGGGTGGGGCAAATTGTCACAAGACAGATGTGGTAGTTACCAGTAAGTATGGCAAGATAGGGGTTTTAGTGGGACTTTAGTGAAGGAATGGGAAAGGGAGGTGAGCAAGCTTTGAATTCATGGACTAGAAGTAAGTGGGTTTGGTAAGAGAGGGATGGAGGACCTGGAACAGATAGGTGGGCACCAGGGCAAGAGGGGGTTGTGGGTGGAACCTTAGTGAGTGGGAAGTGGGTGGTATGGTAGGATTCAGTAGATGGAGCAACAGTGAATAGGATAAGGGAGGCAGGCAGGTCACCAGAAAGAAAGGCAAGAAAAATAGGTTAGGCTGACAAAGATGGGTAGGGCACCATGGAGGGTCACAGGAGAAATACGGGTGAGCACAAATGGCAGAGCAAGATAGAGATGTGGATAGGGCTTGAAAGAATGAATGGGCTGGACAAGTGGTGGTGTGTGGGATACTCTATAGGCACAGCAGGAAGAGGTGAGTAGGGCTGGGAAAGGTAAGCAGAGAATCAATGAATAGTATAAAAGCAATCTGAGTGAAGTGACAGAGGGACATGGATGTGGATGCGGGCTAACCATCAATGGCTAGAACTAAAGACAGGAGGGCTATGCTGGGGCAAAAGAGGCATCTGTGGCTGTGGCAAGAAGGCAGGACTGGGGTGGGTGAATTGGGTACCAGTGAACCAGGCAAGGGAGAGGGGCGTGGCTGGAGGGAACTTAAGCCTTAAGTTGGTGAGGCAAAAGGTGGGCAGACACCGATGAGTGTAACATGGGGATGTACGTGGCTGGTGGTAAGTAAAACAAGGAAGAGAAGTGGGTGAGGCTTTGGTGGGTGAGGGGGGGCAAGCAGGAGGCAAGTATGGCTGGAGTGAGCAAACAAGACCAAAGGCGACATAGTGGGTGAGGAAAGGGGTGTGTGGAGGGGTCTCACCAGAAGCTGCAGGACTTTCTCCACTTTGTTGAACGCAGCATATCCTGGCACCCACATGTCCTCTGTGTGTGGTAGGTTGGTGATGGTAAAATTAAGAGTGAACAGCCTCTGAGAAGAGCTTGAGGCTGCAATTAGATTAGGAAACGTTAAGTCCTGAGTCATACTGGTACAAAATTTAGGGATTAGGACATATTTTATATTCATATAATTGGGTCTCCTGTATTCACACCTAAGGCAACAGTTCATGACATCTTTACCAGAATCTAAAAAATATTTTGAATCATATGAATAATAGTAATTAAACACCGGTGGTAATTGAAATAGAAATAGCAATGTGCCTTCAGCCTTGGTAAGAGAGAACATTTTGCAACAGACAGCAGTTACTGCGGGGAATCTTAACTAGTCGGGATGCTGTTAACTAGTCAGAATAATTGTTACTGCTTAGATATGAACAGAACACCAATATCACCCCTGTAAAGCTCAGGTAGTACCACAAAAGAGGAGGGGGAAACAAGGTAAGAGCAGGATCGGGAAGAGCCTTATAGGAAATTGTCTTCAGGACACCACATGGCTGCTGCACTTAAACTCACAGCTACTCTTACCTAGAGAAGTTCTAACATGGATGGAGGAGAGGCTCATGTAGCCCATCCATTTCTGAGGAGCTACTAGCAGGTAATGGTCTCTGGGGGTGATGATAAAGATATGCTCTTCAGTTGTGTGGCTCCTGGTAGATGGCCTATGACTCTACCACTGCTTTGGAATAATTATCTTCTTTTTCTGTTGATTCCTTCATGCCACAACATGGCAGCTGTACATAGCATTATTCATGCACCACTGCCATTGAGGCATGTCTATCAGAGAAGACCCCAGATGTCTAGGGAACAGGGCTAATTACTCCAAGCAGGGTCAGTTGTCAGCTCAGAGTAAGGCCTTGGGTGAGAGAACTCTGATAAGAAGAAAAGGCTTTTACAGCCATGGAATTTTCTGCTTTGACCTATGTATGTGTGTGAAGCGTTCATAACTCTATGTGTGTTCGAATACATGTGGGATATGTATGGTGTGCAAGTGCATATATATGTGTATGAGAGCCAAGGCTGATGTCAGGTATCTTCTCCAATTATGTATCGAGGCAAGATCTCTCAGAGGAAACCCAGAGCTTGCCCTTTCTGCTAGTCTGACTATCTAATTTGTTCAGAGAGTCCCTGTCCTTCCCTCTTGTGGTCTGGGACTACAGACAGGCTGCTATGCTTACCCAGGTTTCATGTGGATTCTGGCAACCAAAACTCTGATTCTCATGCTTATAAGCCATACTTTACTTACTAACACCCCCCAGCACTGTATTTCCAATATGAAACCTGAAGAAAAACAACAGAAACTCACCCCTGGCTTCCACAAGTATAAGCACACACAAGCATGTATTCATGAACTCTCTCTTCTCTCTCTCTGTCTCTCTCTCTCTGTCTGTCTCTGTCTCTCTCTGTCTCTCTGTCTCTCTGTCTCTCTCTCTCTCTCTCTCTCTCTCTCTCTCTCACACACACACACACACACACACACACACACACACATACACACACAGACTTGGCCATTTGATCAAGTAAGTCAAATCAGGATCCTGATAAAATCATGATGAGTTGTTATTCTTATGTATTGCTTTCTGCACAAATTTGTTCTTGGATAACTGGTCTGTTGGTTAATATTCTTCCAAGAGCTTTAGAAAGATCTAGAAGTCTCTAGACACCTACATTAAGAAACAGGCACCAGAGAATGGCTTAGGAGATTGGATGCTGCTAGGGTGGGAAATAGCATTCTGAGAATTCTCAGACCTTTGAGGTCCCTTTATCATCCATTAAGGGTCAATCTTAGGGTCCTCTTGGACATAGTTCTCTACCCTTTCTCCTGCCTCCTGTTATCACAGAAGTCACCAGAGAATTTTACCTGTGAGATTGGAGGTGGGAGCTGGCATAATTGAAGAAACAATGTTCATCATAGACACTATGAGGGGAAAAGAAATCCATTTGTAATAGAGACATCGTCTGTGTTGAGACACCAGTGGTGTCCAAGTCTGGGTTCCCGTAGGGTTTCAAGCGCTATACATCTCAGGCTGGAGGTTAGGTGAAGAGTGAAATTGACACAGTAGACTATTGTTTTCTTTCACTTCAAAGGGCTGGGTATAACGATAGGTGTGATAGAAAATTAGGGAAACGGTAGAGTACTCACTTCTGGGTGTGGTAGCCAGGATCTGGTGTGTGTAACCTACATAGAAAAAGGGAGATTTGAACTGTAGTGGAATCGAGGGAAAGAAGGCCTGGGTAGGGAGGGTATGGGCTCTGCAATGCAACAAAGCACAGATGGCAGCTGCTCACCATTGACGTAGAGACTGCTCTGGTCCAGGAAGTAGGGGCCCAGATGGCTGACACCCTGGGTCAGACTGCTCAGCTCCCCATATATCTGCTCATTTTCCAGCCTAGGGCCAGTAGGGTCTAAGTGGTAGGTACAGGTGGCATCCACCCCTGTGGCTGCTCCGTCTTTCTCAGGCCTGAGAAGGGTAGACGAGAAGAATGATGATAAACTGATTTCCTCAGGAAGGCTCCTGAGACACCTGGAACAGCACATGAAGGGTTCAGAAGAGCTGACATATCTGATAGAGACTTACAAAGTCAGTTGTAGATTTTTTATCATATTGAACTCCAGTAATATGTGACCCTGAGCAGACAGCGAGTCAAGAATTTTTATCAATTGTAATAATCAAATAAGCAGGTGTATATATGGGAAAGTGAGAGGTAATAAGTGAGACATTTGAATGAATAATTGGAGCACCGAAGGTCAAAATTAATGAACAGAAAATGCACATTTGTCTTAAGAGAAATCATCTGGGCCAACTTGAAAGTTCTCATGAAATGTTCATTTATTATTATTAAGTAAAGGGAGGAAGGAGATAATGCAAAATGAAAGAGAAGAAGGAGGTTCCAATTTGTTGATAGATTGTGGGACAAGTGGTTGAATCAGGAGACATTTTGGTACTGGCTATGGTACCCCCAGAATTCACCTGTATATAAGACATTCCAAAGAAGTGCAGTGAGGAATTTCAGCACAATCACTGGACTGAGAGTATTTAAGCCACTCAAGCTAGTCTAAGGACTCACCTGAGCAGGTTCAGTCTGCAGCCAGAATACAGTGGTCCAATACTGGTTTTATTGAACAAGGGCCTAAGCTGTGGAGAAAGAGGAGCGGGTGAGAAGGAGGCATGGGGAACAGAAGCAGGAAGAAGTAGATGAGCAAAGCAGGCAATAGTGAGTTGGCTTTGCATATGTATAGTCAGCATGAGATGGGCAGTGCTTCTTCAGGGACATGACATGGCATGGCCAGTAGGTGGGGCTGGCTGCAGCGAGCAGGACTCTCACCAGGTTCTGCAGGGTTCTCTCAGTGATATTGAACTTCCTGGATCCAGGATGACCCATGTCCTCCTCAAACTCCAGGTTAATGATGGTGAAGTTGATAATAAAAGGCAATGGGACAGGGGCAGCTGCAGAGGGGATGAGAGAAAGACACGTGCTCAGTCTCTTATTCTTCTCCAGACTTCAGCATGGAGCAGCATCTATGTGCATATTCAAGCACTGGCCAGATACTTCCTGTAGGAAGCACAGGTACCTGGGGGGAGGCGGGGGAAGGGGACATCACAACAGCTTCAATTTAATTGCCAAGGATAAGTAGGACTACTGTATAGCGGTAACTTCACCCATGAGGCAGAATGACGTATGTCTGTCCCTTCAGGTAGCTAGCATGCCTGTAGTCATCCGTGGCTTCTGAGTTTTTCTAGTGTAAATCTATTTCTCTCTCTTATTTTTTATTTTGCTTTGCTGGCTTATATAATCCACTTTCGTGCAGGCCTATAATGTGCTTGGAGCATGCCTTTCCCTTGAACATGTCACTTCCTTCTGCTTTTCTATTTCTCCTTCTCGCATTACAGCAACTCCCTAAGACAGTGACACTTCAACTTTCTTGTCATCTATTTATGCACAATTATATATAAACATGTATGTTACCTAAGAACCACAAATGAGAGAGAACATATGCTATTTGTATTTCTGAGACGAACAATTAACAATGTATGGACAGTTGCATCCATTTTCCTATAATTGAAATAACCTGTTTTTTATTGTTAGTACCAATGTTAAAAAAAAAAAAAAAGCCCAGCACTGTCGTGCGGGCCTATAACCACAGCTCTGAAGGGGCAGAGATAGGTTGATTCCTTGAACTGGTTGATTAGCCAGCCTAACTGAATTGGCTTGCTTTATATATGGTGTGAGAACCTATCTTTAAAAAAAAAAAAAAAAGCCGTGAAAAGGCTGGCGAGATGTCTCAGTAGTTAAGAGCATTGGTGTTTTTTTTTTATTATTTTTAAATTTAAATTTAAATTAGAAACAAGGTTGCTTCACAAGTCAGAGTCAGTTCCAGGTCCCTCTCGGTTTCCCTTCCCTCCTCCTGTGCCCTCCCTCCAACCCCCCCAATGTCCCCTCATTTCCCCATGGAGGGTGAGGCCCTCCATGGGGGTGTCCATAGTCTGTCATTTCATCCAGGGCAGGGCCTAGACCCTCCCCCAAGAGTTCAGGGTGAGAGTGCATCTCTCATTGTTGGGAGGGAGTCCAAAGTCCATGTGTGTACCCTGGATGAATACTGATCTACTGCCTAAGGCTCAATAGATTACCTAGGCCTCCTCACTGACACCCACATTCAAGGGGTCTTGATCAGCCCCATGCTGGATTCCAAGGCATCAGCCTGGGATTCGAGAGCTAACCCTTGTCAGGAGTGCCAGCCTAAGATCGCATTGGTGGTTTTTTTAAGAGCTCCCAGGTACACTGCAGCTTACAACCATCTGTAACTCCAGTTCTAGGGTATCTGATGCCCTCGTCTGTTCTTGACGGGTACTGCATGCACATAAAACACCATACACATAAAGTAAATAAGGATATAGAGGCATCCAGAACGACACCCGTGATTGATTTTTGGCTTCCACGTGCATGTACTTATAACCTGCACATGCATGAATAGCCACACATACAGTGAGATGGTTCAGTGGGTAAATACATTTACTGTCAAGCCCGATGACCTGAGTTTGATCCCTGGAACTAACGCGGTAGAAGACTGAAAATTCAACTCCCTCAAGTTGTGCTCCGACCTCCACACATCACTCCATACACACATACATGAGTGCATGTGCAAACCCACACAGACAATGCACACATATACATATATACATATACAAATAAGGACATTATTTGAGGAAACACATTCTGAATTTTTGTGTCCCAGAAGGGCTTATCACTTTGGATGAACAAGCTATTTTTTAAATTAAATTAAAAATTTATGGTAAGTCTTTAAACAGTTTTAAATTTTAGTTACAATACTTCACACAGGTACATATTTGGCACTGAATATTTTCTTTACCCTCTCTTTCTTTTCTCATTTTCCCTCCTCTTATTTGGCCCCTTTTGTTCCCCCAGAAAACTTTACTTCTTCCATTATACATATATGTGTTTATAAATATATGTGTGTATATATATTCACATTTTTCTGTGACTACATACAGTCTAGGAAGCTTACACGATAGAAAAATATGGCATTTGCCTTTTTGAGAGTGTCTCAGTTCACTTAACAGGATTAGGAGATATTAATGTGATTCCCATTTCACAGATATGAAGACTGAACCAATGGGAATCTGAATAATTTGTCTCGATTCATGCAACTGCTAAGAAACAGTTCTGAATATAACAATAGCCATGCTATTTATTATAGCACTAATTTATTGTTCACTTAATATGTTGTATTGGGGTTCTTTTGATATTATCAAATACTGTTTTATTATTTCTATGTATTAATGTATGTGTTTATCAATGTGTGTCATATATGTACAGATGCCTATTGAGGTCAAAGAGGGCAATGGATCCCTGCAACTGGAGTTAAACGTGAATGTGGGTCCTCTGGAAAAGCAGTCCTCTGAACTCCTGAGTCATCCCTCCAGCTCCATTTTTTTTTATATTTTTGACATTTCATGTGTTGATTCTGAATGATATTTTTAATACAAACTCTGAGTTTGAATAATGACAATTTATCATAGTAGTCTAATTTTTAGGAATTTTGCTGTGGTTTGAAGGAGAAAGGTCTCCCACAGTTGCATGTGACACTGCTTGGGAAGGTTGTGGAGCCTTTAAGAGTTGCAGCCATGCTGGAGGAAGTGAGCCCAGTTCTACTTCCTTTCTAATTCCCGACTTTAGATGCAATGAGATCAATCAGCCTCCTGTTTTCACCACACTGCCTTCTCCAAGGCAGAACAAGCCCTTCGTCCCCAAAACAGCTTCTTGTTGGGTATTTTGTCACAGCTACGAGAGAATTAACTTATACAAACTTTTATGTCACTAGATTGTACAGTTCACACTACTAGAGTTGTTTACAAGCACCAAGTCCCAGTGGTGAGCAGATGGACTTTCTTGCTCTGTGTACTTTTTGATATCTTTGGCAGTTTTCACAAAGAAAATATTGTAGAATAGTGGAGAAGAAATGTAGGAACTACAGAAATGACTGGTGCATAGATTTTGGACAAATCAAATCTTTAAAATTCTGCTAATAAGATATGACAATATTTTGCAGTCAGGAAGTTGATACACACTTACACTGCAGGCATACTAGTAATTCGGCAAGAAAACCTCTTATCTATTTAATCTATTGAACAAGAAAAGTTCTTTCTTTCAATTATATATTTTTTGAGCTCTTGTATAGCTCACACTAACTTCAAATTCTCTATGCAGCCAAGGGTGGCCTTAAACTTCTGGTTATTATTTCTCCACTTCCCAAGTTACAAGTAAGAACTTCAATTTTGTGTATGCTAGGCAAAACATTTTGCCACTTTAAGCTATATCTTCAGTGACAAAAATAGCTATTAAAACAAACTCATTGATTAGTTGGTAAACTAGAGATAGGAGTGCTTAATGTGCTGGCTCCTTGCACATTAGTCATTACAGACTAAATAAATATCCTCAGCAAATGGTCCTGAAGTAATGTACTATTGTCAGGGATGTTGGATGATGCAGACTTTATGGGACAATAGGATTCAGAAACAGGTTCTCGGGGATGTTTTAGTATGAAGGGTACTAGGGCATTGTTTGGTAATCAAAGATTCCTCAGTGACCTGGGAACATTCTGGGAGAATCATATAGAGGGATTTTTTTCTCCTGCCCCAGGCCTCCACAGATCTTTCAAATGACTTGGAAAATACAAACAGCGGGACGTTCATACCTGTGGGAATTGAGGAAGCTTTTGGCACTCCTTCAGAAACAGTGGCCACCATAGATGCTGAAAGTAAAAACAATTTAAATGTTTTGATTGGAGGCCTCATTTATTAGAAGATACAAAGGGGTGACATATTCCCCGTTCATCCCTAAATGAGGTTGAGTTCCAGTCATGGAACAAAAATTCAGATCCATGGACTTACTAACAAATAGTGAAGACACAAGATACTCACTCCTCTGGGTGGTGGCCAGAGTCTGCTGTGTATAACCTACATAGATAATGAAAAGAGAGTGAAAACGGGGCGAGACTGAGAAACTAGTGACATGGGAGGAGAGGAGTGTGACTCTGAAACGTAACTCACCATTGACATAGAGACTGTTCTGGTCCAGGGTGTAGGGCCCTAACTTTATGATGCCATCATTCAGTCTTTTCAGCTCCCAGTACACTTGTTCTCTGTCCAGCCCTCCATTAGAAGCGTTGGCATGGTAGGTGCAGATGGCATCTACTCCTGTGGCTGCTCCATTATTCTCAGGCCTGGGAAGGGTGGGCCAGGAAGGTAATTGACATTAAATTGATTACTTAGGGAGGTATCCAGATGTGTTTGGCACAAGATTTTTGGTAGGGCCAGAAGAAAGGAGGCATCTGGTATATTCCTGAAAATACAGGCTTACACCCTCTGAATGTAGTGACTTTTGGTAGTTATGTCATGGCATGAGCAGACATGGAGTGAAACTGTTAAATGTAATGCAACACTCAAACCTACATCCTCAAGTCAGAGTGCCCAGAGGGCTCATATTTACAATAGATGAAAACTGGAATTGGGAGTGGAAAATCACATTGTCTAAAGAGAAATCCTGGGAATTGAACTTAAAATTGTCCCCGGCAATCTTAGCTGAGTATTAGGACCCCGTGGATGTTGCAGGCTATAGTAATAGCTGAGAACAAATGATAGGAACAGAAAATAATCTGATACTGGAGGTTATGTGTCCTAAATTTCCCAATGCTAAGGACATAAAGACAAAAGGCAAGCTGGCTTAATTGGCTTAGAAATACCTGAGGTAAGACTTGTCCACCATCCTTGCGGTGTGTGTGTGTGTGTGTGTGTGTGTGTGTGTGCATGCGTGTTTATAAAATCTTTTCTTGGGGGAGCATGGTGGTGTATAATGTGTGTGTTCATGCTTATGTATGTATATGGAGGTTAGAGAATAACTTGAGAGTTTATTCTTCCTTGGGAGCACCCATCTTGTTTTTTGAGATAGCTCTCTCTCTCTCTCTCTCTCTCTCTCTCTCTCTCTCTCTCTCTCTCTCTCTCTCTCTCTCTGTGTGTGTGTGTGTGTGTGTGTGTCTGTCTGTCTGTCTGTCTGTCTGTCTCTGTCTCTGTCTCTGGCTCTCTCTCGGAGACCCAGAGCTCACTGATTTGGCTAGATTGGCTGGCCAGTCAACTTTCCAGCCAATCCCAGGGACCTGCCAGTATCTACTGCTCCAGTGCTGGGTTGACAAGCACATGCTATCATGTCTGGATTTTTAGGTGGATGTTGAGGATCACACTCAGGTTCTCATGGTTGGTCGGCAGGCAGTCATTGAGTGAACTATCTCTGAAGCTCCTAGCCTGATATTATGAGGTCTCACCTGAGCAATGTCAGTCTACATCCAGAGTACAGGGGGCCGAGACTGGTTTTAATGAGCAACGCCCTGAGCTGTGGAGAAAGGGAAGAGGCATGAGAACTATGCTGAGGACTTAGGGGTCTCCTTCATGGTCGTGACATGGTTTTCTGAGTGCAGCTTCCATCTGTAGGTGGGCCTTTATACACTGGGGTGGGGATCTCACCAGTCTCTGCAGGGTTCTCTCAGTGGCACTGAACTTCCTGGAACCTGGGTGACCCATCTCTTCCACATATTCCAGATTAGTGACAGTGAAGTTGATGGTAAAAGTCACTGGAATAGGGCCTGCCACTGCAGGAGGAGGGAAGGGATGTGAGAAACACATTATCTGAACGTTATCTTATTTTCTGTCTCTGAACTTCAGTTGGGGCATCACCAATGTGCATCTTCCATCACTCAGAAAGGGTATCTCCAAAAGTGACCACTTTTCTCATAGAGAAGACTCAAACATCAGCTTCACCTAATGGTTATCAAAGATGAATAGGATTACTTTAGACTGGTAAGTATACTATCAACCAGAAAGGAAGCATATGTGACTCTCAGGAGAATGAAAGTCACATAAGCATTCTCCTTTTAAATTTTGTTTAAACAAAATGTGTTCTTGTATCTGTTCACTCATTGATTACCTGTGTGTGTTTAGATACATCTGTGATTGAGTATATGTCCACAATATATATCTGTGTTCTGTGTGTGTGTGTGTGTGTGTGTGTGTGTGTGTGTGTGTGCATGCACATGTTTTGGGGGAGTTGTGCTTGTGGGAATGCATACATGTGGATGACAGAGGACAGTCTAGATTGTTTTCCTTCAGGAACTGTCCATCTTTCTCTTTTTGAGGCAAGGTCTTTCACTGGCCAAGTACTCATCAAGTTAGGCTTGACTAGCTGTCCAGTAAATTCCAGTGATCCTGAAGGCTCTATCTCCCATGAGCTAGGATTATAAGTACATAACACCATGTCATGTCCTTCCTCCTTTCCTTCCCTCCTCTCTCCCCTTCTCTTCCTATTCTTTCTTCTTTCTCTCCTCTTTCCCTCTAAGACACCTGGGTTCTGGTGAATTGAATTCTGATCTTTAAATTTGCAAGGAAAGAATTTTAGAACTCAGTTATCACACCAGCCCTTATTATTATTTTTATTCTCAAGAAACATATATTGGTTATTTGTGTGAGAGGTCCTATTTATTGAGCTCACACACAATGGATTTGTTATTGTGGACCAAGTAGCTACTGTGATGTCCATTTCACAAATTGAAAATCTGAGGAAACGAGAACTGGAAAAAATGGCTTAGTGGGTTTTGCTGCTTGCTGCCAAACCTGGTGACTTAAATTATTTTCCCCAAAACCCACATGGTGGAAGGACAGAACAGACTCAAGTGGTCTTCTGACTTCCACTTTCCATAGTCACACACACACACACACACACACACACACACACACACAAAATCAAGCAACCAGTAAATGCAAATAAAAAATACTGAACCAAAGAGAAATTAAATAATTTTCCCAGATCACAGAATCCAACTTGAACACAGGACATATTATTGTAGTATTCACATATCAATTATTCATTTAACACACGCTATTGTGTTAAATGAATAACTGACATCTTTCAAATACTACATCTCAACTCTAATTTTCTTGTTGTTTAATAATATATTTTTATTTTATGCTCATTGGTGTTTTGCCTTCAAGTGTGCCTGTATCATAATGTGCATACATCCTGGAACTGTAGTTACAGACGGGTGTGAGCTGCCATGTGGGTGCTGGGAATTGACTTGGGTCCTCTGGAAGAGCAGCCAGTACTCTTAGCCACTGAGCCATCTGCCCAGCTCCTGAGCACTAGTTTTCAAAATAAATCCTATAATTCTTTCTGATAAGTTGTTAGATTGCCCATCTCAGTCTCCAGCTAGCTACATAGTAAAGAATGACAAACTTATTATTCTGCTTCCATCTTCCAAGTACTCTGATTACAGGCATCCGTCAGCATACCCAGTTTCAGTGATGCTGAGGGTTGCACCTGGGTTTCATGAATCTTAGGCCAACGCTTTATCAGTAGCCAAGCCTTTCAATTTTGAATCACAATAATTTAGCATAGCAGTATAATTTGGGGAAGCACTTACATCACCAGATGATATAACTCTCTGCATACTAGAATAAAATAGGAGAAGTTGCTAAGAAAGATTAAGTTCTAAAGGGTTTTCCTTGCTCTGTTTTGAGATATTTTTCATATTTTTTCAATTTAACTTTTAAAAATTCTGTGTTGGGGATGCTGTATGCACATCTGTATGAGCATGTGCATAGCAAGGTCAAAGGGCAACCTTTCGGAATTGGTTTTCTCCTTCTATCATGTAGGTCCCAGGGACTGAACTCAGATTTGCAGCCTTTACGCACTGAACTATTACAGGCCTGGTATTTTAATAGTTCTCATAATAAAAATATTACAGATGTGGTGGAAATAAATGAAGCGCAAAATCCTGAAAACATAGTAATTATATGTCATGGTTCATCAATTTTGGACAAATCAAATTTTCTCTAAAAGTCTGGTTAAAGAATCTGACTATAGTTTTTACACCTAGCAAAGGACCTGATACATGTTTGTATTATGGAATATATTCATGATGAAGAATAACCACTGATCTATTCAGTAACAGAAGTCCTGTAAGCAATTCTATGTGGATTGCTTAGTTAATAACCTAGGAATTTCATGTTTTGCTAAGAAGCTTGATAGGACACCAGTGACTAGATATCTAGTCTCAGCCAATAGCCCTGCTTGTATGTATTCTTCTAAGGGCTGCAGAAGGATTTAGAAGTCCATGGCCACCAATAAGCATCAGAAACAATTACCAGAGATTCTGAGTACCAGGGAATAGATAGGATTAAAGGGATTCTTGGTAGTCTGGAAAGAACCTGCAAGAGTCATTAAGAGGCAACCTTAAGATTCTCTGGAACTTGCCACGTCCTCCACTCCTTCTCCTGACTCTAAATATTTTAGAATCACTGGAAACATCTTCAGAGAGGAGCATTCCTACCTGTAGAGCTGGAAGAATTGGTAGTCATCACTGTAGAAGCAGTGGTCATCACAGAAGCTGTGGAGGTAAATTCACAGATGACTAGAGTAGAAACCCCATTAGCTTGGAGACATCAGGGAGAGAATGCAGATGTTGGGTTAATTTTGAGTTTAAGTCTCTGTCCTTCACAGGCTAGAGAAGAGATACACTTGTGCCATTTAGCAATTTACTCTGAATTGAAACATTCATTCCAAAAGGGAGAGAAGAGACGCATGAGATTTAAAAAAATAAACTTCACAAGTCTGGTTAAGCTATAGCTAGGAGATTCTTGAGAGCCCAAGATTGTAGAAGCAGTGAAAAACATTTAAGGGAGAAGACTCTGTCCATCTGAGCTGCCTAGAAGAGACTATCTGAGATGCCTACAAGTCAAGTAGAGAGTTTCAGTGTTCCAGATTTTGTGAGTCTCCAGCATGATAAGGTGGCTATTGACGATGAAGATGCCTTTGAGCCATCCCTGCTCTTGTGAGTAACCCTAATAAACTCACTTTTTAGCCAAGCTAGATGGTAGTGTAATTGCTATTTGGTGTGTATCCAGTTTCCTCCTCTGGGACGAGCAGATGTCTGTTTGTCACATGTCTCCAGGGAAAGTCTCCCACTATTTTGTGTAATGGAGATTGGGCCTTTGACTTCTTTCATTCCAAATATGTGGGACTCATAGGTGTGGTAGAGATTTATAAAACCTGAGAATACTCACTCTTTGTGGTCGTACTCAGAATTTGATGTGTGTAACCTGCAAAGAAATTGAAAGAAAGCATGAAAATGGAGGGCGATACTGATATGGAGGTAAGAGAGAGGAGAATATGGGCTCTTCACTAAAGCAGTGAAGGTAGCCACTGCTCACCAGCAACATAGAGACTGTTGTGGTCCAGAGTGTAAGGGCCCAGCCTGCTGACATCATAGGTCAGCCTGCTGAGCTCCGAATACACCGTCTTTCTGTCCAGTCCCAGGCCAGTGGGGTCAGGATGGTGAGCGCAGACAGCATCCACTCCTGTGCCTGCACCATTATTTTCAGATCTGGGAAGGACAGTGAGATGGCTTCCTTAAGATGGCATCCTAAAATGCTAGGATGGGCAGGGAGTAGCCTGTAGTGACATATTATTTATGGGTTATTAAAGACTGGCTGTGCCTAGGCCCTACCCTGTATGAAATGACAGTCACTGGAGGGCTTCACCCTTCCTGGGGATCAGAGTGGAGATTGGGTGGGGGACTGGGGGACCTCGTGGGGAGGGCTGGAGGAGGAGGGGAGGGAGAGGCAGCTGGGATTGAAAAACAAAACAACACTGACTGTGGATTCAGAAAAGAAAAGTCAGCTACAAGCTGTAGAAGTCTAGACAGTGGTGACACAACCTTTAATCCCAGGACTCAGGAGACAAAAGGCGGATGGATCTCTCTGAGTTCAAGGCCACCCAGGCTTATACAAGATCGAATCAGTCTAAAAGAGTAACAGAGCTCACACTTTTAATCCCAGGGCTCATGAGAGGTATTTAAGACAAGAACATATTCAGTTTGAGGCATTTGTTCTCCAGCCACACTGAGGAGAGGCAGCAGTTTGAGACTTAGTGAAGAGATTGTGTGTGGATCGGCCCTTTCAGCCTGAGCTAGAACTGGGAGCTGATGACTGGCTGCTTCGCTTTACTGATCTTCAGTTTGAACACCATTATAAGTCTCTGGGTCATTTATTTTTCATGTTACAGTAGCCACTGTAAATGAAAAGGTTGATAGAGGCCCAGAGTGATGGATCAATATATGGGGATTTTGCTACCAGTTCTGACAACGTGGGTTCCATCCCTGGGATCCACATGGTGGTGCCAATAAATTATCCTCTGGTTTCCACATGGATTCAATGGTACTGTTGTGCACACACACACACACATACACACACACGTACATATGCACAAGTGCATACACACACTAACACATGAATATCGAACAAATAAACATTTTTTAAAAAGAAAATTGGAAAAGATCAGAAGCCAGAGTTAGAGTCTGAGCATTTTGATTTCTATTAAACTGAGACAATGAGAAGTCATGGCGTCATGAATTTTTATCAACTACAAGACTCAGATGTTCACTCTCATGTTCTGGGATCTGAGAAGCTCGTATATCTAAGACAAATGAGATCTGGATTTAGGACTGACAGCAAGTGCAAAAGGCTCTTTTTTTTTGTCTTCAGAGTAATCAAAGGACAGAATTTGAATTTATTTCAAAGGCAGAAAATGGGATCAGGAATTTAGACAGGATAATCAGGAATAGTTAAAACTGTGATAACAGTCTATTATTGGGTGTGTAGGTTGCTGCAGGAAGGTGGTAGGATTGGAAGGCATCCCATGTCGGGACTTCCTCACTTCACCTGAACAGAAGCTATGCAGGACAAGAAGGAAACTCAGTACATTTTTAGGTCTGACACCCCACGTCCATAGCCTAACACCCACCTGAGTGACGTCAGCATGCAGCCAGAATACAGGGGACCAACACTGGATTTTTGGAACAAGGGCCTCAGCTGTGGAAGAAGGTTAGAGGAATGAGAAGGAAAGACAAGCAGATAGAGGTGGGGAAGAAGTGAGGCTGGCAAGGCATTGAGACATTTCATCCTTGGAGTCAGGCTGGGATGGGCCAGGTCTTCTTGCAGGACTCCATCTTTGGGGTCACAGGTAGACTCTTTCAGGGGCTGGTGTGACTGGTGGGCATGGCTTGCACCTGTGTGCAGTGCCAGGTGCAGTGAGCAGGACTCTCACCAGGCTTTGCAGGGCTCTCTCAGTGATATTGAATTTCGGGGATCCAGGGCGACTCATGTCCTCCTCAAATGCCAGGTTAGTGATGGTGAAGTTGATAGTAAAATGCACCAGGACAGGGCCTACTGCTGCAGAGGGGGTGGGATAAAGACACACACTAAGCGACTGCTTTTCTCTGAACTTGAGCTCGGGCCATCAGTTGCATGCATAATCTTGCACTGAAGAGATTCTTCATCCCTAGATTAGGTTTCCTTGGAAAGGAGACCTCACACCAGCTTTAACTAAGTTACAAAGTAATTCTGTGTGTGTGTATGTGTGTGTGTGTGTGTGTTTGTGTGTGTGTGTGTGTGTGTGTGTGTGACTTTACCATCAAGCAGAAAGAAAATATATGTGTCTCTCCAGTTGGCAAAATCTCTATAGGTTTCTTGCTTTCTTGGAGTTCCTTTTGAAAGCCAAATCTTTTCTGAAGTCTCCATACTTATCAGTTTAAGACAGTTCTTCAATGAAAATTGTGCCAGCATTTATTTATTTGTTTGTTTAGTGATGGTTATCTCCCTCCCTCCCCCTCTCTCCCTCTCTCTCTCTCTCTCTCTCTCTCTCTCTCTCCCTCCCTCCCTCCCTCCCTCCCTCCCTCCCTCCCTCCCTCCCTCCCTCCCTCTCTCTCTCTCTCTCTCTCTCTCTCTCTGGGTGTGTGGTGTGGGGAGCGTGCATGGCAAAGCATAGATGTGAAGATCAGACGAAAACTTTTAGGAACTGGTTCTCTCCTTTTACCAAGCAGGTCCCAGGAATAAAAATCAGTCCATTACATTCACCCCCTAAGTCATCTTAACCACCTGTTAATATGCAGAAGTTAGTATATCAGATGGTGTTTGAAGTTCTTTGCTTACATTAGACTGATTGCTTGCCTTGGACTAAGTATGGTAATACAATGCAAGTAGCATGGAAATGGAAGACAAATGTAAAAACTCCATCAAATTATGAAGGATTTGCTTCCAAGTTACACAAACTGTAAGTCACAGGACCAAATGGAGATATATTGCAGGCTTTATGTTTTCTAAGCACTCAGCCTATGTGAGGCTATGCTGTTACATTATATATGATTTTTTCTTAATGTGAATATATGCATTGTGACATTGCATGTTCATATACATGTGCATGTGTGTGAAGGCCAGAGGTGCAACTTTGGGTATCACCCTCAGGAACACCTAGTTCTCTTGCAATAGAGACCTCATTGGGCTGGAGCTCACCAGCTATCCAGTGAGGCCTAGGGATTTGCCTATTTCTTCCTCCATGTACTGAAATTTCAAGTGCTTACTACTGCATATGGCAATTTTACATGGGTTTGAAGAATCAAATTCAGGTTCTGGCCATAAGCCAATTGCTGTACTGAGATGCTCCTCTAACGCTGAGTTTGTGTTTGACACAGTGACAATTATACACTTAAGTTCTCACCTAGTAGCCCTGCTGATTTGGGTTCTTCAAAAGGCTAGAAAAAGATTAAAAACTACAGACCGATTAAGGGTTTCAAAAATGAGTTTTATAAAATGTCTTGGGGTATTGGGTCTGACATTTAAGGAATTCTCAAGGAACTGAGATGTGTCACCTACTCCATACCTCCTTCTGCCTGCTGCAATTATAGGAGCATCTTCAGAGAGAAAATTCCTACCTGTTGGACTGGAGACAGGAGTTGTCATCCTGCCAGAAATGGTGGTCACCGTAGAAGCTGAGGATTAAAAAAATACCATGTGTTTAGAAGGAAAATCCTTTTGTTTTCGGGAAAACAGAAGACAGTGCATGTGCCTGAGACTTAGATATAATGTGCAGATGTGCGCATGCCATTGGAGGCCACAGGACAACATCTGCTGTCATTCTTTGTATACATTATTTCATTTTAGTTTATGTGTTGCTACATCATGTCTATGCACCATGTGCATGCCTGGTGCTCAGAGCAGCCAGAAAGGACATCTGATTCTCTAGAACTGGGGTTATAGATGGTTGTAAGACATCCCTTGGGTATGTGGAATAGAAGCCAGGACCTCTGGGAGAACAGCTAACACTGTTAACTGCTGAGTCATCTTTCCAGCCCCTCAGGTATTGCTCCTCCTCATGTACTGTCTACTTTGTATCTTAAATCCAAGGTGTAAGGCCCTCACTGGGTGATGTCATTGGTCAGCTTGGTCAGTTCCCAGTATACCACTCATTGTCCAGGCCAGGTTGTAACACCTGTGAATCCCCAATTAGGCTGACTGACAAGTAAACCCCAAGGCTATTCCTACTTACTCTTCTTAGAGCTAGGATTACAGATGTACACCAATATGCCAGGCTTTTCACATGGGTGCTAGGGATCAAACTCCAGGCCCAATGCAAGCACTTTACTGTCCAAGCCTGCCTTAGGAGAGGAACATATTTCTATGCATCCACAGCTGTAGAGGGGCTGCAGGAATGACATGTAGGTAGTCCTTTTGTTTTTATTTCAGGGGGTCTGTGACTTACAGCAAAGGAGATTCTTACAGAGCCTCATAACACTCACTCGAGGATGTGGTGGGCAGGATCTGGTGTGTATAACCTGAAGAGATAATTTAAAAAGTGGGAATGGGGTAGGGTGAGGGAGTGGAGGCTGGGAGGGGAGGAGTTATGCTGTGCAATACAACACATATGGCCACTGCTCACCATTGATGTAAAGGCCGTTCTGGTCTAAGGTGAAAGGGCCCAGCTGGGTGATATCATTGGTCAGCTTGCTCAATTCCCAGTACACCTGCTCATTGTCCAGTTCAGATCCAGTCGGGTCTGGATGGTGAGTACAGATGGCATCTATCCCTGTGGCTGCTCCATCTTTCTCAGGTCTGACAAGGATGGATGAGAAGATTGATGATAAAGAGATTGCCTAGTAAGCACCTTGAGATGATGGGGGCAGAAGGGGAAGGAGCCAGGGGGAGATGAGATGACTAGTATAGAGGTGATACATTAAGCTAAGCGTTTCTGAGTGTAGTGACTTCCAGTAGCCTGTGAACCTGAGCAGACATGGAATGAAGATCTTCTATTGGATGTTAGTCACTAATCTGCATTGTCATGGTGTGGAGAATAGGGAGTTCATTTTTAAGGCAGATATGGATTTGGGAATTAAAGCAAAGGGAAAAGACATTGATGTCTGTGCTGGTTAGCTTTGGCTCTCAACCTGGATCACCTGGAAGAGAGTTTAAATGGGAGGTTATCTCCATTGGGTTGACCTGTGGCCATGTCCATGGGGGCTGGTATGAAACTAATTAATGTGAGAATACCAAGCCCATTGTGGTTAGCACCATATACTAGGCAGTGAATTCTGAACTGTATAAGAATAGATAAGTCCATCAGTTCTCCCTTTCTGACCCTGTATTCCAGCAGTTCAGTTCAGTGTTTATCTGTGGGTATCTGCCTCTGCTTTCATCAGTTGCTGGATGAAGGTTCTATTTCCCAGAACTGATGGGCAAAGGAGTTAAGACTGGGCTGGCTTAACCCACAGAAACAGCTGACCTGAATAAGGGGGAACTCTTGGACCCCAGATTGATGGCTGTTTGGAAAGCATGTGACTGACCCAGGCCCCCTGAATGTGGGTGTCAGTGAGGAGGCCTAGGTGATCTATGGGGCCTTGGGTAGTATTTATCCCTGGTGTACAAACAGACTTTGAGTGCCCATCCCACAATGAGGGATACTCTCTCAGCCTGGACTCTTGAGGGAGGACCTAGGCCCTGCCCTGGATGAAATGACAGACTCTGGAGATCCACCCTAGAGGGCTTCACCCTCCCTGGGGATCGGAGTATAGATTGGATAGGAGACTGGGGGGCCTGGTAGGGAGGGATGGGGAGGAGGGGAGGGAGAGAGAACTGGGATTGACATGTGAAACAAACTTGTGTCTAACTTAAATAAAAAAGGAAGAGAAAAAATAAAACATAGAAATCCTGAATAAAAAATAAACACACAGATATTAAATAAAAGAAAAAAAAAGAATGGAGAAGTCGAGCTGAATGTAGGCGAGAGAGTATCCCTGTTTTTATTTCTCTCTGTTCTTGATTGCGGTGTGACTGTCTCAATCATTGGCTGCTGTGACTTTCGTGAAATTAATTATGGACTACCACTTGAAAGTCTGAACTAAAACAAACCACTTCTCCTCTAAGTTACTTTTAGTTGAGGTGTTTTGTCACAGTGACCGAAATGAAATTAGAACAATATCTTAAGAGAAATTCTGGGGATAGAATTTAAAGCGCCTTCTGTTCCACCATGAGGAAATGAAGGTGGGAATTCAGAACAGATGAACAGGAAAAGGCCATCAACCTGCCGAAGATCTGCAGGCTGTGGGGTGACTCAAATGGATTAGGGGACACCTTGGATGTTGGATCCAGTGCTTCCTAAATTCCACATGGTCAATGTACAGACAGGAGAAAAGGAAGGAAGCCAACCACACTTTGCATTTGGGACACATTGAGGATCTCTGGCTTTTTTTTTTTTTTTTTTTTTTTTTTTTTTTGCTTAGGACTCACCTGAGTGAGATCAGTCTGCAGCCAGAATACAGGAGGCTGACGCTTGTTTTATTGAACAAAGTCCAGAGCTGTGGGGAAAAGGGAGAATGCTGTGAATACAAGAACTGAGGGAATTACAAACTACTTTTGAGATGTGTGGAACTAGCATCTGTGAGCAAAACTGGAATCTGTGGAACAAGGTTAAGAATGGTGTGGCCTTCTTACAGAGTGTGTTCTGGCTGATAGGTATGGCGTACATCTATAGGGAATTCTGCATATACTGGAAAGAGCTCTTACCAGTCTTTGTAGGATTCTCTCAGTGGCATTGAACTTCTGGGAACCAGGATGACGCATGCCCTCCTCATACTTGAGGTTAGTGATGGTGAAGTTGATGGTGAAAGGCACCAGAGAAGAGACTGGAACTACAGTGGGGGTGAAGAAAGATATACTGAGCTGATGCTTCTGCTGTGAACTTGGGTATCTTCCAGCAACAGAGTGTTCCTATTGGATCACAGCTTCCCAAGGAAAGGAGTGGATCTGCATCACCTGAACTGTATCAAGCATGAGTATGATTTATCTGTGGGGTTTAATACACCATAGTACAGAAACTAAGCACGTCAAACCATGTGTTGATAAAATTCTAACATCTTTATTTTCTGAGTTTTCATTTATATCAACTTGTTTTTCTGCAGCTCAACCCTTGTAGATTCTCCTTCCTTCCTTCCTTCCTTCCTTCCTTCCTTCCTTCCTTCCTTCCTTCTATCTCTACCTTGATCTCTTTCTTTCCTTTTGTAAAGAGAGAAGGTATAAAATCTGTGAGATGACTACAAAATCACAAGCTTGGTGATCTGGCTTTAATACCTAGTAGAAGTAAAGAGATAGTTCCCATAGGTTGTCCTCTGATCTCAACACTCATGCCATTGTTTATGTACAAGTGTGTCTGTGCACATATACAACATAACATGTAAAATTAATTTAAAAAACGTTTTTAAAGAGAGTATAGTAGGGAGACATCTCAGTCACCATAGTCAAGGAGGATGATCAGGGCTTGATTGCAGAACCCATGTACAAACAAGGCAGGTTTGGTGGTACATACTTGTAATTCTAGTGTTGGGGAGGTGGGGACAGATGGATTTTTGGGGCCCACTAGCCATCCAGCTTCTCCTATGTGGTGAGTTCCAGCTCAGTGACATGCCTTATCTCAATAAACAAACTGTGGAAGGCTCCTGAGGAATAGTACCTAAGGTTGACCTTCAGCATCCACATGCATGTGTACAAATGTAAAAGCCAACTGACTCCTGTGTGTACATGCATGTGCACACAGAAGAAAAATTATTTCAAATATATGCATTATAATGGGGTTATATGACATTTTACATATAAATTGGAGCCATTGATTTGGTAGGAGATGGTATTGGGAAGCCGATTTTATAGGTGTAAAATTTGAACCAAGGGAAAATTAAATATACAATCTCCAAATTGCATGGCCCAAGTCAAGCCCAAGATTTAAGGCTCCACTCTGTTCTCCTTAAACCCTATATCAAGGTCCATGGGCGAGTCCAGATGACAGTGATACCCTAGTTTTCCTAAGCTGAAGTACTATACAATTTTGCTAGAATCCAGACCAGACTGCTATTGAGGACACACCCACTAGCAGCAGCTTCTTTCTAATAGCGATTGTAATGGAAATGAAAAGCTCCTGACCAAAAGCCTGTCTGTGAATTCCTAATCCCCTAATAGACTCCTCAGGTCCCTGGATTCCGAGAGAATAACAGACTACATTCCCTTACTCCCAGGAAGTTCACAGATCTTAGGATGCCACTCTCAGGCACATTCAGAGCACTACCAATAGGGATACATTTCATATACTTTGTACACCTGGTGTACCATTCCTCACTTCCCCCACATCCTAAGAGTCACACATTCCTCCCTGGAAACATAAGGTCCCTCTCTTCCCTCCCACTAGGAATCAGAGACAACCTCAGTCCATCTAAGAATCAGGCACAGCCTGTGGTCCATCTAACAATATGGGACAACCTGCGTCCATCTAGGAATCAGGGACAGCCTGCTACATGACTGCACTTTCCTCCTCCAAGATCTATCAGAGAGGATCCTCACTGTGCTTCATGGACTTGACCTCTCCTCAGAGCCACCACCGTGCTGTCTGTCCATGGGACTAATTACTCTTCTAACATATCTCTTACCCCAAATCAAAATCTACTTCAAGCCCTAACACTTTCAGTGCTGTAAAACAAGAGAATAGAATAAGACCAAAATCGTGTCCGTTCTTCCTTCAACAGAGCCAGTACAAGGCTTGAGAAGGTTGGGTGTGGGATGCTGTACCTCAGCTGAAGTAGAGTCAGTCCATGCTAGATGACATGGTGCTGTCAGGCCCATGCACAGCGTATGTTGTTCTCATTATTTCTCAGTTGAAAACTAAGGGGCTGTGGAGATGTCTCAGTCAGTCCAGTGCTTGTCCCACAAACACCAGGGCCTCATTTCAGACCCTCACAACTTATGCAAACAGCTGGGTGCAGTGCTACACTACACACCTGTGATCCCAGCCCTGGGAAGGCAGAGACAGGAGGATCTTGGGACTTTGTTGGCCAGATGATAGCCAGGCCAAATTGGAGAGCTATAGGCTAATTGGAGACACTATCTCAAAAAATAAGATGAGGGACAAATGGGGATGACAACCATCTTTGGCATCCACATACATGTGCACGCACACACAATCATCTACACACACACACACACACACACACACACACACACACACACACACACACCTAAAATCATGGGGATCCAGACTGATCTAGTTTTCTCAATGGCCCTAAAGAAAGGACAAAAGAAACTTAAGTTCTGTCCTTGTCTATGGATGAACTTGGCAAAGCCAGTCTGATGCTGGAGTCAGTGCCTTCGAAGAGCTGAGGTTGTAGTTTCTGAGGACCTGACACTTTCTTTTTCTGGGCTGTAGTTATCAGTCCTAAGGCAAATGCATTTGAGGCACCTGGTGCTCTCTTGCCAACATTATCTGTCATAGCTTTCTGCTGAGCTGGGCCATCCCCCCCCCCCCTTCAAAACAGTGTATATCATGCTGTACTGCTTAATAAACGTGCTTGGCATAGTAACCAGCTTACACAGAACCTCTTGGCCCCAGCTATTCCTGTTGTCTTCTTTTTTCTCCTCTTCTTCATTTCTCATTCCTGGTTCTCTAATTCAACATTTCACTGTTCAGGACCCTTATCCCTATTGATTCAGACTGTTAGAGAACTAAGGAGAGAGAAACTCCTTCATGTACCCTCAGGTTCTACGCTAGGGTCATCTATTTTGATTGAGCACTTACCTGCATAGTCCGACATTTCTCCTCATCTGCCCTACTGTCTTTTCACCATAGTCTACTATTTTGTTTGTCACACCATCAGGACATTTAATACAATAAGTTTTTAATAGCTACTTGTGGAGCAGACAAATGAATGAAGGTTCAGGGCTTTCCTAATGTCCCACTGTCTCAGGAAATAAGAGGTTTTAGTAGGTATCACACTTTTTTATATTTCCCCAGTACTAAGATTACAAGTACATACTACCAGCTTTTATGTGGCTGGTGAGAACTGAATTCAGGTCCTTGTGCTTGTATAACAAGCACTTTGAACTGAGCTATTTCACCAGATCTGTAGAAAGGTACCAAAAGAGAAAGGTCAGACATACAAAGCCCAAGACAGGAGTTGTACTCATTGCTGGGACACTAATAGAAACCAAAGCAATTAGGTGAAAATTATAATGAATCAAAGAGAGAATGCTTTCCTAGGCAAGGGCTGCTCATCATTAGATATTAAAATCACTTTTACTATCTGAATCTGTTCTGGGAGTATCTTTTCTGAGTCAGGGACTAAAGATGCAGATGAGAGAAACTTAGGCTGTTTTGGCTCCTTCCTTTTCTATGGATGTGGGGTAGGGGGTAGAAAAAAGGGTGACATGATACTTGGGTCCAAATTACTCACTGCTAGTTGTTGAGGTCAGGAACCAATTATTATAACCTGTATAAAGGAAAAGAACAAAAATTAATATTCAAGGGATGGGAGTGAAAAAGATTTACAGGGGCCTGGAACCGATGGGATAGCATCTAAGGCCTTTTACATGCTAGAGAATTGTTCTTCCACTTACCTAGATCCATGGATCTTCTATACTTGATCAAGACAGAGTCTCACATTATAGCCCAGAGAGAACTCAAACTCATGATCTTTCCACTTATGGTCTATTAGGTGACCGAGACACAGGTATGTATTGTTATACTCAAGTAGCTGGGATACAGGTATGTGTTGCCTGGCCTAACCTGGATTTATTTTTAAGTCATTTTGTCCAATGCTCTCAAATGTCAGATCCCAAGGACTGGAGGGAAAATCAGAGGCCAATAGTAGAGCACTCTCCTAGCAACCCCAATGCACACACGAACACAGACACTGTAGACAAACCCCAGAAAACACAATTAGACCATAAAGAAGAAATTCTGTGTCAGGTTGGCTTCAGTTCACCTCAGTACCATATATACCCCTTGCTACTTCTATATCTAGTCTCTTATATTTCCAGAAAAGCTATTACCTCACTTTCCCCTTCCCCTCTTCTTTCTCTCCTCCCTCTCATCTTCTTTCTCTCCTCCATCTCCTTTCCTCTCCTCTTCTCTCCCTGCTGCTGTCAACCCCCCCCACCCTGTGTGTGTGTTGACTCTAGAGCATGGAATGTACAGGGAGCTCCCTGCGGAAGGTTCTCTGCTGCTGCTCACCTACTCACCATTAACATAAAGGCTGTTTCTGTCCAGAGTTAAGAAGTCCAACTGTGTGATGCCATGGGTCTCACGACTCAGCTCCCAGTACAGCTGCTTGGGATCCAGCCCCACCCCCATGGGCTCAGATCGAAGGATACAGATCATGTTCACTCCAGTGGCTGATCGGTCCTTCTCAGGCCTGGGTGCAGGGAGATATAGTGAGGAGAATAAATTCAAAATGAATGATAGGATGACTTGTAAGATTATTTCTGAGGGCTGGATATGTGGCTCAATAAGTTAATAATGCCTTCTGCTCTTACAGAGGACCTGGATTTGTTTTCCAGCATATCTGTTGGGTAGCTCACAATCCCAATGCCTGCAGCTGCAGGGTATATGACATCTGAAAATTTTCTACACCCCGATAAATCTCTCTACCAACACAGAAACCCAAATTAGACAAAATCAAACCAAATTAGAAAAAGCCCACATTTAAGGGACACAATGCTCCTGGATGGCTTTCCAGCACCCTGCCTCCCAGAAGAGATAGAACAGTGAGACCGGAAACCCACATGCTTGTTTTCTGTGGGACAGTTTAAATACCCTGTGGGGTGGTCTTGAGCATCTCTGGGGGAGGGGTCATCATTTGTTGGGCTTTTTGAAATGCAGCAGCGTTTGTAGAAAGATAGCAGATGGGACTTGTTGTAGAATTTCTACCCCAACATTCTTTGGGTATATGGATGCAGGGAGCTGGGATGAAGCTTCCCACCACAACAACATCTTCTACACTCCAGGAGCCACTGCATTGATATGTGCATGCTCACACACAGACATACACTTACATATGAATAAAACTAAAATTCTTTTCTAAAAACAAAAGAATAATAATGTCAGAAAATAGCAAAGTGCTAGGCAGAAAGTTCTGTCTGTAAACTCCTTGCCTTGCAGGTATTAGCACCTGACCTCAGTCCAAGAATCCATGTTAAAAAGCTGAGGGTGGTGGTATGCAAATGTAAACCTTATGCTAGAGATGTGAAATAGATATGTCTCTAGGGCTGACTGCCCAGTCAACCTAGTCATATTGGAAAGCTCCAAGACAATGAGAAATCTCAAAAACAAAATGAAGCAAAACAAACAAAAACAACAACCAACCAAACAAGGAAAGCAAGATAGTGAGACCTGAGGGGCAATAACTGAGGTTGACCTCTGATTTCCACATGCATAAACACATAGACACATATACAACCATCCAAGCATGAACACACACGTACAAACACACCAGAGATAAAGTTAGCATTCTTACAAGGTAAAAGAAATCTAGAATATATAAATAATAATTGGACAAGGAAGGAAAACTGGTGCTAGAGCTGGCAGGATGCTTATTCATCATGTACATTCAAGTTGAGTATCTCTTATCTAAAGTCCTTAGGAATGCAATTTTTTCAGATATTACAGCTTTTCAGAGTTTGGAATACAAATAAATCTTTAAAAAGAGAGGTGAGCATGCCACAAACACTATTCAGTTTGGATTTATGCATTTTCTCGAATGTAGAGTAATTTTGAACATTGCTTAGAATTTATTCCTAGGGGTATATTCTACATCTTGATTAAGACCAGAAAGAAATTCAGAGGTTGGGAACTGGTGAGAAGATTCTTTGTACTCAGTGCTGCTTTGATGAACACATGGGGAACAGGGAGAGTCAGGGATGTGGGAAGCATAGCAAGCACACATTTTTAGACATCTTACTTGAGCAAGGTCAGTTGGCACCCAGAGTACAATGAACCAATGGTGGTATTCTTGAACACAGCAGCAAGCTGAAAGATAAGGAGAAAGAAGAGTAAGGAACTTCGGGGATGATTAAGAAGGAGAAGTGTGTGGTCATTATATAAGGGCTCTTACCAGGCGCTGCAGGACTGCCTCTGTTTTATTGAACTTCAGGGATCCTGGATGTTTCATAACTGGTGTGAATTGTAGATTTGTGATGGTGAAGTTGAGGGTAAAGGGAACCAGGGAATGAGTCATTGCTACAAAGAAGAAAATCAGAGAAGAGAATCTGTCTTCAGCTTGCATGAGATTCTTGTCACCCTTCCTACAGCCTGCACCAGTCCTCCCAAAGAGAGATTGTTATCCTCTCTATCAGAGAACTCCACTCAATAGGTCCCTAAGCCAATGCAGATAGGAATGTATACACTTCGTGTGTGTGTGTGTGTGTGTGTGTGTTAAGAGAAAGAAGAAGAGTCCTACAACCTTTACCAGCTGCTCAGTTGGTTCCTGAAACATAGCAGATATGCACCATAAGTTAATTTGCATGTGACAGCTCTTTGTTGTATCTGTGTTCATATATATGGGAATGTATGTGCATGTGTATACATATATACATATATATGTACATATATATGGCATGTGTGTGTGTGTGTGTATGTCTGGTGGGGGCAGGATATCCTTGGTTTTCATTTCTTGAACACTGTTTGTCCCCTTTTATTATTTTTTTGAAATATGTTCTCTTTAGATTAAATCTCATCAAAGCAACTGGCCTAGCTAGTCAGATAGCCTGAGGAACCTACCTATTTTATCTCTGGAGCATTGAGATTGCAAATGAACACATGAGTTCTGGCAACACAACTTGGATCCTTATATTTGTAAAGTAAGCACAAGTACTTCATCAGTTGACCTATCTTTCTAGTACCACTGACTGCAATTTTTCCCTTTACTCAACAAATATGTGTTGCCTACACAGAATACAACAGCAAATATTTGCAGTTAGTCGAATAGTAATAATGTCTGATATTTAATTATGAAAGAATTCCAACAACAACAAAAAACCCTAAAGGAGGGATGAAAATATTAGAAAATCAATCTGAAGGGGCAAAGAGTTGTCATATCAGAGAGTATTAGCAACCCATGAAGGAAACACAACTCTCACTGGCAATAATGCGTGGAGAAAGAAAGAGAAATAGTGACACCATTGCTGTCCTCTCTACCACTGTCTTACCAATGCCTCCTCTTGTTGAAACTAATAGGAAGCTATGAAGAAGGATGGGAGGAAGGAAGGAAGTAAAAGGGTGAAGGGAAGAAAGGAAGAAAGGAGGAAAATGAAATGTGGGAGGGGAAAAAGGAAGGGGGTAGGAAAAAGGAAAAGGATAGAAAAGGAAAGTGAGGGAGTGAGAGAAAGTATGGTTGGAAAGAAGGAAGGGAAGGAAGGAAATAAGAAAGGAATAGTTATTTAGAGGTATGTGTAGTAAGTAATGTGTTTTTCTTTGTTTTATCACATTTATTTTAGTTTTATATGTGTGGGTGAGTAGACCACATGCATGTAGTGCCTGTAGATGCCAGAAGTCCTGGGACTGGACTTACAGATGTTTGCAATCTGCCATGTGGGTGATGATGGGAACTGAAACTTCTCTGCAAGAGCAGTCCATGCTATTAAATGCTAAGCTGTCTTCCTGGCCCCAAATATTAATCTTGTAATAACAATGAGAAATTGTAGAAATATTTCATCTAGGAAGTTAATATACTCTGATATTATATTTTCAATTAACTTTCTTGAGCCAGAATCTTATTATGTAGTCCTTAGTGGCCTTGAACTAAGATCCTCCTGTCTCAGCCTTCCAAGGGCTGGGATTTCAGGTGTGGAGCATTGTACCCATGTTTCTGATACATATTTAAAAAACATTTCTGTGGTTGGCATGTGGTAAACGGATTACAGAGAGAGAAATAAAAGCAGAGGGACTCAGAAAAAATATTTCTAAGTAAGAGGTATCAGTTGCAGATGGAGTGAGGATGAGGAAAACAGTGGACCCAGGGTAATATGTTGTAGACCAAGAATTCTGATGGGTTAAAAAGTAGAGTGAAAGAAGGAAAAATGTCAAGACGCTCTTACATGTCTTATTTTTAGCAACCAATTCCTTTGCTTAGATTGTAATCCCACCAATTCTATGGCAATGACTTTTACTGTCTTAATCACTACTGTCCCTCAAGCTATGGCCTGGGACTCACCAAAGCCGTCAAATACTCCTCTGGACTGCAAGTGTCCATTATATCAATTTCCATCTCTTTTGTATCTAGAGCCATTCCTTTTCTCAATAATTGCTACTTATATCACCAGTGAAATGGTCCCATAATCAGTTCTACATCCTCCTAAAGGATACTGCACTGTCTAATTTCTTTCAACTTAACAAAAACTAGTGTCACTGGAAAGAGGGAAAACCTCAATTGAGAAATTACATCTGTTTTAGGGTTTCTGCTTCCATGAAGAAACACCATAACCATGAAAACTCTTATAAAGGAAACATTACAATCTTGCAGATTAAGGGGTTTAATCCATTATCACCATGGTGAGACATGGCAGCAAGTAGGCAGATGTGGTGCTAGCGCTGAGAGTCCTACATCTGATAGGCAGGTGACAGGAAGTGAACTAGGACACTGGGTGTGGCTTGATCATATATGAGACCACAAAGCCCTCCTCCACAGTGACAAATTTCCTCCAACAAGACCCTACCTACTCCAACAAAGCCACACCTCCTAATAGTGGCACTCCCTGTGAGTTTATGGGGGCCAGTCAGATTCATACTACCACAGCTTCCATCTGCTTAGCCTGTAGCCATGTCTGTGGGGAGTTTTCTTAATTAGTGATTGATGTGGGAGGGTCCAGCCTACTGTGTGTGGTGTCACCACTAGGCAGGAGGTCCTGGGTTGTATAAGAAAGCAAGCTTGTAAGTAGCCTTTTTTCTGCTTCAGTTTCTGCTTCCAGGTTCCTGTCTTGGCTTTTTCACAAATGAAGACTGTAACCTGTAAGCCAAATGAACCACTTTCTTTCACAGTTGGTTTGGGTCATAGTATTTATCTTAACAATTTAAAGCTAAACTAAGGTGGAAACTAAAGTCTTTGGATGCTAAAGCCTTATTTGTTTGTTTGTTTATTTAGGAACAGGATTTCATTGTAACCCAGACTACACTTGAACTCACTTTGTCATCGAGAATGACTGTGAACTCCTTTATTTTTCTGCCTCTACACCCAAATACTGAGGTGAGAGTTGTATGATCATGTTTTATGATAAGTTGGGGTTTGAAGTCAGAGCTTTGTGCATGCAAGGTAAGGACTCTAGCAAATGAGTCCCAGGGGTAGCCCTCAAGTCTCCTATATAAAATATTATAGTATTGTTAGTCTGTTGCTTCTAATTTCCACACTTGATGACTAGCCATTGTGCATATTGAAAACATGTTTGAAAAACTGAATTTGTATCAAACATGTACTGTTTACTATTTCATCATTATTCCCTGAACCATATTACAGTTTCATAGTATTAGGTATTAGGCATTATCTAGAGAACCTGTTAAGTATAATGAATGATGTGCATAGGTTATATTCAAATCTTTGCCATTTTACATAAGAAGCACAAACAATTTTAGATTTTTGGTTTATGTAAAGGGTTCTCAAATAATAAACCACAGATCAATAGACAATTTACCTTACCCTGCTTAGAGGTAACCATGTCTTAGTTCTTGGATGAACTCAACTTTTAAGCCAGTTAAATCTAGAGACTTCACTATTAATTTCAATGCCACTGAGCTTCTCCTTTAGATATGTGGAGGATAGGTTCTTATAGGCTCCAAAGACAAGGTTGTGACATTTTGATCAGAAGGTAACTGTAGTATGGAACTACTATGTAACTGAGTAGAAATAAACAGTATATGTTGTCTTTTGGCTGTTAGCCAAGAAAGCAGGGAACTGGCTGAAATCCCATCTCATGACCCAGGAGCTTATGCTGAACCTTGAATATCACAGATGTCTCATAAGAAAACTACAAAAGTTTTCACATGTCCGAGACTCCTAGGTCGTCTTGCAACCAAATTAGATTAGAAGTAACTTACTAAAATACTTGAGTGGTGAGGATAGTAGAGCTACTTTAAACACAGAATGATTGGATACTACTATCAGTAATTTCTACCAGGAAGAAATGGATATTACAGGTAGAAGCAGCTGATGATAGCTACTTCAAAAGAGGGCTTCATACAGGAGGAAACAGAAGCTACTATCAACTGGTGATGTTTATTATGAATGAAGCTTTACTTCAGATGGGAATGAATGCTGTTATCAACTGGTACCATGGAAGAATGGTTGGTATAGGTGCTACATAGTTGTATATATGAAATCTGAGACTCACTAAGGATTTGAACTAGTAAAAGAAAAGGATGTATCCATGTTTTTCCAGAAACATACTTCATATTCCTTCATGGAGTAATGAGTACATTTCTTACAGCTTACCATGTATAAGGCACTGTGTTGCCAAAAGCAAAACATGTGTGCTTAATATCAGAGTTAACTGTCTACGGACATACCACCTGAATGCGCCTGATCTCAGAAGCTAAGCAGGGTCAGGCCTGGTTGGTACTTAAATGGGAGACAATATCAGAGTTAATTGAAGTAAATGTATTATTCAAAAGCAGAGAAAATATGAAAATTTATGATAGATTTATTTCTTTTTTGTTTGTTTGTTATTTTTTTTTCGAGACAGGGTTCCTCTGTATTGTCTTGGAGGCTGTCCTGGAACTCGCTTTGTAGACCAGGCTGGCCTCGAACTCACAGAGATCCACCTGCCTCTGCCTCCTAAGTGCTGGGATTAAAGGTGTGCGCCACCAATGCCCGGCTGATAGATTTATTTTTTAAAATCAACCCAGAATTTAAAAGTGAATACTGCTTCATCTGCCTAAATGAAGCTAAGTTGCACATAACAGAGATACCTACATGTTTATGTTTATTCCAGAACTATTTATAAAAATCCAAGAAAAAGTAGCCCCCGTACCTTTCAACCAATGAATGGAAAAATAAAATTGAATGTTATCCTACTACAAAGAAGAGTGAAATTATGAAATTTTTAAAAAATGGGTTCAACTGTAAAGCATCATGTTAAGTGAAATAAGTCATTCAAAAGGCAAATATCACATGTTTCATCTTTAGGCACAATCAAGATTTAAAAGTAAAATTTAAAATTTGTAAAATTAGAAAGACTATTTGGCAAGAGGAAGGAGATGCTGGAGAGAATAGCAGAGGACAAGAGAGACAATGAAAGGTGAGTATGAGAAAAATATATGATATGTATGTTTTAAAATGGCATAATGAAACCAGCAATTTTATATAACTAATGTATGTTGACATGAGAAAACGCATGATAACAGTATTTCTATACCTCCCTTGCCTGTAAAGCTTGTTTTGAAAGGATATAAAATACAACTAGTTGGTTCATAGTAGAAAAATAACCAGAGTGACCCAGAGTGACCTCGAGTGATCTAAAGGTATAACATCATTTGGCAAGCTAAGCAATAGTGGAGGGACCACCTCGAATGCCCATTCCTGATAATGAACTTGATGTCTATAACCATCCGGGAGCCTTCATCCTGTGACTGATGGAAGCAGAGGCAAACACACAACTAATCACTGAACTGAACCCAAGGAACCCAGTGACAGAGAGGAGTGATGAGCAAATTGGCAAAGAATGGGCTGGCAAAACCAGCAGAGACAGCTGATCTGAACAGGGGAGAGCTCTTGGACCCCAGACCGACAGTGGGGAGGCCAGCATGGGACTGATCTGGACCCCCCAAATGTGAGTGTCAGTGAGAAGGCCTGGGCAACCTATGGGGCCCTGAGCTGTGGATCAGTGTCTATCCCTGGTATACAAACTGTCTTCATGTGCCTATAGCACAAAGAGAGATGCTCTCTCAGCCTGGACTCTTAGGGGAGTGCCTTGACCCTACCAAGAGTAAAATGACAGACTCTAGATATCCCCTATGTGGAAGGATTTGGCAATAGGGTGGGAGGGAGGGGGGGAAGGGGAGTGCGGGACGAGGGGAGGGAGAGGGAACTGGGATTGACATGTAAAACAAGCTATTTAAAATTAAAATAAAAATGATATAAAAAAAAGAAAAATAAATAGCATTCAGTATTTAGGTCAGATATTATCTTTGATTTTGGTTGTCACCCTTATCCTCATCATCATCTTCATCATCATTTTTTTGCCATCACAGTTATTATAGTCATCACATCCATCATTATCACCACACATCTCCATAATCAACATTGTCATCATTGCTAGCAACATCATAACCAACAACATTATTATAATCAATAATATAAACACCATATCCAATGCTATCATCAAAACTACCACCACCATTACCCTTAGCACTATCAGCACTAACACCATAATCAATATAATACAGTCATACTCCTCATCATTATCACCATCATTTTCATCACTACCACCACCACCAAAAATGGCCATCTTAATATAACCAATCATTACTATCTTCATTAATATTATCATTAACACTGACACTACTAGCACCATAATTTCTGTCTTTATATCTACAATTGTTAGTATCACTATCACTACCACTATTAACACAATCACTGCCAACACCGTCATCTTCATCACCACCACCATCAACATCATCAACATTAATAAGATCATCACTATCATCATTAACACAACCACCAACAACAACATCACCACTATTGTCCAATGCTATCTTCACTATTATTAACCGTATCATCAGCATCACCAATATCACCATTGCAGTTATCATCAGCATCATCAAAAATATCAGCATTATCAACACTAGCTTAATGATAATCATCATATCATCACTGTCAGAATTATTTACACTTTTGCCACTACCACCATCACTAAAACCATAATCATTAATATCATCAACATGAGTACTTCCATCGACACTATGGATAACACCATCACCATTGACACTATGAACACAAACATCAACATCATCAGAATAGCCATAGAAATATAAGTTCTGAGGGCAAAGACTTTGTGTGTGTTTTCTGGTATGTCTTCCAATGTCTGGCATAGACTAGGTGCTCATTGGAAATTGTTGTTTGATGAAATTACTAGATTTAGTGTGACATCCCATTTTTCTGTACACAGTATTAGAGGCATTGACACTTTTTGTGCTCCTTCTAACATAGGTGCCACAAACTGGTACTAACCTGTGGTTCTGGGTAAGGAGTGAGTCCCAAAGATTCCCAGGGTTTCTGTGGTAGTCTCAGGAGCTAATAAAAGGAAACCATTATTAGTGAAAAAGCAAGGCACTCTCCTAGCATAAATAACAGAAAAGAGACATGATTCATGTAACTTTTTGCACACAAATCTTGAATTGGGACTGTCCCGGAAGTATGAACAGAGAAGTTGGTAAGTAACTGTCGTCCCAGATCCCTTGTTCTAGCCAAAGAACATGAAAGGCATCAGGAGAGGATAGCTCCTTCTTTGCTTGGCATTAGATGGGGAGTCACCAAAACATCCATTGAATACTCACCGCTGGTGATAAGTGCAGAACTCTGATGGGTGAAACCTGCCATAACAACAGAGGACAAGAGAGTATCATGTTTGAGAGAGAGAAATGTTGTAGCTTGAGTGCAAAATGACATTCACAGGCCCTAGTGTTTAAACAATTGTTCCCAAGTTGTTGGCACTGTTTTGGGAGGCTGTGAAATCTCCGGGACAAGCACCAAGCTTGTGCTCATAAGTATAAGACTTTTATAGACATACTGTCCTGTGTTCTGGTTTAGAATCTGTGCTTTCTCATGTGTAACAAACAGCACCATGAGCTGGCACTGTTATGGGAGGAACTGTTTCAAACACCTTCCCTCCATGACGGATTGTCCCTTACAAAGCTGTGAGTCCAAATAAATCTGTATCTACTTAAGTTGCTTCTGTCAGGTATCTGTAATGAGAAAAGTAATTGATACAAGAAGTGCCAGAGAGACTTAAGGATATATAATAGATTGGGGTTCACGAAGTAAGGACTATCAGAGAATCTCTTATCAGATAAAGGTTAGGTCAGTTTAAACTGGGAACCAAATGAAATCTCAAGTTGAGTCAGCACCCATTGAGGACAAGGCTAATAGCTGAGAACCAGGCAGGGAGGGTAAAGAAAGCCTGAGGATAAGTGCTGCCAATCTATGAAGAAACTTCAGCCACATCCAGATACTTACCATCGACATAGAGGCTGTCCCTGTCCAGGGTGTAGGGACCCAGTCTGTTGACACCATGAGTCAACTTATTCATCTCCCAGTATAGCTGCTCCCTATCCAGTCTATGGCCTTTGGGGTCAGGGTGATACATGCAGATGGCATCCACTCTGGTGGCTGTCCCGTCCTTCTTAGACCTGGGTAAGTATAGGTAAGTATAGAACATAGTTGGGGTAGCTCTGCCTCCCACTATTTGTTCTTTCCTCTTTCTTTCTGCCAGACCCTAACTCAAAAGATGAGGAAATTCTAACAAGGAGGTATCCTTGAGAGAAACAAACACCATAACCAATAGTTAGGATCACAAGGACAGCCATCTTTGTATGTTGTGAAAGAAGCCTCTTCAAATTGTGATAGACAGACAGAGGGTTGTATTGAAGATATCATCAGGATATCTGAGTGTTGTCACTGATTCTGACTGACACAAGGTTCTATAAGCCAAGCTTTAATGGGCAGAGGTGGCCTCTGAAGAGATGGTCATGACACTGTACTTCAGAGAGTTGACATTCAGAAGGCTAATGTTAGTTACCTCAGGTCCTATGGGACACGGGGTCCGCGGATTTCTAGGAAGAATCATAGCTCTTATATTGTTGGAGAGAGTTGTCTATTTTGGGGGTCTGTTTGAAACAATTGTTGATTCAGTCTACCATTACAAGGCCTCAATGCCTTACCACCGTGTGTGTGTGTGTGTGTGTGTGTGTGTGTGTGTATCTGTGTGTCTACATGTGTGCATGCATGCATGTATGCATGCTATTAGAGAAGGAATCCAACTTCACACTGGCAGATTCCAAGCATACTGTATGCTTCATGTATATTCCAGCCCCTCACTGATGAAATCTAGGCTGGCATTTCTGTTGCTGAGCAACATCTTCAGCCTTCCTTTTTTTTTAATTTTTAACTTTAAATTTTATATTTCATTTTCAAAACAAGGTTTCAGTAAGTTTTCCAGGCTGGGCCTAAACTTGCTGTCTCAGAAACTGTTTCCTGTGCTGCTTCAGAGGCTCCTACTGCTGTAACCTCTTAATAGAAGGGATGACAGACCTACCCCTTCAGCATTAGCTGCAGAGTACTGATCCAGCTAACCAGCCAGTGAATGAAGTGTTCTCATGCCCCACAGATGTAAATTCAATTGTTTCAGGTATAATAATAACCATTTACTCAACATTCCCCAGGCAGGGGCTCTGTCCTTTGTATTCATAACTGTGATGCAGGAGCAATAGAATTGATGCTATAAAATATTTGCTAAAAAACATGATCAAAAATGTTGTTGCATAATGTAGAATAATGAAAGCTGCTTTTATATGACTGAATGATAGTGTACTAATCTAAATTTCTAGAAAATCTGGGAAAGAAATTTTGTACAACAATTGAAATTTCATGTTGCTGAGAAAATTCTTCTGCTAATGCTTGCTTACCAAGATTGAGCTCTAACTAGGTTCCATCCCCATGACAAAAGGAGACAACCCTGACTTACAACCAGCCATTATGCCTTTCCCCATGTCAAAGAATATATCTGCAACAGAACCCCAAAGGAGCAGCTCAGGCTCATCACTACCATTAAGTTCTGATCAACCCCTCACTCCCTTGTGCTCTTATGGGGAAAAGTATAATTCTACTAAGTAGGCAAGATGATCCTGGGTAACAAGCATTTGAAAAGAACAACACAGGTATACTTTAAAACTAATTCTCACAATGACTTTGTTGTGTAAATCTCCCATTTGCATAAGCAGCCAGGCTTGCAGTCTCCTGTTTTTGTTTAAATTCCTCAAAGTGTAACCTGAGACCAGAACCTAAATGAGATTTAAGGATGGCATCATATGTAGAATATACAAGCCTAAGGTCTATGTAAGGGTTAAATTTCTGTTTGACACTGGTTCCCTTTTGTGCATTAGATGGAACTAGTCATGTGTTATTTATTAATAAAGAGCATTTTCCTTTATTAATCTCTAACTACTCAGAGTGTTTTTTTTTACTAGGCAGGCATACTAATTCTGTAACAAATCATTCATCCTCAGAACAATCCTAATGCGTTGACATTGCTCAGTTCCCATGGTGACTAGCAGTGTGATATAAGTAACACAGCACAATTATATAAGTTTTAAAAAATCAAATACAGATATATAAAAATAAATTCAGTATGTTAATAACTAAATATGTGTTATTGTAATATAAAATATATTATATGCTGTTATTATGCCTATTAATGATGATGGAAATGGAACCTATGGCTTGCAACAATGTACTCAAGCATTCTAATACTGGGCCATAGCCCAGGCCAATATATAATTACTTTTTGAGTTCTAGGGAATGTACCTAGGGCCTTGTGCATGCTATGCAAACACTACCACTGAACTAAAACTTCAACCCTTATGTAAATATTTAATGTATTTTATAGCTCATTTACAATATTATTTACCCCAAATAGTATGTAATATATTTTATACTAGATATATGTGGCAATTACAAAAGAATACACACACATATACTTATATCCCCATATGTACACTATATGTGTGTGTTTGAATATGGTATGAGGTTATTCTGTGAGATCTGGCATAAAGCATTTATTTATCTGCACCTCAGTTTCCCTTTCTGTTCCTGCTTCATGAATTTTTTGCTCAAACTAAAGAACAATTACATATAAAACACTATGAACTATTAATTATAAAATATAAAATTATAAAGTACTTCAGGAACCTAGTAACATTTAGCTGTTGGTATTGTTGATGTTTCACAGTCAGACTGTGGTGGTTGTAAATAGAAACAGTCGGACAATTGGAAGCCCAATGCCCAGTTCCATCCACCTATTTGACTGAGTTTATATTGGGGATGGACTCACCTGAGTGACATCAGTGTGCAGCCTGAAAAGAGAGATCCTAGACTGCTGGTCTTGAACAGGGGTTTGAGCTATGAGAAAGAAAAAAGGGGGAAACAAGAAAGAACCACTGAAAAAGACAAACATGCTATGTACTCTCTCATATATGGATTTTAGACATAGATCTGGGAGTGCCAGCCTACAATCCCACGGCCAGAGAGTCTGGGAAACAGACTTCATTCAATGGCTGATGGAAGCAGAGGCAGACTTCCACATCTAAACACTGAGCTGAACTCAAGGAACCCAGCGACAGAGAGGGAGGACTGATGAGCAAAAGGGTTAAGACTGGGCTTGTTTAACCCCCAGAAACAGCTGACCTGACAAGGGTTAGCTCTTGAATCCCAGACTGATACCTGGGAATCCAGCATGGGACTGACCAAGACCCCTGAATGTGCCTGTCAGTGAGGAGGCCTAAGCAATCTATTGGGCCTTGGGTAGTAGATCAGTATTTATCCCTGGCATACAAATGGACTTTGGGCTCCCATCCAACAATGAGAGATGCACTCTCACCCTGGACTCGTGGGGGAGGGTCTAGGCCCTGCCCTGGATGAAATGACAGACTATGGACATGCTCATGAAGGGCCTCACCCTCCCTAGGGAAATGAGTAGGTATTGGGGGAGTTGGTGGGAGAGTGTGGGAGGAGGGGAGGGAAAGGGAGAGGGACCTGGGATTGACATGTGGAGCAACCTTGTTTCTAATTTAAATTTAAATTTAAAATAAAAAAAATAAAAAGAAAGAACCACTGAACAAAGCCAGCAGGAGCTGTGACCCAGGTAACAGGAGCAAGGTCAGAGAAAGGTAGGGTTTAGACACAATGGACATGTCTCTCACCAGGTGCTGGAGGACTCTGTCCAGAGTGTTGAAATTCCTGGAGCCAGGGTACAGCATGTCTTCCTTGAACTCCAGATTAGTGATGGTGAAGTTGAGGGTGAACCATGTCAAGACAGGCGTGGCCACTGCAATCAAGGGTAGTAAAGGAGGTCATGACTACAACACATTTGGTCTTAACTCTAAGACAACTTCTGAGGACTGAGACAGGCAGTTGGAAACAAGAAGTCAAATCATCCTACCCAGGACAGGTACACCAAAGGCTTCATAAGAAACAAAGCACACATTTAAAAAGTTCATCTATGGGGCCTCAGGGAGTAGATCAGTATTTATCCCTGGCATATGAAGGAGAGATACTCTCTCAGCCTGGACACATTGGGGAGGGCCTAGCCCCTCCCTAAAATGATATGATAGATCCCCTTGGAGGACCTCACCTTCCCTGGGGAGGGGAGGGGGTATGGGATGGGGAGTCGGAGGTTTTCTGAGGGTTGGGGGAGTAGGGGCAGGAGAAGGGGCTGGGATTGACATATGAAGCAAGCTTACTCCTAATTTAAATAAACAAATAAAAAAAATTTTTTAAGTTCATGTATTGGCAACGATGTTACTTTTTCACTTCCACATAGGTAGAGAATCAGATGCACAGTTCTCAGGAGTGCCAAGTGACTCAAAGGAAAGCTTTGAGTTGGTGAAAGCACAATGCTAAGATGAAGTTATAACTCTGTATGTGTGAAGAGTGTTACTGAACTGTGTCAGAAGAATGTCATAGACACAGGAAGAAGTACTTGTGTAGGTGTGCCAACCAGGTCAACTGGCTAGGAATAGTGATGTGACCCTTACAAGTTCCCAAGAAAGGTTAAAAAAATCAGAGAAATTGCATGGTTTGGAGGAAAGGAACAAAAAAAAACGTCAGTTAAAGCTAGATTTGGGGCTGTGAGTAAGCCAGAAAGCAAGCTAGCAAGCACAATTCTTCCATGATTCCTGGCCTCCAAGTTCTCGCCTATACTTATTTTCCTCAGTGATGGACTGTAGCCTGGGAGCATGAGCCAAACTGAGAAGCAAAAGTACTTCCTGAAGTTACTTTAGTTCAGAGTGTTTTATCATAGTAAAGGAAAAGGAATCTAGAACAACTGGTAAGATCTGATTGATGTTTGTAGACTTTGATAATGCAGCTTCCTTTAATTTATGTAAGGTCTAGTTATTGGGGGAAAATAGGTGAATTATATAAAGAAGTTTGTACTAATTACCAACAGCTCTGAAATCTACTATTATTTATTCAAAACACAAAATTATAGAATATAAAACCACACAGCATGTGAAGGGTGAAATTTCATAAAAATCTATGTTACAAAAACATAGATAGGGCCGGGCGTTGGTGGCGCACACCTTTAATCCCAGCACTCAGGAGGCAGAGGCAGGCGGATCTCCGTGAGTTCGAGGCCAGCCTGGTCTACAAAGTGAGTTCCAGGACAGCCTCCAAAGCTACAGAGAAACCCTGTCTCGAAAAACCAAAAAAAAAAAAAAAAAAAAAGATAGATTCTCAGGTACCCCAGGCTGGTCTCAAACTCTCCATATAGCCAAGGATAATCACTTGAATTGTAGAATAACAGGTGTGCAAATCAACACCTAACTTTATGGGGTGCTGTGGATTTACCATAGTGCCTTATACATGGTGGGTAAGAGTCTACTAACTGAAGAACATCCCTAGTACTTCTCCTAGTGGTTTTATTATTAATTATAATTGCATGTCTTACTTTAAGTTACCTAATGCACAGAACTTTGGCGAACTACAAGTGACATATGCAACATCTTATCCTCTATATCTAATACAAAACTTGCTAAGCAAGTATTTCTTGATTAAACCCAGAACATAGAGTTGCAAAAATGACTCAGCAATTAAGATCACTTCCTGCTAAACCCAGGTTTAGTTCACAGCACCTACATCTTGTGGCTCACAAATGTTTACAACTCCAACCACAGGGGATCAGAAACTCTCTTCTGACCTCTGTAGTCACTTGTACATGTATAGCATAAACTCACATGTTCACAAAAAATAAAATTAAAATAATGCCAAACCCTGGGCTTGGGCATGTAACTCAAACATTCTGCTACCCTGCTACAAATGGTAGGATTAAACACTTTTAAGTGTGAAGTTGTAAATAAATGCATCATTTGGTAGTTGAAGAAACTGATGCAATGGTAGGGTAAACAAGTTGTCCAAGATTGCTATGGATGAAAATTTGAGGGTAGCATGTCTACTGCGCTTAAAAAATGCACACAACAGGAATCACCCATGGGCATCATAGGTTCCCTCAATCATCTCCGAAGTCCAATCTACAAAGCCGGGAGAGTTGGCTTCCTAGAAGGAGTGGTAGAGAGAAGTCACCTACCTGTTGAAAGGTTAGGTTGTGTGGTGGAGGTCACTGTGAAGAACAGAGAAGGCGTCACCGGAGCTGAGGAGAGATGGATTAGAGTAAAAAATGGTATTTGAGGTAGTGCACAAATGTCACAAAAGAGCATCTCTGCTCTCCAAATTAGGTCAAATAAAAATTGTGGTGGGTGTGTCAGTCCAGATTTTAATTTACTTTTTCTTCTCTATGATCTTGGATTCGGTAAGATATGGATCAGCTATTTCTCTCAGAGGTTGTGATGAACACAATCTTCAGATTTTAAATACTCACTGTTCGGTGTGGTAGCAGAGGTTTGATGGGTAAAATCTGCGATGAGAAAAGGGGAGAATCAGAATGCAAGGACAGAAATTTTTATGATATAGCTGAGGCCCATCAGCCCCATCTCTAGCTGAGACTTCAAGTCTCTACAGTGGAGCACTAGGAATCCAATTATTGGCTGGGTGGTGGTGGCACACGCCTTAATACCAGCATTCTACAGGCTGAGACCCAGAGGGTCTCTGTGAGTTCTAGGCCAAGTTGGTCTATAAAATGAGTTCCTTAACAGCCACAGAAATAAGAAACCCTGTTTCAAAAAACCGATTTTTTAAAAGAAAGCAACAAAAATAATCCAGGTGTTATCAAGAGAACCATCTCTTTTCTCATGGATTCACAATTTAAACACATCCCACGTTCTACAACATGTATTTATAAACTGTCATTTTTCAAAGTCCATGGGCAGGAAGATAAAAGACTCAACTTTTTGTTTTAATTTTGTTTGAGACTGACTCTTTGTTTTTTTTTTTAATTATGAAGCTGTTGGCCTTTTTTTTTTTTTTTTTTTTTTTTGTTTCTTACTGGCTAGCTCTGACTTAAGTATTTATCCCGTAATTGTTAATCTAAGTATTTCTCTTACCGGAGAAAAGTTTCCAGGCTTCTTATCCCTATGGTGGTTACATCTTGACTCCCTGTGTTTCTCCTACCCAGAATCCTCCTGGACTCCTAGTCCCACCTATCTTGCTTCCCTATTGACCAACAGTAGCTTTATTGACATATACACAGGACTTCCACATCATCTCCTCTTTTCTGTCTAAACAAAAAGAAAGGTCTTAACTTTAACATAGTCAAATTATATACAACAGGACAGCTATCAAGCAAGAACACAGTTACAATACTTTGTCTATCAACATTCAGTATGACTTAAAGAAAATATTATCCATCCTATCCTTGTGAGTCCAAAGTTCTATATGTAGCTTATCTTTTATCATTACTACGGAAAACTATAATTATAACTCTTTGTTTTATTTGAAGTGGAGACATAGTAATCTGTAGCCCGGGCAGGCCTTGAATTCTCTATGTAACCCAGGCTGAGTATGAACTTGCAGAAAACCTCCCACCTCACGTTTTAAGTGCTTTGATAACAGAGGGACCACCTCATCTGGTAAACACTTTTTATTTCTGCTTCTTCTCCTTCATTTTCTTCCCCTAATCCTCCCTTTTTCCCCTTCTTCCTTATAGTACTAGAGATCAAACTGTAATGCCTGAACATACCAGGCACACCCAAGGATTACAGGGATCAGTCACCACTCCAAGCTCAGTGTGGGATTTCAAATGAAAGTTTTGATGGAAGTAAAGTTCAGAAAATATGTCTTGAAGCATAGCAAGCCTAATAGAGACATTATAAGTCCTCATAGATATGACATAGACAGGTATGAGAGTATATGCCTCTAACCCCAGCACACACGAGAGGCTGAAGCAGGAGAATCATCAGTTTTTAGGACAGACTGGGTTACATTTTAGTTCTAGGACAGTCTTAGTCACCTAAGAAGACTTACCTTAAAGTAAAACAAAACAAAAACAACCCTAGATTTAAACCACTACTGAACCACCACTGGCTTCAACCAGAGATGGTCGTTGATGAGGATAGAGGAAAGCTTTTGTAGGTTAGACATATATCCAAATAATGTCTTTGTAATTCAGTAATATGGAGAAAAGAGAATGACTTGACGACTAAAAGCTGATATGTTAGCAGCAGGTGGTTGCTCAGGTTGAAGATGATATATAGCAAGGGTCTGGTGATGAATCACAGAGCCCACTTATCCTAGGGTAACATTATCATCTTCAGCTTACAGTTCCTAAGATGATGCTCACCATTGATGTACAAACTGTCATTTTCTAAAGTGAAGGATCCTAGCTTGGTGACACCATTGGTATTATGGCTCAATTCCCAGTACAGCTTCACTCTGTCCAGCTTACGGCCCATGGGATCAGAATGGTGAGTGCACACAGCATCCACTCCAGTGGCTGTTCCTTCTTTCTCGGGCCTGGGCAAGGAAAAGCAACAGAGATGGGGAGGAGGAAACTCCAGGTTGGGTCCCAGAAAAGTTTCATTGAAGAAGAGAAGTGAGGCTACTGATGAACTTGGCACCAGAAGAAGATACTTAACAACAAAGCCAATGTCCTTGCAATCAAGAGAGCATCCAAACATGCCAGTGTTTGTGCTATCCTTTAACATTACATCTGTAACAGGACCACACATGTCCTACTAACAGAAATGTGACAATGGGATTGGGAAAATAAGAATGCAAATAAGGTAAAAAGAAAACATTTTCAACTGGTATAACTCTTATTTAACCATTGCATGATGCCAGGTACGTTTCACCACATCTCTATGGCTTATTTTTGTATGTGATATAAATCAACAGTTTCAGACCTGTGATGGTTAAGTTTAAATGTCAACCTGCTATAAGCTGAAATTGCCTGGGAAAAGTCTTAATGATGAATTAAGTAGATCAGGTCAGTTTGTCACCAAGCCTGTGAGAAATGGTCCTGCTTGTTAATTGATGTAGGAAGACCCAGACCACCATGGGTAGCATCAGTCTTGAGCCTGTAGGAGTGAAGTTTAGCAAGTGGCCAGCAGCCAGATGTGGGTATGATGTGCCCAGTTGTCTCAAGCCCTTGCCACTTTAACTCTCCACCTGATGGACTATAGTCTAGAACTGTAAGCCAAATAAACATTTCCTTACGTATATTGGTTGGTTGGTTTTTTTGGTCAGAGTATTTTACTACAGCAACATAAATGAGTTTTTTGTTGTTTTAAGTAATATAAATTTCAATTAATTCATAAAAGGAATCTCATCCAACATTTGATTGGTTATACAGACTAGTGATTAGTAATCTTTTTTTATTTAATTAAAAATCTTTTTAAATTTTATATTCCATCCACTGTTTCCCTCCTTCTCCCCCCTTCCTACCTCCCCATATCATAATCTTCATCCATTCCTCAGAGTGGATAAGGCCTCCCTAGGGGAGTCTATAAGTGAAATTATTACAAAGCCTAGCAAGAAGTGCTCAATAAAATGACAGGTCTTTGTCTCCTGAAAGGAAATGGAGTCTACATTTTCCTCCGAAAGCAAAAGGACTAGAGAGAAGTTGGAAGTCACCTGCTCCTAGAACACTAGGAACAGGGAGTCAGGAGTTAGCACATGGTGATCTTCTAAATACCCTGCATATATACTCTGAAGTTCTTACCTCAGAGAGACTAGTCTGCAACCAGAATAAAGACTCCCAATACTGGTATTCTTGAACATGGGTTTGAGCTGTGGACAAAAGAGAAGGTGATCTAAGGGGCTGAAAGTTACAAAACTGAGATGAGACTGGGTGAGTGTGAGATAGTTCTGACCAATAGATTCAAGATCCTCTCCATGCTGTTGAATATTTCAGATCCTTGGGATCCCATGCCCTCTGTATGGCGCAAGTTGGTTATAGTGAAGTTGAGGGTGAAGAGTTGAAAAGACGGGCTTGTACCTGTAGCAGAAAAGAGAAAGTGGGGAGTTTAATATGCACTGTAGCCCACGGTGGCTATAGTCAAAGGGATGATTGCATTAGCTGCTGTGGATCCAGTCTTTAGAATCTTCTCATCTTACAAACCTAGAACTCTAAATAATTAAGCAGTTCTCATTTTTCTTTCCCTAACCTGTACCAACTACTATTGGCACTTTCTGTTTATATGAAATTTACTATTCCATATCTCTCAAGAGAAAAATCATGTTGCATTTCTCTTTTTGTGAGGATATTCTCAATATTATCTATGACAAATGTGAGAATTTCCCTCTTTGTAGGACTAACAATATCTGACTGCATGGATATATTGTTTAATTTGTTTTGAGACAGGGTTTCTCTTTGTAGCTTTGGAGTCTGTTGTGGTACTCGCTCTGTAGACCAGGCTGGCCTTGAACTCTCAGAGATCCTCCTGCCTCTGGCTTCTGAGTGCTATAATTAAAGATGTGTACCACCACCTGGCTTGTATTAATTTTTAATCCATTAACCTTCTCATATACACCTGGGTTATTTATATATTTTCACTGGATAATACATCTGATAAGATCGGTGTGAGTTATTTATTCATTTATTTACTTACTGGTGTGTAAGTATGAGTGTGATGTATTTGTAAGGTGTGTGTGCAAGTGCACATATATAGGCATGGATGGAGGCCAGAAAAGCCCTGGGGTGTTCTGCTATGTCTCTTTCTGATTTCCTAGATATAGAGTCTTACTGATTCTGGAAGTAGGCTTGCACCAGCAAGTCTCAGTATTTTCCCCTTTCTGCGTCCCATGGTGCTGACATTTTACAGTAAGTGGTTTTACCCACTGGTCCATTTCCCTAGATAAAAATAATTGTTTTTGAAGCTAAAGTGATATAGTCACTATACCATATTTTTTTATCCCCTGTAGCATAAGGTTGGACCACTAGCTTCAGTTTGACAGAATTTAGGATATAAATCCAGCCCTCTGTAACAGATGCATTAGTAGACTCTATGCCTATGTCTAGGAAAAATAAAGAGATGGGACAATAATCACAATCATGACTAAGATCTAGAATAATTTCCTAATATTCAAATGGAATTCACACATGAACATATACAGACTTCTCACTATGAATTGAAGAATTCAACCTTTAATAGAAAGTGAGTATGAAGTAGTTGATAAATACATGGGGAGTGAATAAATTAAGTTGAAGTAAATTCCAAAGAAGAAACAGTCAAAGACTTAGTCATCATGATGACAGAAAAAAGCCATGGGCCAGGTGTGAAGTAAAGAAAGGGCTATTAATAGAAGGTAGTCAGGAAACGTCTTTCAGAACCTTGAGGTGAGATTTGGAAACTGAGAAATCAGAGATAGCTGGCCTTCATAAAGAGCTAGTGTGTGCTATGGTTGGACTAAAGTTAGGGTGATGAAATGTCAAACTAGTGTCTCGGGTGGCTCAAGAACAGAGAGTGCAGAAGTTGCTTAGTGGAGAGTAGATACCCTACAAAGCAATGTGGAAAAGTTACAGACTCTGGAGGTATTGTTATTAGCTGTAGAGCTTGGCACAGGGGATGTGGAAAGGAACGGTTGATGGAGCTGTTCTGGAGAACTAATGGGAATGGATATTGTAAATTTCTGCTTTATGGAGTTAATCCTAGGAAAGGGGGTCCTGGATATATTGAGTACTCACTGTTTGTGGTAGGGGTCAAGTACTGATGGTTATAACCTGCAGATAGGAAAGAAGAGTAAAAATAAGGGGCTATTATGCGAGCACATTATGAAACATTCTGAGATTTATATATAAAGTAATGGCTACATCTTACTTGACCATTATTATATACCTTGTCTCGTGATAATATGCATGATAAACATAATTTCCATTAATTTTATCAAAACAATATATAATAATAAGTTTGGCTAGAAACTTCATTCATAAAAGTAATTTCCACTAACTCTGAGAATCTTAATTCATTACTCTGGGCCTACAGGGTAGAAGAAGAGAACCCATTCCCATAGCATTCCTCTAACTTCAACATGTACATCAGGACATGCATGTACACACACACACACACACACACACACACACAGAGAGAGAGAGAGAGAGAGAGAGAGAGAGAGAGAGAGAGAAAGAGAGAGAGACAGAGACAGAGAGACACACAAATACATAATTAAATGAGTGTAATTTTATTTAAAAATTCAGGACATGGCACAATATTGCAAATATAAACTTAGAGCTGTGTGGCTGTCTGCATTGAGTCTTTCAACACCAAACATGAATCAAGAAAAGGTTCATGGAGCCCTTCCCCTCCTTGATGAACTTTTTGCAGCCGATAAGTTCTGGGAGAGGTATCGATAATCATTGCTTTTGTTCGTGTACTACAGGGTAAACCCACCTGTCTCCAAAGCATAGTCCCAAACTTGGGGCTACATATGTGGTCCTGGTTAAGATCAGTGGATCACAAAGCAAACCAAACAAGACATGAATGTGGGGAAGGGGCCTGTAAAGAAGAGGAAGAAAAAGAGTGGGAGGGAGATAAGAGAGAGCAGAGGGCTAGACGAAACAAAATACAGCATACATATGCATGAAATTGTCCATGAAGAAATTTAATAAATAAAATAAAAATAAACAATATATACAATAATAACAGATACCTATGTTTTGATGGGGCTATCCTATGTCGCAGCAATAATGTTTCACACATTGCAAAGGTAAAAACATATTTATGGATGATTGTGTGCTCTAAGTATATTTATAGTTTCTCTATTTGGGACAATAATTTAAATCTATCTTTGCTCACTTAGTTTCTTTTTGCTTAAGAAAATTTTATGATGCTACATTAGTGTATATTTATTATTTATAACATAGAATTGATAAAATTTTGACATGTTGTGGGAGAGTTATATGGGGACAAAAATAGAGAAATGGAGACTTGTGAAGGTGGCTTAGTAGTAAAACTGTTTGATGTTAAGTCCTAGACAGCTTCAACTGTCAACTTCATATAATGTAGAATTATCTGGGAAGTGAATAGAAACCAAGGAATTACCTAGGTCAGATTGATCTGTGTGTATGCCTACTGGGGATTATCTTCATTAACTGATGCAAGAAGATGCCTTCCACTGTGGGCAGCCCCTCTCCTGGGCAAGTGGGCTGTGTAAGAAACCTTATTAAGCATAAACCTGCCTGCCAGCCAGCAAGAAGCATCCTCCATGTTTTCTACCTCACTTTATTGGCTATAAAGCAGGTTAGAAATAGGATACCTACAGGAATATCCCAAACAGGGTTATCCCTTGATATATAGATAAACCTAGATCCTTGCACAAACTATGCAAGTATCTGCCTCTGAGCTTCACCCCAGGAGGAAAAGGTGGAGGAGAAGGAGGAAAAAAACCTTTCTGCAACTATTTTTCTGGGGGAGGAGGATAAAAGAGATAAGAAGGGAAGGGGATAGGGAAGAAGGAGGAGGAGGAAGGACAGAAACAGGAAGAAGGAAGAGAAACAGGAGGAACAAAAGCAGGAAGCCTGATTTCAATTTCTGCCTTGATTTCTCTCAGGAATGGAATGTGATTTGGAATTTTAGAATAGATTGACCTTTTTGCTTTTGGCTAAGGTATTCAGCAGTTAAAGATATGAAGCTAGATCATACAAGTGTGAGAAACTGAGGTTATATGCCTAGATCATGCATAAAAGCTCATCATTTAGCCCAAGTGTCTCTAAACTAGGTATCCTATGGTGAGAGATGAGGAGCAGAGACAGGAGAGTCTCAAGTAGTTCATGGGTCAGATATTCTAAAATATATATTGGTGAATTACAAAGATAGTGTATCTCAAGCAAGGCAGCATGCAAGGATTAGCGTCTGATGGTAGCTTCTGACTTCTACACATTTGTTGTAGAATGCACATGCACACATAGACACAGAGATGTGTATGTGGCTTGAGAAACAGGAAATTTTGATGAAAGGAATATGATGCTTCAGGATGCTTCAAAGATGAGAACAATGAGATATCAAATGTAATTGCTAACTCTGGATTGTGACAGAAACTAGAGAAGAAGGATTTTTTAGTGTGTGCACGCGTGTTTGAGATTGAATCTAGAGCCTGTGCATACTAGGCAAGTGGCCCACCCCTAAGAGGAAGAAGAGGAGGAGGAGAAAGCCAAGAAAAGAGCTTCTCATTAATATTTCCCTGAAAGATAAAGAAGATAAGGATGGGGGGAGAGGAACAGAAAGAAAAAAAGGAGGAGAAGTTCAAGAACGCAGTTTCCATGACTATTTTCTGGATCATTATTCCATTTCTGATATTCTGTCTAAAAGCTGAAAACATAGATCAGATCTAGACGATGTTCTGAAAATTTCTAGGTTTTTTTTCTGTCCTATCTCATTTGAGTTTCAAGATAATCTTACATCTATTTTTTCATCCTTTTCTCTAAATGCAACACTAGAGCCTGGAGGGATTCTGCAGCTTGTCAATCATCACACACACCAAACAATCTGATACTCCAGAGTATTCATGCTGTGAAAAATGCTTTGTATTAGACCAAATTTTGTAGTAAATGTTCTATGATGTCCAACGTTGTCAACTTGACAGGAAATACAATATCATAGAAGGTAAGCTTTGAGGCCCACCTGTGAGGGATTATGTTGATTGTGTTAGTCTGTGGCTATGCCTGCAAGTGGTTATTTGATTAGATTAAGTGAAGAGTGAAGACACACTAAAAATGGGTTATTCTATTTCCTGGGCAGATAGCCAGAAGTATATTAAAAGTAGACTAGCTGAGTGTCATTGTTTCTCTCCCCTTCCTCTCTACTTAATGACTGTAGATATGATTCAACTAGTTGCTTCAAGATCTTGCTGCATTGACTTCCATGCCATGATAGGATCTACCGTGAAGTGTAAGCCAAAACAAACCCTTCCTTTTATGGGCAAGGGACTCATGAGTTCCAAATCCTACTTGAGGCATAGTTGACAGGTGATGGTAAGGAAGAATGAGTCAGTTTTTATTTCTGGATGTGAACCTTAAGTGAACCATCCCCCAGTAGATGGGCCCACACCATGCGTACACGGACAACACAAATTTGACTTTCCCATTCATGATGGTATTTCAGCTGTTGTGATATTGTTCGCTTCTTGTGCGTGTAGGCACAACCCATGTGAGTTCATATGTGCAACATACTGTAATATCTGAAAAATACTATTTTGCTGCAGATGTCTACTGTCTCCAGATCAGAGTATTTTGTTACACTAAGAGAAAAGTGTCTTGCAGACACAAAATAATATATGCTTTAAATAACATAGTAAAATATGTGCTTCACATTATATATCAACATAATCCACAAGTGAATATAAGGTAGTAAATAGCTAACAAAGAATTAGGTTAGATTATTAGGCTACAGACTGCCTGTCCAGATGTTAAAGGCTTGCTCTGTTTGGATGGTTCATCATGTTATCTTTGATTTTGAAGAGTGTCTGTCAGTTGAATCCCCGTTTTGGCATGTTTTATAGTCATGATCACGGGCAAATAATTTCCTTCTTCAATGTACAATGATTCTCGGTAAAAATGAGTATAGAGACTGACAAGGTTTTGAGAAGGTTGACATAATTACAAAATTTTCACTATGAGATCCTTAAGATAAACATGAGCAGCTATTACTCTTTTGTATAATCTATTTATGGCAATTTTTCTGTTGACATCTACTCACTATTCAGTGTATATTTTATTAAGGGTGGCAATGTATCTGGAAGTTGTAATTGTTTGAGATGCTCTATGGATCCTGATAAATAAGTTGGCATGATGAAGGGAAATGAGAGTGAAGACACTCTCAGGCAAATATGAAGCACTTAATCACAGAATCATCCATCATTCCAAACTTCCCCCATCATTTGCTACTCTAATTGAGACCTTATGATGAGAAGAAAAGAAGGAGAATGTGGGGAGAAAGATGAGTAATTAGGGAAGGAAGAGGAACAGGAGAAGGAAATGAATTGAAAGAACAGAATGGAGAAACAAGAGGATCAAAAAGAATAGGAAGAGAGGAAAAGATGAGAAAAAGGTAGGAGAAAAGAAGGAGGAATAGGAGTAGAAGAAGATAACAAGAATGGGAATGAGGAGAACAAAGAAGACGATAAACAGGAAGAGGAGAAGGATGTGGACAGTAGAAAAAGGAGAAGGAGGGGGAGCACAAAAAGGAAGAAGGAGAAGCAGGATGAATATTTAGTCCCAAAAGGTGCAATAGAAAAGGACTTGGCCTTTTAGTGGGTTGCGCATGCCAAAATGAGCCGTCTAAGACATGGTAGGCTTGTACCAAGGTTACAAGAAATTCTCAAAAGTGAATTAAAAGATAAAACTGGAAAGTTTAGGTACAGTGATTTCTCAAGTCTGAGACTATTAACACATTTTAATCAATAGCAGGAGACTGTAATATATCAATGGGATACTTATTAGCATCCTCTCATCTATACTTAACAGAAAATATTAACAGCCTTTTAGTAGTGACATGGATATGTCTTCAGACATAGACATTCCCAAAATATCACTTTTAATAAGCTATTGGCATAGAAAGGACACTAAGTAAATCCTGTGTTTGGGATCTGAAGTGTCCTCAGAAAGTTCATGGGTTGAAGGCTTAGTCCCCAGCCTTCAACTGTGAAATTGAAGAAAGGTAAATGAATTCTAAGAGTTTTAACTTCATCAATGGATGAGTTAACAGTTGAGTGAATTATTAACAGAAGTGAGGGCTCATTGGAGGGACTAGGTCACTGGTTCCATGCTGTGTATCCCCCAAATTTCCCTGTCTCGTTGCCTCCTGGGTCCCATAAAAGAGCAGATTTCCAATTTTATGTCTTCCACCATATTTCCACCTTGCCACATGCCTTAAAGTAACCAAACTACAATGATTAATCTTTATCAACTGGGCTGTATTTAGAATCAGTATTTAGAAACAGATACGTAGGTGTCCATGAAGGCACTTCCAGAAAGATTCCCTACTTTGAGCCAGGAAAACACACACTGAATGAGGGAGGCACCGTCTAGTGAGCAGGAGTCTCAGACTGAATGAAAACAGGGAAGATTATTCAGAACCAGGATTCATCTCACTCCGCTTCCTGACATCAGATTCAATGTGACCAGCAGCTTCAAGCTCCTTTGGACATTATGTCACTGCCATGATGGACTATACTCTATAACTGTGAGCCACTTGTGTCATTTCTTCCTGAAGTTGCCTTTTTCGGGGACTTTGTCATAAATAATACAGGGACTAATTAACCTGGGCTTAAACTTATGAAACTTTGGGCCATAAAAACCTTTCCTTCTTTAAACTGACTCTATGTTACTTTGTTATAGCAATGAAAACTAACAGAGGTGGGGGCTCACTGTAGGGAATAGGTCACGGGTTTCATGCTGTGTATCCCCCAAACCTCCCAATTCTGACAAAGATACTTACCATTGACATAGAGACTGTATTTGTCCAGGATGTAGGGACCCAGCCTGGTGATACCATTGGTCAGCTGGGTCACTTCTTGGTACAACTGCTTTCTGTCCAGAGGAGGACTCATGGGGTCAGGATGGTAGGTGCAAATTGTATCCACTCCAGTGGCTGCTCCACTCTTTTCTGACCTAGTATGATGAGGACATGAGAATGAATCATCTAGAGATGTGAGAAAATTGTGTTTATCTCCTTCAAGTTGATTCCCTCCTGGTTTTATGCTTGTCTTTTTAATGGACAATATCTATGTTCTTAGTCACATTCTTTTTTAAGTCTGATATTCACTAGGTCTCCTATTTTGTAAAGTGGGTTAGCTCTAGAAAAGTTTGTTCAACATTTTTTCTCTCATTGTCATTTTTTCCTTCAGTTATTTGATTCACATATGTCATGACTATGTTCAAAGTTACTCTGAGACTTTTTGGAACATCTACCTTCCCAACTCCTACATTTCTCTTTTCCTTCCTTTTATTTCCTTCTTTTCCTGTCTACTTATTTTCTTTCTCTTTTTCTCTATTCTCTATCATTTTCTTCAGTCCCCTTTTCCTCTCTTTCTAACATATTGGCCTCTTCTCTGTTCCTTCCTTCATTTTTCATAGCTCACTAGTCATCTACTCTGCTCACTCTATTCTTTAACAGAGATTTTCTATGGAGGGTAGGGCTAGGAAAAGAAGGAGGAATAAGAGATGGAACAGAAGTAGGAGGAGGAAGAAAATGAGGGCAAATAAAAGGAAGAGGAAGAGGAATGTATCCCCAACTCTTGCATACCCCATTACTTACTACCCTGTGAAATAGTTTATTTTCCTGTGTTTCTTCTGCTTACTGTATCTACACTGTCAAAGTATGACTCATGTATCATCATCTGCAGAAAGTCTCCACCTCATTCCCCAGGATCAAGCAAAAATTCCATGATTAGGTTCTTTGGGCATCTCTATGGAATTTAATGGTCTCTTTGACCTGGTTTATGCATGGCTTCATGCTTGTGTAACTGCTGCCTCTCTACATATTGGACCTTTTGCAGGAAGAAAGTTAGGCTTACTAAGTCACAGAGTACGGCATGAACTGAAGGACTCTATGATTGCTAAGTTATTTACTATCACATTTTCTGATCAGTGAGCCTCAATGCTATACACAATTTTTTTCATGCAATTAAGTTCCCTGGGAAGCCTCTTCTTTCAGGAAGTCCTGTCTCTCCATCACTAAATCAAAGACAGTGTCTCTGATGTCTCATTCTTTATGCCCCTCACCTTCTGAGTGTGATATTCCCATCTTAAGCCCAGACTAATTTGGCTGTGACAGATAAGTCTTCCATGATATAAAGGAAAGAAGGCTCACCTGATCAACATCAGTCTGCAACCAGAGTAGCCAGAACCAATGCTGGTATTCTGGAACAATGACTGGAGCTGGGGATAAGGCAAAAGGATGAGTGAGAGAGAGGTCTATGAGATTAGGTGAGGTGAAGAAAAGGTAAGCCATGGAATGCATTTTCACATTACCAGGTAGTTCAAGGCCTTCTCTGTTATGTTGAAATGTGAGGAGCCTGAGTACCCCATTTCCAGAGTATAAGGCAGGTTGGTGATTGTCAAGTTGAAAGTGAATGGCACCAATTCTGGAGGGATACTTGTAGCTGGAGGGAAAAGAGTGAGAGTGAATATAACCATGATCCTCTATATGTGTGAGTGTATGTCTGTGTGTGTGTGTGAGAGAGAGAGAGAGAGAGAGAGAGAGAGAGAGAGAGAGAGAGAGAGAGAGAGAGAAACAACTTTCGGTTTTTTGGTATTGAGCTGCTGAATGTGAATGGATAACTAATACTGTCTCATAGCCACATAGTTAAAGTCTAGGATATCATGCCCAAATCTTTTCTGCCCAACTAGAGGGAGAGGGTGGGACTTCATAGTAGATTTATGACTTCTTCTCCAGAGGGATCCTGAAGTTTCAGCCCAGAATGTCTAAAGGTGACAAGCCATTGACATTACATTTACTTGAGAAGGGAACTGAGGCCTTTATTTTCACATTTGTGTCACATCATATAAAGGTTTCAATGGACAGTGGTAACAGTAAAGACTCGGAACTGGTCAAAGTGAAAAGACTGAGGGACTACTGAATGTTCAGCCCCAAACTGGATATCTGTGTCATGCTTTTCAAACTGCACTGAAACTGTGGAAGGTTTAGAAAGAATTTAAGAGCTAGAGAAAGGGAGATAGTACTGAGTTTGGAGGAATGCTATACTCAAGACATGCCAAGGGTTTTGTGTTCTTGTGTTTACAGAAGATGTGACAATTTGGAAGAAATAAGATCTGTCAATGTCCTGTGGTGAATTTGTGGGAGGTCAGCTGTATTTTCACAAGGCTCTGTCTCTACTTGAGGAATAGTTGCTTGGGCGGGAAAGTTCATGAGGCCCCATCCCTCTCTGAGAATTTATAGACAGTTAATATTTGCTTGAGGAGGGAGAGACATTTCTTTAAGTGTATAAATACTTATAAGTCATTTATGATCTTATAAATAAGCTTTTACTCATAGAATAAACTCATTAGTTAAAAAAAGAAAGAAAACCAAAGGAAGATATAGAAAAAGAACCATAAAAGGGAAAAATTAGTCCTGTTGCTAGGAAATTTCCTTACAAAAATGATAAAAACTTACAAAAAGTCAATATGCAAAACATGGAAGACTTGAGCAAATAGAATAGGACAGAATGCAGGTTGACAGTATATAAGATTTTTGCTTTAGAGAAATTTATGGTCTATGAAAAGTGACAGACTTTTTAGAAAAAGAGAATTACAAAAACCAAAATAAAACTCCAGAATTTCAAGAGCAATACTTGCTGTATCTCTGAAGGTAGGAGGATGTGGACTATGGGAAAATGGGTATAAGACTAGTATGGCCAGACACATGGATGTAAGATAGAGAAGGGAAAAGCCTGTAGCTTGTAGACATCATATCCAGTTGATTCAAGAACTCACAGCTCAAGATTTCCCATTGTCTTCTTCATCATCTAGTTTAGTAAGTGTCCCTGAAAGCCTCCATTCCCATTTTCTTCCCATTTTTCAGGATCTAGCTCAGGTCCATACAGTTCTCCATCTTAGTATGCTCAACCCTCTCTGCATTGCAAACTACCTCTAGGATTCCAGCAGGACCTACACTAACTGTCACTACAGGTCCCTTTTGCACCACATCCATCCTCTCCACCTGTTGTGGTTTGAACAAGAATGACCCCCACAGTATCATATACTTCAATTCTTGCTCAACGGAGTGTAGAACTATTTCCAAAGGACTAAGAAACTACTTGCAAAGAAATGGACCAAGACTGAAGTTGGTACCAGGGGATGTGGTATGACTATGATAGGCTCTTTGTTGTAAAGCAAAGGAAGATTTTGGGTCTTTGGACTAGAAAATTGGTTTTAGACACTTTAAGCAGGACTTAATGGAGCATCCCAGTGGGAGCATGAAGACAGTGTTCCTGATGGCGATATGGCATGTGGGTGTCACACTCAAGAGGTTTCATAGAAGAAGAGTATTAGTAAGTGGCCTAGAGACTGTTCTTGTGATATTTTGGTGAAGAATGTGACTGCTTTCATCAAATAATTCAAAGAGTTTTAAAAAGAAACACACAAAAAGTAAATTAATGAAATTAAGAAGAAAGTAATTAGGAAACTAAATGCCTATGTGATGCCCAAGACATGAAGAAGACAATCCAGTACTTGGAAATATAATCCAATAAGAGATAGAAACAATTAGAATACACTGAAATGAAGATGAAATTTGAAAAACCTAGTGACTCAACTAGAAAGCTCAAAGAAAAGCCTTACACATAGAATGAATCAAGCAAAAGATAAAATATCAGGATTCAAAGATGAGAAAGCAAAGTATAGAAAACCAAACAAGCAAATAAGCAATAGACAAAGGATATAAAGGGAATACAGGACATAATGAGAACACTAAACCTTTGGATTATTGGGAAAAGAATCCCAAGTCAATGTCATAGAATCTCCAACAAGATCATAGATGAAGACTTCCCCAAACTAAGGAAGACACACCAAAAAGACTAGAAAGAAAATTCTCATGACATATCATATTTAAAATACTAATGCATGTAATAAAGAAAATGGATCGAAAGTTTCAAGAAAAAAACACACAAGTATAACACAGCACAATATTAGTTGATTTGTCAAAGGAAACTTTGAAAATCAGAAGAGCCTGGAGAAATGCATTTTAAGTTCTACAAAACTGTGATGGGCCAGGCTTTAGTGGCATGTGCCTTTAATCTCAGCACTTGGGAGGCAGAGGCAGTCTGATCTCTGTGAGTTCAAGGCCAGCTGGTCTACAGAGCACAGGACAGGTTCAAAAACAATACAGAGAAGCCCTGCCTCAGGGGGGAAAAAAAAGACTGTGATGGACTGCCTAGAATTATATATCCCAAAAAATCTGTCTGCCATAATTGATGGAGAAAGAAAACTTTCTATGATAACCACAGCCTAAAAGAACCATATATCACAATTAACCAACCTGGTCTCACAGGAACTCACAGCCTCTGAACCAACAACCAGAGAGCCTGCATGGGACTGACCTAGGCCTTCTGCGTATATGTGACTGTTTTGTAGCTTAGTATTCTCATGGTACTGCTAAAAGTGGGAACAGGGCTGTTTCTAACTCTTTCCATGGCTTCTGGGACCCTCTTGCTTATATTGGCTTGGCTTGTCCAGCCTTAACACAAGGAAAAGTGCTTAATATTCCTGAAACTTGATAGCCATGCTTTATTGATATCCATGGGAGGCCCACCCTTTTCTGAACAGAAACAGAGGAGGAAAATTGGAAGTAGGGGTGGGGAGAAGGGAGATAGAGAGAGGTAGTGGCAAGAGAGGGGGTGGGGAAACTGTGGTAAGGATGCAAAATAAATAAACTTAAAAAATCATATCCAACAAACCAAACCTAAAGAAAATACAGGAAGAAATATTTCAGGTTGAAGAAAGGAATGAACATAGGTGAGAAACTGTGGAAAGAAATTATTCCAAAATTATAAAAATGCAAAGTGCTATTGAAAAAACAAACTACAACATCAAAATCCAACAATGTGTTGACCATAATTAATGAAAGCGTTTTAATAACTTTAAGTTATAGAGACTTAATTTTTCAATAAAAAGACATGTCGGGGAATTGATTGGATCAAGAAACAAAATCCTTTTATTTGTTTTCTACAAGAAACACATCTCAGTTTCAAAGATAGGCACTGCCTTAGAGTAAAAGGACATTAAGAAAAAAATTCACCAAATAATTGAGACCAAGACACAAACAGGCATTGTTATCTTAAGATCTGACAAAACAGACTTTGAATTTTCATCAATCCAATGCAGCTGAAGCACAGCAAAATGACCTTAAAGACAACTAAGAAGATGAGAGATCCTTAAAGTGCAAATAAGGGAAAAAAAGAGAAAGCCCTTAAAGAGATTGAGGAAAAGACCAACAAAAATTCCATTAAACTCACTAAATCCCTTAAAGAATGCCAAAATAGCTAACATAAAAGAAACAAACAGGTGAAGGAAACAGTTCAAAACATGAAAATGTAAATATAAACAAGAAAGAAAGCAAAAAATTGAGAGAATCGTGGAAATAGACAATCTGGGTATGCAAACAGGAATTACAGATGCAAGGATGACCAACAGAAAACAAAGGATGGAAGAGAGATCAGGTGTTGAAGGCACAATAGAGGAAATAGATTCATCAGTCAAAGAAAATGTTAAATCTAAAAAAAATCCTGGAGTTCAGTAGAAGAGAGGGAGGAAGGATAATATGATCAAGGGGGGCTTCAAGACCATGATGGGGAAAACCACAAAGGCAGCTGATCCAAGATAGTGGGAGCTCATGCACTATGGACTGACAGCTGAGGAACTCTGAATGTGAGTGACAGTTATGTGGCTTCAACTGTTTGGGGGTATCCTGGAAGTGGGACCTATCCCAGGTGCATGAACTGGCTTTTTAGAGCCCATTCCCCATACATTCATCAGCCTTGGTGCAGGGGACAGGGGCTTTGTTCTGCCTCAACTTGGTGTGTCAGACTTTGTTGACTCCCCAAGGAAATTCTTATGAGGAATGGATTGGGGTAGAAAGGCAGGGAGGTGGGGAGGGTGAGAAAAGGGGAGGGAGGAAGAACTGGGGTTGGTATGTAAAATGAAAAATAAATATTTTTAAATAAAAAAATTCCTGGCCAGGTGGTAGTATCATATGCCTTTAATCCCAGCACTCAGGAGACAGAGGCAGTTAGATCTCTATAAGTTTGAGGCCAGCCTGGTCTACAAAGCCAGTTCAAGGACAGGTTATAAAGCTACACGGAGAAACCCTGTCTCAAAAAACAAAACAAACATAACAAAAATTCCTAACATAAAACTTCCAGGAAATCTGGGAGAATATGAACAGATCAAACCTACAAATAATAGGAATAGAAGGACAAGAATCCCAGCTCAAAACTCAGAGAGTATTTTTAACAAAATTGTAAATGAAAAATTTCCCAACCTTAAGAAAGACATGCTATAAAGGTACAAGAAGCTTACAGAACACCAAATATATTGGATTAGAAAAAATTCCTCTGCCAGAAGAAGGAAAGAATATTGAAAGTATCAAGGGCCAAGTAGCATAAAGACAGACCTATTAGAATCACACCCGACTTCTCAATGGAGACCCTAAAATCCAGAAGGGCCTGTACTGATGACTTGCAGGTTCTAAGAGACTACATATACTAACCCAGGCTACTATACCCAAAAAAAACTGTCACTTACCATAGATGGAGCAAACAAGATGTTTCATAACAAAGTCAAATTTAAAAACTGTATCTCCATAAACCCAGCCCTACAGAAGGTACTAGAAAGGAAAATCCCAATGCAAGTTTAGCTACACCAACAAAAACACGCAATAAGTAATCTCACACCAGAAAAACCCAAAGAAGACACACACACATACACACACACACACACACACACACACACACACACACACACATACTACCATCACTACCAAAAACAAAATATCAGAAATTAACAATCATTGGTCATTAATCTCTCTCAATTATCAATGGACTCAATTCGCCAATAAAAAGACACAGAATAACAGAAGGGACATGTAAAAAAAATCCACCCTTCTGCTGCATACAAGAAACATACCTCAATATCGAAGATAGACACTGCCTCAGAATTAAGGGTTGGAAAAAGATTTTCTAAGTAAGTGGATCCAAGAAACAAGCTGGTATAGCTATTCTAATATCTAACAAAATAGACTTCAAAACAATTAATCAAAAGATGGAGAAAGATATTTCATTCTCATCAAAGGAAAAATTCACCAAGATGACATTTCACTTTTTAACATCTATGCTCCAAATGCAAGGGTACTCACATTTGTAAAAGATACACTACTAAAGCTTAAATCACGCATCAAAACTCACACACTAACAGAGATTCCAATACCCAACTCTCATCAATGGACAGGTCATCCAGATGAAAAGCAACCAGAGAAATAATGGAGCTAACAGATGTTATGAAGCAAAACTACCTAACAGATACCATTGAACATTTTACCCAAACACAAAAGCATATAACTTTTTCTCAGCACTTCATGGAACATTCTCCAAAATTGACCACATTGCATAAAGTAAGTCTAAACAGACATAAGAAAATTGAAATAACCTTATCCTATTAGGTCACCACAAATTAAAGCTGGATTTCAACAAGAACAAAAACAACAGAAAGTCTAAAACTCCTAGAAACTGAACAACTTGTAGGACATAATGAAAGCAGTGCTAAGACAAAACTTCATAGCACTAAGTGCCTTCATAAAAATTTGGAGACATCTATAGGAAAAAAAGGAAGCAAACATACCTAGGATGGATAGATGGTAGGAAATAAACTGAGGGATGAAATCAATAAAATAGAAACAAAGAGAACCTAATAAAGAGTCAATGAAACAGAGTTGGTTCTTTGAGAAAATCAACAAGATAAACAAACCCTTATTCAAAGTAACTAAAAGACACAGAGAGAATATTCAAATTAACAATATAGGAAACTAAAAGAAGGAAATAACAACAGATGTCAAGGAAATCCAATGAATCGTTAGGTCATATGCTAAAAGCCTGTACTCAACAAAATTGGGTAATCTTAAGGAATGAGTAATTTTCTTGACAGATCCCACATACCAAACTTAATGAAGAGGAAATAAACAACTTAAATAGATTTATAACCCCTATGGAAATAGAAGCACTCATTAAAAGTTTTCCATCCAATAAAAACCCAAGGTCATATGTTTTAATGCAGAACTCTACTGGACCTTCAAAGAGATAAAGGCAGTACTCCTCAAATTATTTCACAAAATAGAAACAGAAGGAACATTGCCAAATTTATTTTATGAGACCTCAGTCACCATTATACCCAAACCATAAATAAAGAAAGAGAATTACAGACAAAATTGAATACCTTTATGAATGTAGATGCAAAAATACCCAATAAAGTACTTGGCCAATGAATTCAAGAACACATCAAAAAGATCTTATACCATAACCAAGTAGGCTTCAACCCAGGAATTGTGTTTGGTTGATCTCCTTGGGAAAGTAACTACCAACAATGCACTGTGGCCTTATGGGGAGACTAGTGTCATGAATACCTTGATGGTAACCAAGAGCTCTCCATTTAGACTGAAGACATATCCAAAAAGTGGTAAATCATGCTTGGTAATGGAAATTTAGTACTGAAAACCATTACCCTGGAAAACATTCAACCACCAATTTACTAAACCAGCATAATCCCAAACAATAATCTGAACATTTGTTCTTATGCCCACAGAGAAGCGTAGTCCTCCACCTTCATCAAGGAAACATCTTTTTGTAACACTGACCAGTTCAAAGGGCAATAACCAATCAAAATGCAGAGTTAAGGAGCTCAGTTACAATGGATACATCGACAAAACCCTCCAGGCCCTAAGAATCAGGAACATTGATGACCAGGAAGCAGAAGGATTGTAAAAGCCAGAGGATCAGGGAGTTTGCTGTGAGATTGTGTCTGTTAGTAGTTTCAGAAGCTACACTCTTACTAAACATGAGCTAATTCAGGATGATAATAGACATCCCAGAGTGGACATTGAAAGACCAGAGGTCCTCAATCCTACACAAAGAACACAGGTAACCAAGGAATATTCAGAGGGGAATGGAGAAGGGCACACTAAAAACATCACTGCCTAAACATGAGCTAATACTAGGATGATAATAGACATGCCAGAGTGGACATTGAAAGACTGCAAGTCCTCAGTCCTACAGACAGAACACAGGTAACCAAGGAAGATTCAGAGTGGAATGGAGAAGGGCATGCTAATGCTAATTGCTTGTAAAAGCCAAAGGATTGGTCCTGAAAATATTCATACATTACGTAGACTCAGTAGATTTTATTTAGAATATATGTATATATACCTATACATACATGTGACAACAACTAATGAAATAAGGGCAATAATTTTGAAAAAGACCAAGGTGGAGATTTATGGGAGGGTTTAAGGGAAGATAGGGAAAGGAAAATTTATGTAATTATATTAAAATCTCAAAAATAGAAGAAAAATTTAAAAAATCAATTAAAATTTTATTTAAAAGCTTATAGCTCTTAGGGTTATGAAGAGGGATTTGTGGGTGAGAGTGTTTGTCATGCTAAAATGAGAGTCTAAGTTTGAATCCCTTGCACACATATAAAAAATTGGGTTTGACCATGTGTATTCCTGCAACACCAGACAGAGCAATGATGTGGGTGGAGACAGGAGGATCTTAGATTCCTCGCTTCCAGTCTAGTTCTAAGTTTAGTGAAAGACCCTACCTAAATGGAATAAAGTGAAGAGTGATAAAGATGTTCTCTTGTCTCTGACTGCATATCACACACACACACACACACACACACACACACACACTATTAAAGTAAATGAATGTATGAATAAATAAAAAAATCAATGAATAACCAGTTCTAAGGCTGAGGAAACATTGTGAAAGAGGGTATAGACAGAATATAAGAGTCAAAGGAATCCGTATTGTGTTAGTAAATTTTGTCTCCCATGTATGCCATGACTGCTGAAGTCTTGGCTGCTGTGTGGATAATAACTGTATAACGGATACAGCACATAGAAAGGAAGCATAAGTAACTAATGATTGGGGAGAATGTAGAATTGGGAATTGTTGCTTAATGGGTACAGAATTTCAGTTTGGGGTGGTTTAAATTGTTTGGAGGGTTGTGGATATGGGTTAGTGTCATAGCATTTGAAGTATATAAGGTCCTAGATTCAACCCTCACAAAGTCAGTAATGAACAGGAATCCAAAAACTGTCTGGAAACCGAAAGTGGTGGCTGCATGACATTGTGCTTTCAACAATACTGAATTGTATACCTAAAACACACATAGAGGAAATATTTACATTACATACATATATATTATATATTACTACAATAGTAAAACTTACTCTTACTTGGTCTTGAAGTCACATTCTCAGAAGACCATGTGGGCATTCTAGAGGAGGCCAGAGGTGCAAAAGAACTTCCATGTAGTGTAGTTGTGGTCTTAGCCTCAGTGGGTCTTGAACTTGTGGTATCTAAATGAAAAGTCTCACTTGTAGTTTCCAGGTCAGTAAGTGGGCTTGTTGAGGACTCTGATGATATCAAGGTCATTATGGGGCTTGTGACATCACTGTCGAAATTGGGAAGTCTAACTGTAGTGACAGATGCTGAAGTTTTTGTGCTCGGTACAGTTTCACTGCTAAATTTACTAATTGTTGCAACACCTGGAAACCCAGGGACATTAGGAGACATACTCAGAGTTGATTCTCTTGAAGGGATGGAAGCCCATAAACCTGTGGTACCTGCTAAAACAAGGGACGGGGTTGTATGGGTCTCAGTCTCAGAGTAGATGGAGAGAGAGACTGTTTCTTTAGAAGTACCAGACGAAATTGTTGTACCCATGTCACTTCTGCTATCCTCAGTCACAGATGAGTTCACAAGAAATTTTGTCATCTCTGGTTCACCAGCGGAGACAGTCTGATTTAAGAGAGTTGTACTAACGTCTACCCCAGGTGTAATGGGCACTGAAGCTGTGGTCTCCAAAACAGAAAGAAAACCAGTTGAAACAGGAAATGTTCTGTTAGTCTCTGCATTGAGGAGGGTAGTTAATGAGGTTGTGCTTTTTGGCTCATTGGGAGGCAGAACTGTGGTTGGAACTGTACTGTTCATTGGCCCAGAGCTAATGAACTGTGAAATCATTACACCTGGTGCCCCATGAGAGACAGTCGTTGTTGGCACAGATGAACTGGTTTCTATTCCAGGATGATTGACTATTGAGGGAGTTATATCTAAACCACTATCCGAAAAACTGGAAGTTTTTTGGGTTAAGGCAGGTTGAGTGACCAAGGAGACTGTTGATGTTGGTTCATGCATCCATGTACTCAATGGAAGAAAAATCATGCTATTATCTGTCGTAGAACCAGAAACCAGAGGAGTGGTCATATATTGTACATCAGATGAAAGAGTTGTTGGAATGGTCGAAGTGGTCTCTGCCTTAGAAGCTGAGAGAGTGATGTCTGATTCACTATAAGAAAATGTGGGAGTTGTTGTGGAAAGTGGTGTACTGGGTGGGGCAGAAACAGTAAGCCATGTTTCAGTTATATTTGGCTCACCAAATAAAGTAGACAGAGTAGAAATTGTTGATGTTGCTTCCTTTCCAGGATGACTGACCCAGGAGTCTGTGGTATCTGTTTGACTTGAAACATCCAGAGTTAGAGTAGTTGTATGGGTCTCTGTCTTAGAAGTAGTGGCCAGTGGTGTCATCATTTCTGTTATATTTGGAGGGATAGAACTTGTAGACATGGCTGAACTGGACTGTTCTCCAACATGGGAGACAAAGGACATTGTGGTATGTGGTTCAGAAGGAAAAAGGGGGGATGAGGCCATCATGTCTGGAACACTAGGAAAGATGGATGTCCTTGGAGTGCTTGAAGGGGCTTTGGTTACAGGAGGGGTGACCCATGAGACTGGGGTGTCTCTCTGACTTGAAGAAGTAGCCAGAATGGAAGACACTGAATCACTTTCTATGTGAGAGCTAGTGACTAGTGGTGGTCTTGTTTCAGTTACATAGGTAGAGATAGGCCTTAAAGACATGGTTGAACTGGGCTGGTGCACAATGTGGGTAACCACAGAAATTGTGGTATGTGCTTCAGAAGAAATAACATTTGGTGAGATTGTCATTTCTGGAACATGAGAGCTAGTGACTAGTGATGATATTGTTTCTGTTACATGGGTAGAGATATCCAGGGAAGATGTGGATGAAGAAGACTGTCCTCCTGCATGGGTGACCAGTGTTGTGGTCTGTGGTTCAGAAGTAATGTGGTACAGAGATGTTGAGGTCATCATACCAGGAGCACCAGGTGAGATGACTGAAGTTACAACTCCTGAAGTATCTTCATTTCTAGGATTGGTGACCCCTGGGGCTGTGGTCTCTGATTGACTTGGGGACATGACCAGAGTTGAAGTCACTGGATGGTTTTCTGTGCCGTAACTAGTGACCAGTGATGGGATCATTTCTGTCATACCTGGAGAGACAGGCCTTGCAGACATGGCTGAACTAGGCTGTTCCCCAATGTCAGTGACCAATGAAACTGCAGTATATGGTTCAGAAGGAATAAGGGTAGGTGCAGTCATCATTTCTGATACACTAGGTGAGATGGTTGTAGACAAAACCCCTGAAGTACCTTCTGTTCCAGGATGGGTGGCCCATGGAACTGTGATGTCAGGTTGACCTGGGGAAACAGCCAGAGTTGTAGATGTTGCATAGCTTTCTGTGCCAAAGCTAGTGAATAATGGTGGTGTCATTTCTGTTATACCTGGAGAGGAAGACTGGAGAGAAGACATGGATAAACTGAGCTGTCCCCCAGCATTGGTGACCAATGATGTTGTCTGTGGTTCAGAAGGAGTGTGGTTCAGAATTGTTGAAGTCATCATGTCTGGAACACTAGGTGGAATGGTTGTAGTTACAGCCTCTGAAGTGTCTTCTTTTGTAGGCTGTGTGACCCATGGGGCTGTGGTCTCTGTTTGACCTGGGGAAATGGTCAGACCTGAAGACACCAGATGACTTTCTGTGTGAGAACTAGTGACCAGTGATGGGATCATTTCTGTCATACCTTGAGAGGCAGGCCATGTAGACATGGCTGAAATGGGCTGTTCCCCAATGTCAGTGGCCAGTGAAACTATGGGATGTGGTTCAGAAGGAATAAGATTTGGTGAGGTAATCATATCTGGAACATTAGCTGAAATAGTTGTAGTTGTAGAATCTGAGGTAGCTTCTCTTTCAATATGAGTCACCCATGAAGTTGTGGTCTCCTTTTGACCTGGGGAAACAAATAGAACTGGAGGAGTTTCATGTGTCTCTCTCCCAGAAGTAGTGACCAGTGGTGTCATAATTTCTGTTATACTTGGAGAGACAGTTGTGGTAGATAGATCTAAATTGGTCTCATCCGCAGCAGAGGTAGTAAATGAAAATCTGGCCAGTGGTTCAGAAGGATTAAGAGTTGTTGATGTCATCATTTCTGTGACACCAGTTGAAATAGTAGTAGCTGGTAACCCTGATGTGGTTAATCTTTCATGATGGGTGACCAATGTGACTGTGACCTCAGGCTGACCTATAGAAACATCCAGATTTGAAGTAATTGCATAACTTTCTGTGCCAAAGCTACTGACAAGTGATGGTGTCATTTCTGTTTTACCTGAAGAGACAGACACAGTAGATATGGATGAATTGTGATGTCCACCAGCATGGGTGACCAATGATGTTGTGGTCTGTGGTTCAGAAGGAGTGTGGTTCAGAGTTGTTGAGGTCATCATGTCTGGAACACTATGTGAGAGGGCTGTGGATAGATCACCTGAAGAGCCTTCTTTTTCAGAATGGTTAATCCATGGGGCTGTGGTCCCTAGTTTATCTGGGGGAACACCCACAGTTGAAGTCACAGGATTGCTCTCTGTGCTTGAGTTGGTGATCAGGGATTGTATCATTTCTGTTATACTTGGAGACACAGGCCCTGTAGTCAAGGTTGAACTGGGCTGTCTATCAATGTGAGTGATCATTGAAATTGGGTTATGTGGTTCAGAAGGAATGAGAGTTGTTGTGACCATCATTTCTGGGACACCAGTTGTAATGGTAGTAGTTGGTACCCCTGATGTGGCTTCTCTTTCAGGATGAGTGACCAATGTGGCTGTCATCTCAGGCTGACCTATGGAAACATCCAGGGTGGAAGTACTTGCATAACTTTCTGTGCCCAAGCTAGTGACAAGTGATGGTGTCATTTGTGTTATACCTGAAGAGACAGACAGAGTAGATGTAGATGAACTGGGATGTCCAGCAGCATGGGTAACCAATGATGCTATGGTTTGTGCTTCAGAAGGAGAGTGGCTCAGAGCTGTTGAGTTCATCATGTCCGGAACACTAGGTGACCTGGCTGTAGATAGATCCCCTGAAGAGCCTTCTTTTCCAGAATGGGTAACCAATGGGGCTATGGTCTCTGGATGATTTCTGGAAACTGCCATAGTTGAATTGTTTTCTGCTACAGTGCTAATGCCCAGTACTAATACCGTGTCTGTTATACCTGGAGAGGCAACCAGAGTAGGCATGGCTGAATTGGGCTGTTCACCAATGTGGGTGACAAATGAAACTGTGGAATGTGGTTCAGAAATAATAAGAGTTGTGGAAGTAAGGTCTGAAACACTAGTTCCAGTGGTGGTATGTAGAACACCTGCAGTTTCTTCCATTTCAGGGTGAGTTGTCCATGAGGCTGTAATCTCTGTTTGACCTGGGGAACTAAGCATAGACGGACTGGTTTCATGTGCTGCTGCTCCAGTGGTAGTGGCCTGGGATGTCATCGTTTCTGTTACACCTGAAGAGACAGCCTGAATAGAAATGGATGAATTTGGATGTCCAGCAGCATGGGTGACCAATGATGTTATGGTTTGTTTTTCAGAAGGAGTATGGTTCAGAGTTGTTGAGATCATCATGTCTGGAACACTAGGTGAGATGGCTGTGGACAGATGCCCTAAAGAGCCTTCTTTTTCAGAATGGTTGATCCATGGGGCTGTGGTCCCTAGTTTATCTGGGGAAACTCCCACAGTTGAAGTCGCAGGATGGCTCTCTGTGCCTGAGCTAGTAACCAGGGATTGTATCATTTCTGTTATACTTGGAGACACAAGGCTTGGAGACAAGGTTGAACTGGGCTGTCTATCAATGTGGGGGACCATTGAAATTGGGTTATATGGTTCAGAAGAAATGAGAGTGGTTGTGACCATCATTTCTGGAACACCGGTTGTAATGGTAGTAGTTGGTACCCCTGATGTGGCTTCTCTTTCAGGATGAGTGATCCATGTGGCCATAGTCTCAGGCTGACCTGTGGAAGTATCCAGGGTTGAAGCAATTGCAAAATTTTCTGTGCCCAAGCTAGTGACAAGTGATGGTGTCATTGTTGTTACAACTGAAGAAACAACCTGAGTAGACATGGATGAAGTGGGATGTCCACCAGCATGGGTGACCAATGATGTTGTGGTCTGTGGTTCAGAAGGTGTGTGGTTCAGAGTTGTTGAGGGCATCATGTCTGCAATATTAGGTAATATAGTTGTAGATAGATTCCTGAAAGAGTCTTCTTTTCCAGAATGAGTACCCAATGGGGCTACAGTCCCTGGATGATCTTTGGAAACCACCAGAGTTGAATTGTTTTCAGCATCATACCTAGTATCCAATGATGACATCATTTCTGTTATGCCTGGAGAGACAGTCAGAGTAGAAATGGCTGAAATGAACTGTTCACCATTGTGGGTGGCAAAAGAAATGCTGGAATGTGGTTCAGAATAAATAGGAGTTGTGGCATTAAGGAGATCTGAAACACTAATTGCAGTGGTGGTTTTTAGAAAATCTGCAGTTTCTTCTCTTTCAGCATGGGTTGACAATGAGGCTATAGTCTCTGTTTGACCTGGGGAAACAAGTAGAGCTGGTCTGGTTTCATGTGATGCTGTTCCAGTAGTACTGGCTTGGGATGTCATCATTTCTGTTACTCCTGAAGAGACATCATGAATAGACATAGATAAACTTGAATATCCACCATGTTGGGTGACCAATGATGTTATAGTCTGTGGTTCAGAATGAGTGCTGGTCATACTCATTGTAATCATGTTTTCTGCAGAACTAGGTGGCATGGTTGTAGTAATAATGTCTGAAGTGAATGCCTTTACAGAATGGGTGACCCATGAACCTGTGGCCTCTGCTTGATCTGTAGAAACTGCCAGAGTTGTAGCTGCTGAAATATTTTTTGTGCCAGAGCTAGGGACCATTGATGGTGTCTCCTTTGTTATTCCTGCAGAGAGGGCCAGAGTAGGGATGGTAGAGTTGGACTGTTTACCAATGGGAGTAACAAATGAAACAGTGAAATGTTGTTCAGAAGGAATAAGAGTTGTGGAAGTAACAGGTGCTGGAACATTGGCTGAAATGGTGGTATTTAGATTACCTGAAGTGGTTTCTCTTTCCACATGAGTTGTCCATGAGGCTGTAGACTCTCTTTGCACTGGGGAAACAAGAAGAGCAGGGCTAGTTTCATGTGTCACCATGCTAGAACTAATGGCCTGAGGTGTCATTATTTCTGTTACACCTGAAGAGAAACCATGAGTAGACATAGATAGAGTATGGTTGCTAGCAGCATAGGTGATCAATGATCTTACTGTATTTTCTTCAGAAGGAGTATGGTTCAGAGTTGTTGAGGTCAATATGTTTGGAAGAGTAGGTGAGATAGTTGTACTTAGAATCTCTGAAGTGCTTTCATTTTCAGGATGGGTGACCCATGAACCTGTGGTCCCCGGTTGACCTTGGGAAACAGCCATGGTTGAAGCCATTGAAAAGCTTTCTGTGCTTGAGCTAGGGAGAATTGATTGCATCATTTCTGTTATACCAGAAGAGACAGGACTTGAAGACATAGCTGAACTGGGCTGTCCCTCAACATGAGTGACAAGTGACACTGTGGTGTGTGGTTCACTAGAAATAAGACTTTGTGATGGTGATGTCATCATTTCTGGTATACTAGGTGGGATGGTTGTAGATAGTATTCCTGAAGTACCTCCTTCCCCAGGATGGTTGACCCATGGAGCTGTGGTACCTGGTTTATGTGGGGCAACACTCACATTTAAAGTCATAGGATAACTTTCTGCACTTACATTAGTGACCAATGAATGTACCATTTCTACTATACCTGGAGACACAGGCCTTGTAGATAAGGTTAAACTGGGCTGTCCCTCAATATGAGTGATCAGTGAAATGGTATTATGTTGTTCAGAAGGAACAAGACGTGTCGTGGTCATCATTTCTGGGATACCAGTTGTAATTGGAGTAGTTGGTACTCCTGATGTGGCTTCTCTTTCAGGATGGGTGATCAATGTGGCTGTGGTCTCAGACTGACCTATGGAAACATCCAGAGTTGAGGTAATTGTATAGTTTTCTCTGTCCAGGCTAGTGACTAGTGATGGTGTCATTGTTGTTACACCTGAAGAATCAACCTGAGTAGATATGGATGAACTGGGATGTCCACTAGGAAGTGTGGCCAATGATGTTATGTTCTGTGTTTCAGAAGGAGTGTGGCTCAGAGTTGTTGAGGTTATCATGTCTGGAATAGTATGTGACATGTTTGTAGATAAATTCCCTGAAGAGTCATCTTTTCCACGATGGGTGACCCATACAGTTGTGGTTCCTATTTGTTCTGTTGAAACCTTCAGAGTTGTAGCTGCTAAATTATGTTTTGTAGTAGATTTAGTGACCGGTGATGGAATCATTTCTGTTATACTTGGAGAGACAGCCAGAGTAGGCATGGCTGAATTGAACTGCTCACCAATGTGAGTAGCATATGAAATTGTGGAATGTGGCTCAGAAGAAATAAAAGTTGTGCCATTAAGGAGTTCTGAAATACTATTCCATAAGGTTGAAGTCTCTCTTTGACCTGGGGAAACGAGTAGAGCTGGACTGGTTTCATGTGCTGCTGTTCCAGTAGTACTGGCCCGGGATGTCATCATTTCTGTTACTCCTGAAGAAACAGCCAGAGTAGATATGGATAAACTGGGTTGTACATCAGCATGGGTAACCACTGGTATTGTGGTCTGTGTTTCAGAAGAGCTGGCCAGACTTGTTAGAGTTATGTTCTCTGGAGCATTAGGTAGCTTAGTTGTAGTTATAATGTCTGAAGTGAATGCCTTTACAGAATGGGTGTCCCATGAATCTGTGGCCTCTGCTTGATCTGTAGAAACTGCCAGAGTTGTAGCTGCTGAAATATTTTTTGTGCCAGAGCTAGGGACCATTGATGGTGTCTCCTTTATTATCCCTGGAAAGAGGGCCAGAGTAGGGATGGTAGAGTTGGACTGTTGACCATTGGGGGTAACAAGTGCAACTGTGGAATGTTGTACAGAAGGAATAAAAGTTGGGGAAGTAACAGGTGCTGGAACACTGGCTGAAATGGTGGTATTTAAAACACCTGAAGTGGTTCCTCTTTCCACATGAGTTGTCCATGAGGCTGTAGACTCACTTTGCACTGGGGAAACAAGAAGAGCAGGGCTAGTTTCATGTGTCACCATGTTATAACTAATGGCCTGAGGTGTCATTATTTCTGTTACACCTGAAGAGACAGCCTGGGTAGACATAGATGAAATTGGATGTCTACCAGCATAGGTGACCAATGATGCTATGGTCTGTGGTTCAGAAGGAGTGTGGTTCTGAGTTGTTGAGGTCATTATATCTGGAACAGCTGGTGAGAAAGTTGTGCTTATAGTCTCTGAAGTGCCTTCTTTTTCAGGATGGGTGGCCCATGAACCTGTGGTCCCATGTTGATCTGGGGAAACAGCCAGAGTTGAAGTCATTAAAAAGTTTTCTGTGCTTGAGCTAGTGAGCAGTGATTTCATCATTTCTGTTGGACCAGAAGAGACAGGCCTTGAAGACATGGCTGAACTGGATTGTTCCCAAATGTGAGTGGCCAATGAAAATGTGGTATGTGGTTTAGAAGGAATAAGATTTGTTGAAGTGATCATTTCTGGGATACCAGTTGAAATGGTAGTACTTAGAACCCCTAATTTGTCTATTTTTTCAGGATAAGTGAGTGATGGTTCTGTTGTGTCTGGTTGACTCAAAGAAGCATCCAATGTTGAAGACACTGAATACTGTTCTGTGTTATAGCTAGTGAGGAGGAATGGTATCATTTGTGTTATACCTGCAGAGATAGGGCTTGTATACATGGATGAGCTGGGCTCTTCGCCAGTGTTGGTTACCAATGAATCTTCAGTATGTGGTTCAGAAGGAATAATAGTTCTGGTCATCATTCCTTGTACACTAGATAAAACAGTTGTAGATAGCACCCCTGATGTTCCTTCTGTTCTAGACTGGGTTACTCCTAGTGATGTGGCCTCTGGTTTTATGGGGGATGACACTATAAATGTAGGCACAGCATGGCTTTCTATACCTGAGCTGTTGACAAGTGATGTGATTTCTGTTATACCCTGAATGACTGCCATGCTATTCGTGTCCAAACTGTGTTGTCTCCCAGCATGAGTGGCCAATGATGTGTTCTGTGGTTCAGAAGAAATGTGGTTTAGAGATGTTGAAGCCATCATACCAGGAGCACTAGTTGATATGGCTGAAGTTACAACTCCTGAAGGGTCTTCTTTCCTAGGATTGGTGACCCATGGGGCTGTGGCCTCTGATTGACTTGGAGAAATGGCAAAAGTTGAAGTCACTGGATGATTTTCTGTGCCATAACTAGTGACCAGTGATGGGATCATTTCTGTCATACCTGGAGAGACAGGCCTTGCAGACATGGCTGAACTAGGCTGTTCCCCAATGTCAGTGACCAATGAAATTGAAGTATATGGTTCAGAAGGAATAACGGTTGGTACAGTCATTATTTCTGACACACTAGGTGAGATCATTGTAGATAAAACCCCTGAAGTACCTTCTGTTCCAGGATGGGTGGCCCACGGAACGTTGATGTCAGGTTGACCTGGGGAAACAGCCAGAGTTGTAGTCTTTGCATAGCTGTCTGTGCCAAAGCTAGTGAATAATGGTGGTGTCATTTCTGTTATACCTGGAGATGAAGCCTGGAGAGAAGACATGGATAAACTGAGCTGTCCCCCAGCATTGGTGACCAATGATGTTGTCTGTGGTTCAGAAGGTGTGTGGTTCAGAACTGTTGAAGTCACCATGTCTGGAACACTAGGCTTTGCATTTGTCATTAGGACCTCTGAAGTGGCTTCTTTTTGAAGCTTGCTCATCCAAGATATTGTTGTCTCTGGTTTTACTGGGGAAAAAGTTGGAGTTGAAGTTGTTGCATGATTTTTGGAACTTACATTAGTGACCAGTGAAGTGGTCACTTCTCTTATACTTGGAAAGTCAGCCAGAGTAGACGTAGATGAATTGTAGTCTGCCCCAGCATCAGTTACCAATGAAAGTGTAGTCTGCGGTTTAGGAGTGTGGCTCACAGATTTTGAGGTCACTAGATCTAGAAGACTAGGTGAGATGGTTGTATGTATCACCCTTGAGGTTACTTCTGTTTCAGGATTCATAGTCCATGATGTTGTGGTCTCTGGCTGACCTGAGGAAATAGTTTTATTTCTTGTATCTATCCATGTCTCAGAGCTAGGGAATACTGGTCTCATGATTTCTGTTACACCTGGAGAGACAACAATAGTAGATGTGGATGAACTAGTCTTTTCCCCAGAATGAGCGATCAGAGAAATTTTTGTATGTGGTTCAGAAGGATGAAGACTCAAAATTGGTTTAGATGTTCTAGCATCTTCCTCGGAACCATGGCCTTCTAGTGTTGTCATATTTGGAATACTAGTCGAGATAGCTATAGTTGGAACAGATGATAAGGCTTCTTGTTCAATAGTGATGGTTGTTGGGGGTGTGGTATGAGATTCAATATGGGAAAAATTTGGTCTTGTCCTGGGAACCCTTAGGCTGTTCTCTTCAGGATTGGTAACAAATAAGGCTGATTCAGCTGCTTCACTTGGTAAAGTAGTAAGAGTTGTAACAGAAGAACTATTTTCTGATGTTGCAGAAAGGGTTACTTGTGATGTTATTTTCTCCATTTTTTGTGAATATCTTGCTATTGCTGGGGAAATTGTACTGGTGTATATTTCAGAACTAGGGACTAGTGAAGTCACTATCCCAAGTACACCAGAGGAAGCAGTCATAGTTGGAAGGAATGAAGTATCTTGTACCCCAGTATGAGTGATCATTGAGGCTCCTGTCTCTGGTTTATCAGAAGAAAGAGTCAAAGTTGGAATATTGCTGCTGGTGACTGTCCTAAAAGTAGTGACAAGTGAAGTCAGTATTTCTGATACATTAGATGAAGTAGTAGAAGTTGAAGAATTTGATCTGGCTTCGGTCTCAGAATTGGTGGTCACTGAGGGCACACTATCTGATACAATATGGGAAACATCTGGAGTTGTCATGAGGACTGTTGGAATGGCTGAGGGGACTTCTGTCCTAGCCTTGGTGATCCCAGAGCCTGTTGACTTTGGTTCACTCTGGGAATCAGTGAGAGTTGGAATAAACAAAATGGTGCTTTCTTCAGGCCTGCTAATCCGTGAGGTCACCAAATCTGGTATCACGGGGGAAACTGCTGCTGCTGCAATGGCTGAATTGGCTTCTTCTCTGGGAGTAGTGGCTGTGGACACCATGGAATCTGATTCATCCTGAGAAGCATTCTGGGTTATCTTGGCAACAGCTGAAGTAATCTCTAAAGAATGGGTGACCAATGATACTGTATCAGACTCATCAGAGGATATGGGCAAAGGATTAACAACTTGACTTGTCTCTGTCCTAAGACTGTGACTCCATAAAGCCATGCTCTCTGGTTCTCTACTATAAGAGGATGGTCTTGTACTGAGGACCATGCTAGTGTTTTCTCCAGAGCTGGTGGGAAATGATGCTGTGATCCCTAGGACATTATGGGAAGCATCTGAGGCTGTGATAATCATCTCTGTTGTATTTGTGTTGCTTGTTTTCTCTGTTGTCTTGAGGTGAGCCAGGGGTTTTGAAGCTGTAGTAGAGATTTTGGTGGTTGAAGTGGCAATGGAAGTAGCCTTTGGAGCTGTGATAGTGGTGTCCTCTTCTGCTGCCCCTTCTGTGGATAGCTCTGTAAGTTGAGACATGCAATACAACTTGTAAAAAATGCTTACACTTTCTAGGCAGGCAATTCATATTTTCCCCTACATGATGAAAGGGAGAGAAGTATCTATGACAGTGATGCTTTCCTGGCATGAGTGTTGCACTAACTGACTATGGGAAAAGGTACTGTGAATTTTTCTGTATTGCTCATCCTTTTCTCCCACTGATGTTTTGTGTGTGTGTGTGCGTGTGTGTGTGTGTGAGAGAGAGAGAGAGAGAGAGGGAGAGAGAGAGAGAGAAACATACATACAGACAGACAGAGACAGACAAAGACACAGACAGAGAGACAGACAGGAAAGACAGAATTTCCTATTTCCCAGGCCAGCCTTAAAGTCACTACATAGCTAAGAGTGTTCTTAAACTTTTCATCCGACTCACTCCTAAGTACTGAGATCATAGATATGCATCACATTTAGTTTATATGGTGCCAAGGACAAAAACTCAGGGCTTTGTGAATTCTAGGCAGGAAATCTGCCAACTGAGCTACAACTTTAACCCTCCTGTATTTTTTGAGCTGTAACTCCTCCATAAATTTGTGACCACGCTTATGCAATCCTTGCTCCCTCTATTGTCTGTACTACTCAAAGTTAAGCTCTTCTGTCTTCCTGACCTATTGATCCCTCATCAAACCTTACCAATTTTGATCATTTTCAAGGGCAACTTTATATTCACCTTCACTGAAAATTCATTATATTTCATTTGTTTCATATTTTCTTACCCCAATATCTGAACTGAAAATTTTCATCTCCAGAAGTTCTGGCTGTTAAAAACAATTAGTGTTTGACTGCTTGACAAGTAGTAGGTGTTCAACTCGAAGTGTGAGTGAATATATGAATAAATGAAGGTGTGAAATAATGGTATATAAGAATGTACCTCCTGACCATAAGAGAGACACACATGGCTCCCCGGAGAGAGAGAAAGGCACAAGATCTCCTGAGAAGACTGTGAGCATGGGGAGAGGGAAGGGGGGATTAGAAGAAGGAGAGGGGGAGAAGAGGAGGGGAGAGGAGGACACAAGGGAACAGGAAGATTGAGTCAGGGGAGGAATAGTGATGAGCAAGAAAAGAGATGCCATAATAGAGGGAGCCAGTATAGGTTTACAGAGAAATCTGGCACTAGGGAAATATCCAGAGATCTACAAGGATTACCCCAGCTAATAATCTAAGCAATAGTCGAGAGACTGCTTAAACGTCCTTCCCCAGTAATGAGATTGATGACTACATTATATGCCATCCTTGAGCCTTCATCCAGTAGTTGATGGAAGCAGAAGCAGAAAGCAATAACTGGGCACTGAACTGAACTGCTAGAGTCCAGTTGTAGAGAGCGAGGAGTGATGAGCAAAGGTGTCAAGATCAGGCTGAAGAGACCCACAGAGGCAGTTGTTGACTTGAATAAGGGGGAATCTCATGGACCCCAGACTGATAGCTGGGAAACTAGCATAGGCAAACCCAGACCCCCTGAACATGGGTGTCAGTTGGATGGTCTGGGAAATATACGGGGCCTCTGGCAGTGGATCATTATTTATCTCTAGTGTATGAATAGACTTTGGGAGCACAATCCACATAGAAGGATACTCTCTCAGCCTAGACACATGGGGGAGGGCGTAGGCCCTGTTCCAAATGATGTAACAGACTAGGAAGACCTTCCATGGAAGGCCTCAACCTCCCTGTGGAGCAGAAAGGGGATGGGATAGTGGGTTGGTAGGAGGCAGGGGAGGATGGGAGAGAGAGGGAACTGGCATTGACATGTAAAACAAGGTTGTCCCTAATTTAAATTTTTAAAAAAGAATGTAACTCTTTTTTGAGAGAGGTGACAAGTGCCATTTGTTTGAAAGTTCCATAATGTGACCATTCCCTATTTATTTTGTCTTTTTTTTTTACTAGAGATGTGGCTGTAAAAGAACTTGTTTGGCTTTGTTCAAACCAAGTTTTACTAGCACTGTTTTATTGCATAATCATTTTTTCCCTCTGGAAGATACCCAACATTTCATGGTATTGTTTTATGAGTGTACTTAAGTGTACATGGACTGGGCATGAAATTTATTGGGTATAACATTTACCTAGCATTTGTAGAGTTCAATCCCTAGAACTGCATAATCCGGGTATGGTAGAGCACACCTATAAATACTGTGACCTAGACTGGAATCTGCACGCTAAGGTACCTTGAATTGAATTTTTTTCCTTCTCTTCTTTGCCTTCTCTGCCAAATGCAAGCTGGCCACAGAATAAATCAATAGTTCTGACTTAGTGATATCTTTATTAAAAACCTAGATATCAAAAGTCTCCAAAGTAGCTAACTAAAACCTGGCTCCCACTAAGTCTATGGCGAAATGGCTCAACATTCTTAACCATTATGGAAATGCAAAACTACACCAAGACTCACTTCTATTTTAGTCAAAATGATATTTACATTCAAAATATCAAAAATGCTTTTAACTGTTGTAGAAAAATGAACATCATACACTATTGGTGGGAATACAGGCTACGGAGCCCATCCACTTCAAAGAAAGATTAGAGGTTCCTCAGGAAACTAAAACCACGAAACAGCAAAGATGATTTTATCATTAGGAACACTTACTGTTCATGCAAAATCCCGTTTCTGGTTCAAAGGATCCACTTAGGGACGTACAGCCATTCATAACTCCAGTTCCAAGGAACTGATGAGCTTTTTTACTTTCACAGGCCCCAGATATACCTAGAATCCCCCAGGGAGGAGCTGGGGGCATGGTTCTGGGGTAGAGCCTCTACCTAAAATCTTCCAGTGATGTAACCTGGGCATGTTGCTCAGATGTAGAGTTCTTGACTTAAAATCTGCTAGTGAGGAACTGTGGGCAGGCTTCAGCAAGAGAGTGCTTGCCTAGCTCGTACAAACTACTGTGGCTTACTACCAGCCCTCGTCCATACACAAAGTCGCATTATAATGATTTTGTTCATTTTACATCTTTCTATGAATTTTTAGTTTATATCACAGTCTTCCACATATATATTTTATTAAATTAGCATTTCAGGATGGACATGGAGATGCTTATTTGAAGTCTTAGCATGCAGGAGACTGTGTCAGTGAAATTGTCCGTCTAAAGCCAGCTTGAGTTACATAGAAAGGCTTTAGAGACAGAATGAGGAGAGAAAATAAAGTTTGAGATCTGGAGTGAACCATGCTCAGCATATGATGAGAACATTGTTTTACACTGTTTTCTATGCAGTAACCATTAGACAAAGATCCTGCTCAGACATGGATTCATGAAACCCATACAGTATTTTTTTAAAGGAAATCAAGAGATTTGGTGCTTTGGAACAGAAAATAAGGCAAAGGTTACTATGTCTACTTCCTAGGGAATAATCACAATGGGACTTACCTTTAGGGCTAGCAAGTGATGCAGAAGCCAGGAGGTCCTTTCCCAGGCCTGCTGTGTCTCCATGAGTAGCTCCATCAGGAATCTCTGTGTGGGACTGTGTGCCATCTTCTGTTTCTGAAGGTGAGAGTGAGGTAGAAAATAGGTAAGTTTCTCTTCCACAAAGACTGTACTGTCTAAATAGATCACTTCATTGAGTACATTTCATTCTTTTTCTAGAGCCTATAACAGTGGCCTTGAGCCATAGCTAGTTAGCTTTCCGTAAATATGTCAATTTGTCTATATGTCTACTGCAGATCTGTAAATGGAGTACTTAATTGGTCTAGATAAAAAAAACTGGAATTAGATATAGAGAAAAATGCTGAGAGATCAGAGAGAAGAAGGAGCAAGCCACTGCCACACCTTTAGCGTCTCAGCAGACAAGAGAGCAAGTTCCTGTTTCTCCCTGGTTATATCCTGTTTCTGCCTAGCTAGCTCACTTCCTTCCTGTCTGTACAGACCTTCAGACCTCTATGGTTAGGTAGTAGTAAACTCCATTCTCTAATCTTCAGACAGACTTTATTTGTATAAGCAAAATAGCACTATAGCCGGGTGTTAGTGGTGCACGCCTTATCCCAGCACTTGGGAGGCAGAGGCAGGCGGATCTCTGTGAGTTCCAGGCCAGCCTGGTCTACAGAGCGAGTTTTAGGACAGCCTCCAAAACAGTACAGAGAAACCCTGTCTCGAAAAAACAACAACAACAACAACAAAAAAGATAGCACTACATAGATCTGATGGCCTTTCCTGTCTTTTACCTTTTGCTTTCTTCTGTCATTCTTTATTTAATATTTCTCTCTCTTTCATTTCCCCTCCTTCTTCTCTCCCTCTCATCCTCTTTCTCTTTCTTTCTTCCTTCCTTCCTTCCTTTCTTTTTTCTTTCTTCTTCCCTGCCTCCCTCCTTCCCTCCTTCCCTCCTTTGTTCTGTCTTTTCTTACTTTCTTTTTTAAAAGCAGGGTCTCATGCAGCCTAGGCAGGCTTCAAACTTAATACACTGCTGAGAATTACCTGCTCCTCCTGTCTCCAAGCTCCTGTGTACTTGGAATACAAGTGTAGGCCACCATGCCTACCTTAAGCAATGCTGGAGTAGAACCAAGAGCCTTGTGCATGCTAAGCAGCACACTACCAAATAAATCACATCCCACCTATTATTTGCTGTCTGCCCTCCTTTTCTTCTGTTTTTTCTTAAATGTGCCCTTATCTTTTTATTTGATTTGATTTCTCTTCAGAGTATGAATGAATTACAAATACAAGAAGAATCATAGTAAAGTATAGTGCTACAGAACTGAAATCCACATACTTAGTTTGCTGAGGCATAAGAATCATGAGTTTGAGGCCCGCTGGTTATATATAAAGACAATATATAGAGAGAGAGAGAAAGTGAATCAATGATTTCAAATATATACCTTTCATATTACTTCTATGTTCCAACTATCTATGTAGGGATTCAAACACACTTCCTCGGAGAGTGTCTAATGAAACTAGTAGTGTTTCTGGGGGCATTTTTAGACTTGTGTCACAAATGAAATCTCATAACAAATTTAATTCTCTTACAGTGATAGTATCCTTAAAAGGGCTTCTAGTATATTTAGTGCTTTCTGGGTCTCTCCAACATCATTAGGTACTTTATTTCTTCAGTTTTCATGATCTCCTTCTTGCCTTCTAACTCTGTTCTAATTCTAGTAACATGTAGGAACTCTTTGTTGAGTCAGATCTAGTAGTGCCTATAATCTCTACTCTATGGGAGACTAGGGCAGGACTATTTCAAATTCAAGCTCAGCATAACTTACAGAGTGAGTTCCATGCCAGCCAGGGTCTGTCTCTCTCTCTCTCTATATATATATATATATATAGATAGATAGATAGATAGATAGATATAGATATAGATATAGATATATAGATAGATATAGATATATAGATAGATATAGATATAGGTATAGATAGATAGATATATCATAGCATATATGTCTATCCATATGGAATAACCTTCCAAAACAAACTAAAGCAATATCTCTCCCTTTTATCTCCATGTGACTTTGGCTGAAGTCTAGTCCTCTATGCTTCACTTTATGGCAGCTTAGCCTTTCTGTAGTATTTGACAAAGGTTACAATTTCTCTCTAAAATCTTGTCTTCATATGACTACTGTAATGCCAGAATCTCTTGTATTGTCTGCTAGCTTTTTGAGTTCCCCTATTTAAACTAATGAATTAGAACATAAATTCCTACTACTGTTTGATTTGACTTATATTTTTTTTTGTTGGGTGAGTGCTTCGACTCAAACCTATGACATTATGAATGCTAGATGAAGTGTTCTAGCACTAAGTTACATCCCTTCCTCTTTGATTTTTCAGACAGGGCCTCAGTAACTCTGGTTCTCTTTGAAGACAGCATCTTTTTGTCTCAACTTTCCCACATGCTAGAGTGACAGGCATGAACCAAGAACATCTAAGTTATTAGCTTACTTCTGTCACTTATGAGCTTTTTAATAGTGAGAAAATTATATCCCATTTTCTATGTATCTCAACTTCATTACCCACAAAAGAATATTACAATGAAGATTTAAAACATTTGTGAAGCAGTGTGATACAGAAATAATTGCCTAATTGTCATCATCACCACTATCAACTATCATTAATAATAACACTAGAACATCTATTATATTTTAGAAATTACTCATACACTTGCTTGTATTCTATGTTTTGCCTATACATACCTCAGTTATTAGAAGTGATTGGTGTTAGTAATTCAACCAATGTTTGTTAAAGGACCTTCTAGTATGAAGGTAGAGGGTATAAGCTATCTGTATTATACTTGCCTCACATGTGCAAGTTCCTAGGTCCCATGTCTAGTAACACACAAAACAGGATTCATGCTTTCAAACAGTTGTATGAATTTGAAAATGTGCAGTATATACAGTTGAGTTTTACTCAGTCATAATTTCTAGGAACTAGAAATAATTATGTTAAACAGTATTAAGCAGACAGGAAAACAAACATCATAGACTTTATGTTATGTGGAAGCAAACGTATAAAAAGCCCTAAAGGCAGTAAACTAACTATAAAGAATATGGAAGGAATTTAAAAGGTAGAGAAGAAAGTGAGAAGAGGTAACTGTAGGAAGTGGGGGTGATGAGAGCATTGTTTCAGCATGTATGATCATGAAACTCACTAATTTGTACAATTTGTATGATTTAATAATGTTAACTGTAGTAATCACAAATAAATATGAATGCAATAATGGACTCCTAACTTTCTACCTCTTAGCAAAGGGTTATTGCCTTCCCAGTCTGTGGATGGAAATGTAGGGACAGTGGTTTCTTACTTATCAACCTGGGTGAATGTGTAAGAACCTGAAAAGCACTGTCCCCTTTCGCAAGTCAAAACTCTCACTCATTGTGTTTCTCAAGAAGGTTGATAATGATGTCTTGATGGAATTTGATCTAGGTTTCAAGTTCCAAACATAATCATGGAATCTTGAGTGCTGCCACTCATTATAACAATACTGTTATCTTCTGTTTGTAAATTACCTGAAGAAGTAATCCCATGGAGGACTGGACTGGCTGTAAAGTCACCGCCAGTGGAAGCAGAAAAGAACAGTGGTGTAGAAGTTGAAGATGACAGTCTTTCTGCAATTGTGGAAACCAAAACATCAACATGACTTGACTGTGTTATAGAATGAGGACTGCTCAAAGTTACAGATGAGTTGCCTTTTGAAATGCTGGTTGTGGCAAATGAAGTTATTTCTTCTTTTGAAGAAAAGGTTGTTGTTTCAACAAAAGTTGTCTCATCTATACTAGTTTGTGGAACATAAGTGCTTTCCGGTGAAGGCATAGTAAAATTGGATTCTGAGAAGGATGTTGCCACAGTAGACTCTACAGTAGATGAAGAAGGGTGTAAGATGGTAGCTGATTCTACTGGAGTTTCAGTAAACTTTGAAGATAGAGTCTGATATGGAGTTGATATGTTCATAGCAGAAGTGACAGTAGTCTCCGACTCTGGCAAAATGAGAGTAGACACAGGACGTGAAGGTATGTTTGTTTGTAGGGACATGCTAGAGTCTCTCAATCCAGAAGTCAAATGGGAAAATTGCTCAGTATCAGATCTGGTAGTCTCTAAATAGTCAGGAAATGATGTAGACATAGCAGTCACCCAAATGTAGGAAGAAGCCCCCATTGTATAGGTATCCCTGGAAGATACAGGGGGTGCTGGTACAGAGGAACTTAGCTCATGTCCTGTACTGATAATCTTCATGCTGGTTACTTCGTATTGTGAGGAAGACTGAAATTTTTCTGTATCAGTAGTAACTTGAGGCAAGCCCGATATTTCAAGTGAGGTGCTGTTTAAATTTGGAGGCAAACTTGTTTCAGTTTCCAAGCTTCCGCTCAATGTGTCTGTTGTCTTAGAGAACCCAGAGGTGGGAAATGACATCTCAGGTAAAGAAGTAGAGTTTGAACTCTGTGGTGATAGAGAGGAAGCAGAATAAGGCAATGTCTTTGTTGGTGATATCAACAAGGAAGAGGAAGTCCCATCTGGTGAAACAGCATCAGATGCTGCAGTGTTTTGGAACTGGGGTCTAGGAGTGGGTATGTCCATACTAGTTACTTCAGTTCTGGTGAACATGTAAGATGTTTGTGAGGTCCTGGTATCCTTTGAAGTGGTTAACTCACCATTTTTCCAGCTTGGAAACAAAGTTGTAAGGTAAGCTAAGTTTGTGTCCTTTGCAGTCCTTTGAGAGGAGAGTCTTTGTCCTTCTGATGTGGAAGTAGCAGGAAAATGTGATGTTGTCTGATGTATTTCTGCAAAATTCACAGAGGAGGTTGCTTCATGGGATGGGGAGTCTGTCCGTGACAGTGACTCAGAACTGTTCAGAACAGACATGTTGTCTATGTTGAGAACTGTCTGAGTTACAGTAGAAAAGGCCTGAGTATCAGAAGTAGTGCCTGAAGTTTTCCAAAGAGTGGTGATTTTAGATGATTCTGTAGCATTAATTACTTGACTGATATCAATGTTTGGGATGGGAAGTGTAGAGACATTGGAAGTAGTTCCCGTAGAGATGTCTGTTGTCTTTGTGAAAGATGCAGAACTTGAAACAGATAGTCCATCATTTGAGTTAGTTTCTGTTCTTGAAAGCCCAGTGGAAATCCTAGTAGGCACTGTGTAAAGATCAGAACTAGATCTTGTCATCAAGTTAGTATATTCAGGCATGGTGAATTCTTGCTTTACTGATGTTAGGGGAAAAGCTTTCTGAGTTTCTCTGTGTGGAGATTCAGATAAGAACATTGGTGTTGAAAGTGTTGCATCCTCATTGTTTTGTGAGGTCATAATTACAGCTGTTATTCTTGATAGGCCTGAATTATCTAGGATAGTATCTTGGGAATTAACTCCAAGAATATTAGTTTCTACTCTGCTTGATGGGTTGTTTGAGAAAATGTGACTTGTCTTTAGGTTTCTTATGTCATATGAAGGACCTAGAGTTGAAAGCCTTGTGGCGTCTAGGCCTTGGATTGAGGTGCTCTTAGAAACTATATTTTTGTCTTTTCCAATTGAGGTTGTCTCTTGAATAGAAGTTACAAGTGCACCCACAAAACCAAGGGAAGAGACATTTTGTACTTGTGATGTAGAAGTAACTGGAGACAGTGAGGTCTTCTCAGTCACAGTTGATACTGAATCTGAAGAGGTGTGTTTTTCCTTGGGTAAAGAACTTATATGTGACTGTTCATCAAAACTGCTGTGTTCAGATATCAATGCTAAATGTGGAGATGTTTGAGGCTCTGGTGAAGAAAATTCTGTCATAGAAACAGTGGTTGCAGTGTCCCTGGACAGGGTTTCATATAATAAAGACCCAGAATTACCTGCCTCAAAGATGGTGGCTAATTCTTCTTTTGTGCTAGGGTAGGTAATGTGGCTGGGAATGCTTCCAGTGGTGATATCTTCTGATGCTGAGAAATAAGGAGGATTTTTTGTGGAGATTCTGTCAGCTGTCATGTACTCTGAAATGGAGAGGCCAGTAGTCATGCTTGGGGGCAACTGAGAAAAAACATTGTTGTGTGTTTTAGCAATGGTAGTCTCTTCAAGAATAGTAGTTTGTGGAAGAGATTGGCTCAGGGAAGAATCTGTTTGAGTCATAGTTCTAGAGGCATTGGAAAATGTGGCCTGTGAAACAGATATTGTAGTATCTACCAATGGATGCTGGAACATGGTTGAAAATGCAGTTTTAGATGAAACCGATGCAGGAGTGATAGAGGTTTTGGATTTGTGCATGGGAGTCCTGGCTTCCATAGTCATTTCTGCTTTAAGTGAAGAAGCAGAGCTTGTCTGTGAGAACTTGGTGGCCTGTGAAGTCTCTTGGCTTGAGTGTATACTACTGCTCCAATTTGGAAATGAAGTAGATAAATCATGTATATCCTTCCCAGTTGTGATTGCCTCCCTAGAAGTGGTGAAGGCAGAGACCACAGAACTAGGAGATGGGGTGCTGTGTTCTACTGTGGAAGTAACAGGGGAAGTTAAAGTAGGCCTATAAAGATATCCTGGAGAATCAGCAGGTTGGCTTCCTTTCAGAGCTGGAAATTTTGCAACTGATACATCTTCATAACTTTGACTTAAAAACGTGGATGTCTCTGTGACTAGTGGAGTTGGAAGGAAACTAGTGAGATTGTCAGACACTGAAGACATGGGTGATGCTTCCAGGGAGAGGACCATGTTTGATGTTACTTTAGAATCCCCAGTCTTGCTCGTATATAGTTCTTCTGATTCTGTGATGTTGGAGCTGACAATTCCACTGGATATATCTTCTGGTATAAAGTGCTGAAGTGTTGGAAGTGCTGTGCTATCAGGAGACATGGATACTGTTCTGGATACGGGAAGAGAGTAAGTGAAAGGCATTTCAGAATGACTACTAATGAAATCTGTGCTTGAGTTCACCTCAGGTATATTAGTTTGTGTTAGTGTGGTCAAGAGGGTAAATTTCTGTGTCCCAATATTTTCATGATCAAATGATGTTGATTGTGTAAGTGAAAGGGGGGATACTTGGATGGTGGGAGGGGTAGTGGGGAAAGCTATATTTTCAGATGACACTGAAGTAGGTGTGATGGTGTATTTGAATTGGGGTCCAGAACTGCTGGCTTCCATTTTTGGCTCTGGTGTGACTGAGGAAAATTTATTCATCTGTGAGGGTGAGAAATAATGTCCAGTGTTGGATCTTGACTCAGAGATGCTGCTCCAACTTGGACTATAAGCAGTCACAGGATCTGAACTTGTGTGTGAAGCTGTTGGGAACAGATCCCTGGTAACTGTGAAAACAGAAGCAACAGAATCAGGAGAATGACTACTGTGTCTCTCTGGCAAGGAAGCATCAGGGGTCAATGAAAGTAATCCTGGTGTTGTGGAATCTGTAGACATGGATCCTTTCCTAGGAGTAAATGTCCATGAGGCTGAAGCAGGACTGTTGAAAGGAACCATGGATTCTGAATGTGGAAATGAATGCATCCCACTGGTGTGGATGTCCTTGACTGAGTCAGTACTGGATGTGTCTGGGTAAGTCAAAATGTCTGATGTAACTGGAGATTGTCCCATGGGTCTGTTTGTCATCTCTTCTGTTTCTACACTGATGGTGGAGGTAGGGAGACTGATGGAGTTTCCAGTGGAAGTATCTTCTGATGATGACTGATGAGGGGCTGACAGGGATGTGCTCTCAGCAGAAATGGTGCTTGTCCTAGATTCAAAAAGAGAAGGGCTAGTGGGCAGGCCACTATGGCTAGGACTGGGTTTTATGTCTTCAGATGAATTGAAATCTGCCCATGCTGTCCTTGGGGAGGAAAGTGTGCCTGTCTCAATCTCCATACTTTCAGATGAGATTGGCTGTGAAGGTGAAAATCTGGTATGTTCCATGGTGGGCAGAATGGTTGTGAAAGTTTCCTTTTCAGGTGGGACTGATGTAGATGTGATGTTGTGTTGGACATGGGGTGTGTGAGACCCACCTTCCATGGTATTTGCTGGTGTGAATGAGGAAACAGAGGTTGTCTGTGAGATTTTAGAGAGTTGGGCAGTGTTGGAGCTTGGTATTGATTGAGTTACTGATCCTGAGGTTGTAAGTAATCTTGTAGGGATTGGGTCCTTAGCAACTATGAAGATAGAGGTGACAGAAGCAGGAGAGCTGGTGTTGTATTTCTTTGCATTGGAAGGAACTGGAAAATGTGAGGCTGTCTGGGGCATAGGTCTTGTTGAATGAGTCCCCTCCCAAGTTGAATGAGTCCATGATGGGGATGGAGGACTGGAAGAATTGTCTGTAGATTCTGAAAGTAGAAATGTCCATGCCCCATCTTCCATGTGATTTCCTTTTGTGACTGAGGAAACACTGGTCATTTCTGAGATATTTGATGATTGTGCAATATTGAAACTTGTCTGAGGGCTGCTACTTAAGCTTGGAATTGAATCAGTCCCAGGTACCAAGCTTGTGGACAAGTCTGTTGGGATTAGATTCTTAGAAATTGTGATTGCAGGGGCCATAGAACTAGTAGACAATTTAATGTGTGTGTCTTTCATGGAATAAATAGCAGAAGGTGAATATGGCTCATGTGGCATTGTAATGGAATCTGGTGACTTCGCTTCTTCCCAAGAAATAGGTGTGAATGTTTCTGAAGCAATACTGTTGGAAGATGCTGTGGCTTTTGAATGTGTAAATGTGTCCTTGATTGAGGCATAGGTTGATGTGCTTTTAGAAGTCACTATGTTTGATGTCACCACAGAATATCCAGTGTGACTGTTTGTCAACTGTTGTGATTTCATAGTGATGCTAGAAACAGGGGTCCCAATGGTGATTCCAATGGAAGTTTCTTTTGATGATTCATGCAGCTTTGTAAAGGATGTGTTCCCAACAGACATGTCTCTTGTCCATGATTCAGGAAGAGAAACATTTGTATGGTTAGGACCATACCTTGTGGTTAAATCCATGTTTTCAAGTGGGCTAGATTGCATCCAAGCTGAGTTCCAAACTTGCTTGGTAGTATGATGGGTAATAGGTAGGGATGAATTCATAGAACCTGCAAAAGAGTGACTATCACTTTGTGGTGATGCAGAATTAACAGGTGATGAAGAGTTTGTTCTGACTGTAGTTACCAAGGAATGTTCAAAGATGATTCCTTCTAGTGCTGATGATTTTGTCTTGGATGGAGTATCATAACTTGTGCCATGAAGACTGGATCTCTCTAACAATGGATAAGTCTGAGAGACACTGGAGAGCATTCCCAGCAGTGAGAACTTTTCTACTGTACTTTGGGAGACCATGTTTGGGGTCACATCATGTCCTGTCTCACTAGTGGTAATTTCTGTGCTGGTGATAGAGTTTGGGGGCCCAGTGGACATTTCACTGGAGGTTTCTTCTGGCTTGATTGACTGATGAGGACTTGAATAGGAAGTGCTGTAAGTAGGTTTTGTACTGGATATAACAACAGAATTAATAAAGGACACTTTAGTAGGACTAGGAGTAGGCTCTGTGGTTGAAATCACTTCAGGTATGTTAGTTTCCACCATAGTAAGAGTTCTGGATGTATCTGACAGCATAGTAGTATTTAATTCAGCCCCATTATGTGTGTCAGTACTTGTAGAATTTGATGCATTCACTGAAACAGAAACAGAGCTCTTTCCTGTGGCTTCAGGGATTAAAGTGGACAATGTGGTTTTAGGTACAATTGATTCAGATGATATATGGGGATCAGAACTGGTGTCCTCCAAGCTGTTCACTGCTTTTTGTGAGCTTCTTGTGTTTTTTAGAGTGGCCAAGTTTGAAGGAATGCTACTTCTCCAAAATAAAGTTGAAGAGGTCACTGTTGTGCTTGTGTCCAACATTCTTGTGCTTGTCTTTGGTGTTGCTCTGAGTACTGAAGCCATAGATCCAGTAGAACTATGTGGTTCTTGTAATGTTGATGCTACATAAGAAGGCAAGGTTGGTTTGGGTTTATTTGACATAGTGAGCTATTGATAAATAATAGTAATTATAAAAGAGTGATCTAATAATATCCTCAGGAACAGCCTTATATACACTCTTACATACGTATAAGGTGATTATAATCACATTTTGATTGACATCAGCATTAATCATATCTCTTTACATTCATCTAATGAGAGAAATTTTATCCTGGACTATATTTATGTTGTTCTAGGATAAAACATTTCTCACTTAGCATTTATATGTCTATATAAACATGTATTAAAATAATCATTGTAGGAATGGAGAGATGGCTCAGAGATTAAGAGCACTAGCTGCTCTTCAGAGGTCCTGAGTTCAATTCCCAGCAACCACATGGTGGTTTACAACCATCTATATTGAGATCTGGTGCCCTCTTTGGGCCTCTAGACATACATGCAGATAGAACACTATGCATAATAAATAAATCTTTAAAAACTAATCATTGCATAAATTGTATATTTCCCAGGTGAAATTGCATGAAATATAGCTTATAAATTAAACCTAAAGGCTTATAACTCTAAAAATGAGTCAGATTAGGTCAAAATTGCAGGGAATAAATGACTATAGAGTATTCAGTCCTAAATCATACTCCCTCTCTCTAATGTTCAGGAAGCCTCCTAGAAAAGGAAATAGAAAGTCTATAAGAACCAGATCTATAAAACAATGTCTTCTGGCTCTTCTCTTCTCTGAGGAGATGTTAAGCAGTCAACATGTAGAATGCCAGAGAAGTAACAATTCCCTGGACCTTTCTCCAGTAAGATAAGAAAAAGACCACATAGGAATACTTAGATTCATAGAAATGGGTTAATAATTAAGACAGAGCTAGCCAATAAGAAACCCTAATCACCAGCCAACAGTTTCACAATTAATCTAGCATCTGTGTGCTTCTTTGGGGAAGAGAAGGGTAGTGGGACCTGCGGGGCAAGAAAGCTCACATTACAAAATGGCACCAGAAACCTGTAGCATGAATTTCCATATAGAATGACAAAAGCTTAAAAGGAATTTTAGAAACAGAAGAACAGAGACAAGCACAGCTTCTTGATAGCTGTGTTTTCTCTGGTGGGTTCCGTTTTGCTAGAGACAATCAGAGACTCACGTGGCTCCTTTAAGGGAGGTTTTGTGACTCCACATAAACAGAAAAACTGCATGACTCTTTTAAGAGGCCCTGCTAACAATTGAATGGTGTGTACTAGCTGCTGGCAGTGGCAGTGACCACATCTCCAAGTGGCAGCATGCTGCTTTATGGCAGTGTAGACCAAGGTGGTGAGCACAGATCTCAGTGCTGGTGGTTAAAGTACCCTTGCCATCTTGGAAAGAAAGCAGCTAAAACAGTCATGGCTTTAATTTTAACACTGTTGTTTAGCAGATAAAAGACTTATGACCAGAAAAAGATAAACACATACAGTGAAGACAGATTCAAATAAAGAAAAACCTCTAAAGGTTTAGAGTGTGTTTAAAAATGTACACAGGCTTGGGAGAGAAAAGAAAAAGGAAAAAAGAAACAGAGTAGCTGGGTGTGGTGGCACATGCCTTTAATCCCAGCACTTCGGAGGCAGAAGTAAACAAATCTCTGTGGTTTCAAGGCCAGCCTGGTGTACAGAGTGAGTTCAAGGGCAGCCAAAGCTACACAGAGAAACCCTGTCTCAGTAAATGAAAAAAAAAGTAAAAGAAATAGAGTAATAATAAAAAATTTTTAAAGCCACATAAATATGGAAAATACACAGAGAGTCTAGATGCTGTATGCTATTGTGTTGTCTTTGAATTGTTTGACTGCTGAGGAAATTGCACCAACTGCTAAAAGAAATGCTGCTGGATTAATCCAATTTATATATTTTGAAAATTCTTTTTTGGGCCTTTTTAAAAAATTCTTCTTTTTTTCATCTTTATATTTTTTATTTAAATTAGAAACATGCATGGTTCAAAGGTCAATCCCAGCTAACCCCTTCTTCCTCCCAGCCCCACCCCAACCCTCCACCCCCAGCCCAGTCCCCACATCTTTCCCCAGAGAGAGTAAGGTCCTCCTTGGGGGGATCTCCAGAGTCTGTCATTTCATCCAGGGCAGGACCTAGGCCCTTCCCCATGTGTCCAGGCTGAGAGAGCATCCCTCCATGTGGAATGGACTCCCAAAGTTCATTTGTATGCCATGGTGAAAATGCTTTGACTTCTACATTTAAGTACAAGAACATGTTACTTGGGGAAAGAGGTTCTTTTCTTGTTTCCACAAAAGATTAAAAGCTGTGAATTCCTTCCAGTGTAATATGGTTTGATCAAGCAAGACCCCATGAAACAGTAGCCCAGATGATAATAACAGTCAAAACAGTTGAGATGATGCAGCCTTACAGACTACAACAGTCAGAATTTGGCCAGGTTTCTGGGTCTTCTTAGGCTCCCATAGACAGCACCCCCAAACAGCAGAAAGCATTTTGGAGAGAATGATGCCCGACTTCCCAAATATTGTTTATAAATATTTGTTTTCAATTAAATGGGGTTGGTTATAAATGGTTCATGATCACAAACAATCTCTTTATTAAGAAAAGTGGGAAGTATGATGTAGAAATGAATATTTTGCATTGGCATGGATTTTGGCTTAATGACTCAAATTTAAGGTCAATTTTGTTATATGTATATTTCTCCTCTTATTTAGGTGTTGTGTTTATACATCTCCTCTTATTTAGGTATTTGTTTATACAGCTCATTTAAAAATGTAATGTATAATTAAGTACAAATTATAGTTACCTATAATAGTCAAAACTTATAGATACATTAGTTAGGTTTTCTAGATATACAGAAAAATATTTGACATGGATAGATATTTTTCAAACCTTTCAAAGACCTACAGAATATGGCATTTAAAATAGTTTAGGTTTTTTTATGACAGTGATACACAACTGTTCCTGACCACACCAATTACTTCAAAGAGAAAAAGGTCATTAAAGAAACTCATTATAGAGTTTGTTTTCAGCATGGAGAGACTAGCCATTTGGGCAAGAAACCACTCTTGCCTAGACTATTTGATAGACTGGACATGGAGGACTCACAGGAAATTGACTGCTGAATTTGCAAAAAAAAAAAAAAGAAAGAAAGACAGTCCTGAGGAGTTCCTGCTTCATGGAAGAGTCTAGTAGACATTCTGCAAGACACAGAAAAATGACTGACAAACTGCCAGTGCAGGCAGACAGTTTAAAATCTCTGCATCACTGAAGATTCTGCCAGACACATTATGGCCTAAGGGCCAAAGATGGATGCTCCAACCTTACAGAGGAACTTTGGGTAACTGATCAGGTAGCAAGATGTCTCTGTCAATTCTTGAGTTTATGTACTATTCTTCTGTGGTCTTTGATGGAGTTAAAAACAGACAGTTATTGTTTTCTGTAGTTATAATAAAAAATGAGTTACACATAAGACTTTAGACTCACAAAGATAGGAGAGATGAGAGAATATTTTCTTTAAATTTTGCTAAACACTAATGGACTACATATTGTTAACTATAGTTCCCATTTGATAACTGTTCTGTTATATATAATTTTACTATGTTAAAGCTAAAACCCTTCTTTTTATTCAGACAGAAAAGAGGAGATAATGGAAGAATGTCTTTCTGTATATATGTTTGTTTTATTGGTTGATGAATAAAACACTGATTGACCAGGCAGGATGATAGGTAGGACTAGGAGACATGAAGAATTCTGGGAAGTGCAGGCAGAGAGGGGTGATCATATGGTCCCAGAAAGTGATGTAGCTGTGCAGAAACTGCCACTAACTAACCACAGAGGTCTGGAGGTATATACAAATAGGCAGGAAGTGACATAGCTGGAGAGAATGAGAATATAAGCAGGGACAAAGAGGAAATCCCTCTCATCTCTGCAGTCGACATGTAGGATGCCAGAGGAGTAGCAGGTCCCCATACCTTTCTCCAGTAAGAGAAGACCACATAGGAATACTTAGATTAATAGAATTGGTTTAATAATTAAGACAGAGCTAGCAAATAAGAAACCCTAGTCACCAACCAACAATTTCATAATAAAACAAAGCAAAAATATAAAAACAATTATCTTCTGAACATAATGGGAACATTGCCCTCACGAATCCATGGTGATTCTAACGGTCTATACAATATCTGTACAAGATCAACTCAATTAACATTCCAGCATGGGTGTGATACCTGAAGAGTTATTGCCAGTTGATTGTGAATCAGTTTTCTCCAAATATGTGACCCCTAGTAGATTGCCAATGCCCCCATGGATGATTGGACCTGCAACCTTACACATATAGCCAGCATTAATCAGACTCAATACGTCATTCAAAAAAAGAAGAAGCATAAGAGGGAGAAGGTGGAGGAGAGGGGCTGGAGACATGGCTCAGCAGGCTGCCATATCTGATAACCTGAGTTTGAATCCTAGGATGCAGACAGTGGAAGGAAAGAACCGATTCCTGAAAATTGTCCCCTGACTGCCACATGTACATTGGGATACACACACACACACACACACACACACACACACACACACTAAAATAAATATAAATGTAACAACAACTGATTATTCACAGAAGGACAGGACATAAAGTTAGGAGGAGGACATGTTTGAAAAGTCTGGGAAGGGTTGGAGGCAGAAGTGAAGGATAAATATAATAAAAATATATTCATATATGTATGAAATTCTCAAGTAGTAAATACATTTTTATTTATTATTATTATTTTGGTTTTTCAAGACAGGGTTTCTCTGTATTATCTTGGAAGCTGTCCTGGAACTCGCTTTGTAGACCAGGCTGGCCTCGAACTCACAGAGATCCAACTGCCTCTGCCTCCCGAGTGCTGGGATTAAAGGCGTGTGCCACCAACACCCGGCGTAAATACATTTTTTAAATGAGCCAGTTTGAAAAAGTATCAATTTGTAGTGGGTTGAACATACAATAAGAGAAATTCATATCATGGTATATGAATGACTGAAATTTTTACTATACTTTGCCAGAATGTGTATTTATATAGTTAATTCTCTCACAA